ATGTCTGGAAAGTTTCATTGCATTTGCTTGTACGGTCTCCAAATGCATAAAGAACAAACAAACAAACAGACAAACATTCTTCTTTATATATATAGATTAGATACAAAAAAAATGTCTTTTTAACGAAAACAAAACCTATCCACAATTGTATTTCATAGTTCGTATTAAATATCAATTATTCATTTTTCATTTTGCATATATTTCATACAAGGATTCTAATGAGATAACTACTAATTTATATACAACAGCTACTTTCTAGCAATGGCATAACTTTCATAAAATCATATCAGATTAAATAGTCATCTTAATTACCATTTTACAATTTATATATAAAGTTCTATTTATTATATCAGATGAAACTTTTACATTATTATTAAATAGCCATAGATCATTGAGATCTCTTCACCTATTCTATCAGTCAAATATTACAATATGAGATACACGACTGTCTAAAAATATTTATTATCCTCTCAAATATGTGTTTCTAAAATAAAAACAAGATAATGAACTCCATCCAACGATATCTACTACCTGACATTACAGATAAGGTAATTCGATACGAAAAACAAATCTTACCAACTATTTGATTAAAATCATTTAATTTTTCAGGAACATCTTTAAGCATTTCTTGGGCAGCCAGAATTTGATTCGACTCCAATTTCCATGAAAAATCATTTCCATCCATTACATTCAAGGGTGGGTGTGGGTGTGGGTTTGGGTGTGAAAGTAAATAGAAAGATTAGCCATCCATCCACACTCATCTCGTGTAGAATTTGATGCTGAATCAGAATATATACTCGTATGCCATGGGCAATATTCTAAAAAAGAGAAAGTTCTCTTTCGACGACGAATTATGAAATATTGAATGATTAACGATGAATATTGTTTCTAAATTGAGAAATTATTTGTCAATTGGCTAAGTAGCATGTTATATGCGTTGATTGATTTGTTATCTAGATTACATTACTTAAGGAATGTTTCAATAATTGTCAAATGAATGTTTATTTCATTACAAACGTTCATTACTCGACATTTATTCCACCACTTACAAAACATAATGGTATTATCGTTGGAATTTTTACAATACATTACAAAGGAAGAAACGGGTCTTATATTAAAGACGATTAAATCAGAAATCGAGCGCGAATCACTGATTAATCCAAAGGAAATTAACCATTGGACGAGTGATACATCGAAAGATGGTAAGTGATATCATAATTTTTCTATTTTAATAATTTTTTTTCATAATAGGAATATATTTTGCAGAATGGCTAAAATGTTGTATCACTTCTGATTACTTACAAAATCCACCAGATGAACATCCACGCACCAACTTTGATGTTAACAGCCATATATTTAACTGTATTCAGCCACGATTAAAAGAATTCCATTTACTGAAAGGAACAATAGAATTTAGAATTTTAAATCATCACATTACTCTTCGAGCGAAAACACGTGATGGCAAGTTTCCAGTTTTATCGCCCTCAGCAGCCGTCTGTTGTAAGTAATAATATAAGTCAAATAACTTAATCATATTTATTTCTTATTAGCATCACATCTGTGCGACACGAAAGGGTGTATAAGAAAACAACATTTGAAGATTGAAAGCTTTCAGGAAAATAATTCACGAAAATGTTGTGCAAGTTTGATACTGACATTAAAAGGAAAACGCATCATTCAGTACACTCCTTGTCAACATGGCATCAATAATATCAAAGCCAAGGATGATTTTTTGAAATACACATGTCGAAAAATCACGGTGATGGAACAAGATGATGCCACAATGTCTTCGTACAGAAGTCTTTCTTAAATTTTTTTTGTAAATAATTATTTCTTTTTTGAAAATAAAAGTTAATTAAAAAAAAACTTGTTCTTATAATACTGAAAGAGGAGTAGGCGAAGGAGAGGATGTGTAGGTGGGTGGGTGTGGGTGTGGATATGATATAAATAAGATACCTACACCCGCACCCACCCTTCGTAATAGCAATTGCATAAGTATGAAACTCTTTCGTCTAATATGTTGCTAGACTTAATATTTTTGAGTAACAACAAAACATCACTTAAATATCAGAAGAATCAGTGGCTATTGCTTTACCAAGTCTTAGATCCAACATTACGGCCATCGAATCCTGTAGGATCCTGCAGGAACGCACGAGTACTCACCGAAAGTGGAAGCAGTATTCTGACCGGAAATTTTCTGAATTCTTTTCGGTGAATTCCCGTTAATTGCAAGCCCAAAAATACACTGCATATAAATAAAATGTCAATTAAAAATTCAAACTAATCGATACATCACCTAATAGAAAAAATATATCATTTCCGATTTCAATTGAATAATTACTTATTAAAATTTTTCATATGAAATTCAATGAAATTATTAAATGAATTGAAATAAAGCATTAATTACTTAGATCTTTTCTTTCATTAATTTAATTTAATCCTTCGGTAGTATCAAATCAATAATTATTTATTAAAACTTCTTTATAAAATTAATTCAATTCAAGTCAATTGAATTGAAAAATAATTTTTAAAATTGTTGTATGAGAAAATCTCTTCGAATAGGATTGAAAAAATAATGAACTGAGTCTTTGTTACCTTCATTTTCAGCTTCATCGGATATGATGAATGTTAATGGTAACAATATTGTTAAATGATGTTTCAGTTGATAATATATTTGTTGTGCACCATCTGCTGTTAGGTGGTTGTGGATGTTATTGTGATCGTTGTTATTAATTAAGTCGAATCCATTTCTAAAGTAGTCAGGTTTGACTACACCACCACCACCTATAATCATATTAATATTGGTCAGATTAACTGATGTTTCACCAATAAATGCAGGATATTTCCACAAATAATTGTTGATATTGTGTGCCGTTTCATTTATCAATACTGCTGCTGTTGTTGTTGGTGTAAATGGTCTTTGGTAAAGTATAGGTGAATGTGAAAGATATGCCAATGTTTTTTTATCGAATTCACCCATAAGCAGCATAAACGTGCAGCTTGACAACGAATTAGTTTCTACAATATGAAAAATGATGCCACTTTTGCGATAAGAACATTAGAAACGTTGATATCATCATCACCATCCAGATCGAACAGTCTAGCACGGTAACGGCTGGTTTCGTGATATTACGGAGATTCTATGGAAGCAGTATTCCAATGGATGGATCCGTTCATCCAGTTTCTGCAGTTCTATTCGGAACCCATAGGAAACTGTCAGTTTCCTGACGGATTTCGATGAAAATTCGCAGAATACTGGGTAAGAAATCATCGTCCGTTTTGAGTCATTTTAGAATATCGAAATAATTTTTTTTATTAACCAAAGTAAAATTTGTTTACTTCGTTTTTCTTTATCATTTGTTGATGAATCCTCTTGAAATTGTCATTTTGGTTCAGTCATATCTGATACAAGAAATAGAATATTTATTGTACATTTAACTAACAATTACTTTTTTTGATGAGTATCTAATTTTAAAGGAAGTGTCTATGTGCGCCCAAACAGTTTTAAAAAATTATTTAGTGAAAACTAACCTGTATTTGTCTTATAAGATATCAATTAATTTAATAGTAATTTTAATTTGAATAGAATTAATCTGATGTTCATTTAACATTTCATGAATCCATGTTTGTTATAACTCTGGATCACTATGAATTCCGATTAAATTAAATTTTATCTTTTGTTTGAAATTATTTATATCTCGTCTTGTTAAATTTTTCATTAATTAATTTTCGATTATTGTATGTTAACGCATTTTCAATAATAAATGTTTTACATAAATCATATGCTTGTTCATTTTCTTCTAATCTTTTTACTTCTAATAAATGGATAATTTTTATTCTTCGTAAAAATAATTTTGTTTAATTGTGTATCAAATTTAATTTTAAAATAAAATTTACATTGAATTCAAGCTAATTCTTGATTTGGTCGCGATCCATCTTTATATTTTTTCTAACACTACCACTATGATGACAAATATATTTCACAGATTCATATCGAAAGCGATCAAATAATTCTTTCATTGTATTTCATTGAAGAACATTTAATACTGACCGACTGATAATATTAAGCGCGCTAATCTTTAAAAGTTGTCTCAAAATCTTCCCAACTATCGAATCGTTTGTTAAAAAAATAGTTCGTATCTGCCATTTTTCTGATTGAAGACTGGCAATGAGCTGTTTATTCACCGTTTCGAATCAAATCAAAGTAGTGTGCGCATGCACCGTAAATGAGATTATATCAGCTGTGTTCATTTGTTCTGTAAGTGTTAATAAGTAACAAAATAGGAAACATGAAAGATAAATTAATTATCGTATTTTTAATGAAAAATATTATTTTTGGCTAGATACTAATTATTTTTTATGGATGTCAATTTTCGAATTCGTAAGCCAATTAATTATGAAAAAATATAGTATTTTTGTTTTACAGTTAGTCAATAGAAAAAAACAGATGAAAATAAAACAAAAAAAATGCAAGCATAATAGTTTTTGCCCGAACATGATAATTAAAAAAAAGAACTATGTTCGATTTATATATATTTTTTGTAATATAATAAATAATTAGTAAATTCAAATTACCATTACATTAATTGATATCATACAAGATAAATATAAGTTAGTCTTTACTAAATAATTTCTTAAAGCTATCTGAGTGCACATAGCCACTTCCATTTTTAAAAACCATTGACAAGAGATATTAAACTATCAATAGTACTATAAAATACTAAACGGTTATTATCATTGAAATAATTTTAAATATTTGTGACTCATACGTAGTTTCATTAACCCAGGACGATGATTCCTGAAGCAGTATACCCAGAGCTTCCAGTGAAAACCCTCAGGAAACTCACCGTTTCTGGCAGGAACCCCGCCGGAAAATGCCCGGAATTTCCTCCTGACATCAGTTCCGGACGGAACCGAGCGGATTTGGTCACCGGAATACTGCTTCCATTTTCCTATGAATTTCCCGTGTTTTCCCACGGAATGCCCAGGAAAATCACGGAATCCGGTCGTTTCCTACCGTACGTCTTTGACATGGGTTATTTCTTTTCAAGTTTTTAAACTTGATTATTAACTTTGAAAATCTAAAAAAAGATAAGGAAATGTTTTTATAGTAATTATGCTAGACAGTCAATATTGTCTGTATGGTATATCGTTATTTCTTTTGTTCTTTGTTTACTTATATGAGTTAACTAAAATTCACGTAAGAAGAAAAAGATAGAGTGTCACACTCAAATTACATATGTACTTCATCTAATGACTTTCTTTTTTTTATTTGGTTTAAGAAACGAATAAAAATTGTAAGCAAATCAAGTAATTATTTAGTAGATGTCCATATAACGGAACTCGTGATTTATGAACAGTTACTCTGGTCTTAGTAATTGAATCCAAGGCTACAACCCGTCCCGACCTGCACAGCGAGAAGAAAAGATTGTTATATGTATCAGAATTAAATGATTTATTTCTATATGAATCGATCTGATCATACATTAGTTGAAAATCTTTTAGAAAAGTAAACTTAAGAGAATGGCTTGCAGAATAACATTCAGTTGTACGGAATACATTTTTGTATTATCTGAATTTTAATTAAATGTTTTCTTCGTATTCATTGGTGAACATATCTGTATGAAAAATTATTTCATCTCATATTGCTGTAATAAATTACAGTTCATTAAAACGCTTTTGCCTTAGTAAAATAAATGCAATATCAAAATCAAATTAATTCAAAGTGATGTTGTGAATCGCTTGAGTAATTTATACTTAAGTTTAATAACCATTCAAATGATATTATTATCCTAAGCACCTAATTTGATTCTATTCACTTTGTTAATTGTAATTATTTCAAATTCTAAAAATACAGAATATTTACGAGAAAAATGTATATTTTGACTGTTTCGTGTTACTAATTATAAAAGGGAATAGCCATCTTTGTTGTTTAATATTATACATAAATTGATTATCGATCAATGCTGAAGGGATTTTTTTATTCTAAACAAAATATTTGTTATATATTACTTTTTTAGTTAACTAGATGTTTCTTATGCTTATATCGTCTAATGAATCAATAATACACGCGATCACCTTCATCATTTCATCAACAGTTTTCCATGTAGAAAACGCACACGTATGACTCATTGAATTTTTTTTTCTTTTTGAAATCAAATATTATTATACTACACACGTCTATTTATTTATAAGAAAATCATTTCTATGAATAGAATAAAAACCTATCAGAATCATCTATGCCTCAATGTTTACAAAAAGAATGTCTGAGAAAGTATTATTAATATTTTCTTTTTTCCTTAAATATATTTCAATATGATTAGCAAGCCAAAACAATCTCGATACGTATGTCTACAGATTAACACGCCTCAAAGCTATTGAAAGAATGCTAACGAATTGAATAATCTAAGTAGCACGATGGCACTCTCGGTGAACTAGCAAAGCCAATTAGGCTAACAGCTAGACTAAATGCATTCAAGCATCGACATCTTTTCTCTTCTTCTTAACTATCTCTACTAAAGTACAATATGGAAAAACAAGAGTCAGAAAAATTTCCGCCTCCATAACTTGCTTTCTAGCGATCGGTTTATTAATTGCTATAAATTGTATTGCTCTTTAGTGTTGAACATGTTTTTGCTTTTCTAATTGTTGTCAAAAAATCTTTGAGAGATGGAAGATACGACTCTTTTCTTTTCCTCTTTTCTTTTTTTGGAAATAGAAAAGAAGGAAATAGAATGTTGTATTCATATTCAGATAGTAAATCTTGTCTTGTTCGATTGAGTGCAATCATTTGATCGAAATCGTTTGTGATAGATGTTACAAAAACATTCTTTTTTTTTTTTCTTTTACATTTATAGATAATATTTCCTATTTGTCTATATATATATCACCTAAAACTATGCAACCGATCAATATTCTTTTGATGTTCATTGTTGGTTATATTACTTTAATAACGATGACATGTGCTCTTTCAGTAAGATGAAAAATATATTTTTCATTTATATTTAAATTTTTAATTTCAGGAGCAACAACATCAAGTTGATGAAATGCATGTTAAACCAGCAATAGCAAGCAAACGTTTCTATGATTTTGGTTCTCGATCAATCCATGCCAATGATGAAGAATTACAAAACTCCAATGATGAATCAGATCGTGCTCGACGATTCTATGATTTCGGTACAAGAAAACGTTTCTATGATTTTGGCTCAAAGAAACGTTCTAATGAATAAAACAAAAAACACTCATCTTTTTTTTTTGCGTATATGAACAAGCTATCCTAATCTATAAAAAACTTAGACTAAACAATGGTGTATACTTTTGTTACTGATCGAGTTAACCATTATGGTTTTATTCGTTACATCATTGAATAAAAACGAAATAAATATTTTTAAAATTAATGTTTTTCTTCCAATGAAAAAAGAAAGCAACAAGAGAATGAACATGCAAAACATTCTGTTTGAGCAGAAAATATTCAATATGATCTAGAACATGTTAACAGGAAATAACAAATTGTTAATTCTATTGACTATATTATTCACATGAGAATATCGTTTTCAATCCTGTTCGTGTACACAAACAAAAAAATGCAAAACTGTATGTTTAATAAATAGATTAGAACATACACATCAACTACTGATGATTTATAAATTACTATTATATGATTATATGTATTGTTGTATGTGAAAAAAAGACAAAAAAATAACATTAAGATGTATGATGACATTCGATTTCTTTTGTATTTCTATCCATTGTTACATGACCTATGATAGATAACGGTTTTCGTAGAGAAAACTGTATTATTAGAAATTAATATTTTCTAGGTGATGTATCTCAAACAACTAAAAGTTTGTAGACATGTTACTTTAATAAATGACTTGATATTGAAGTGAGTACTCTATTAAATGAATTTTTTCGTATTATCTTTAAAAAAAAAGTATTATAAAAGATTAAATTATATACCTTATTATTTTCTATTTTGTTCATTTCTTTTGACAGTAATAAGGATTGATAATTACGAACTGGTTATTTATATTAGCATTGAAAATGAAAATAATTTTTTTAAAAAAAAAAGAACAGAATGACGTCAATAGATCGGTTGTCTTTATTTATATTCTAATAGTTACCAATAAACCTTTCATTAATCTCATATTTATCTATAAAATAATTTAAAGAAATTAATAAAAACATATTGATTAATCAAATTAATTTTGCTTTTGTTGTTATTTTATGTAGATGTTTCGTCTAAAAATATAATCTCTAATAATGAACATGAAGTAGAAGTAATTAGGAATCTTATTATATTGATAAAGAAAAGTCGACATTGACTATATGTATTTGCACATGATTCTTTCGATTAATACACAGCGTGGTATATTTTCACGCTTGATTTCTCAAGCAATAAAATAAACATAATAAGACTAAATATCTATCATAACAAAAATATATTAACTACAAATGGCTAAAAATTCTCCGCATTATCCATTGACATTTGAAGAAGTCGAAGAAATGACAACAGCATTTAAAGAACTTGATAAAGATTCTAATGGAAGTATAACAGCACAAGAAATGAGGGAATGTCTTAATCGAACACACATTGACCATGATAACGATGAAGTTGATAGTGCTATGAAAAGTATGGATAGTAATAAAGATGGAAAAGTAACTTTCGATGAATATATGAGTTTTATGGTTAAATTGGTTACAGAACAATCTCATAAAAAAGAACGAAAGCATTCATCAAAACAACAAACAAAGAAGAAATAACTATAATTATAAATTCATCACAATTTATATATATACATCACATGAAACTTTACCAACTATTCTTCGTACAATTTTTTTTCATATTCTACAATATGTAAAAATATTTAGAAGAGAGAACAAGAAATAATAAATATTTTTAATGTGTTTTTCTGGAAAATAAATATATATATAGCTTAAAACACTTGCAATATTTTTCCTTATAAAAAAAGACAAAAAATCACATGATTTTGTTTTACGTCGAAGTCAAAACACAGAAAATTTAGTAATGAATCATTATGATGAATAATTATTGATAATTGCAAATTCATGATCGTTTATTACGACTAATCTGCCATTCTTTTGTCAAGAACATTCATACAATTAATAGTCACCTTAACCTTTTAAATGGTAATGTCATACGAATATCATCACTATCAGGTAAATAAATAGAAAATATCACAAATCGTATATTATATAATAGCTGCATTTTGTTCACTTTTAGTAATTCTTATAAGAAAATTGATTTTGTTCTACATATTTTCCTTATCTTCTTAATTTTATTATTGACACTAAAATAAGAAACATGTAGGAGAAAGTTTGTTTGTATATATTAGCAACTATATAACATTACTGGAATTAATGATATAAAAGTCAATGAATCATCAATAAAAGAATATATATATATATATATACGTAGTAAATGATATAAACAAAAATTATTGATAGATATCATTTGGGTACGATTGACAGTATCTGACTGTGTATAGACATCATTATTTCTTCTGAATAAATTACAGAATATATAGCTCAAAATGGTGATAAATCAATTGATATGTCGATTTTGTTATCTAATATTGACAAATGCCTGTCATATTTTCGTGTTCGATGAATAGTATTCAGAATTGATAAATTGTTTTATTGAAAACTTAACAAAACATAATATTTCGATAGAATTATTTATGTTATCTATTAAATAATTCATTGAATGTATAAGTTTTGTATTAAGATAGATACAGAAAAAATAAAATCATATATCAATAGGGAATGAAAAGAAAATAGCTTTTTAGTGACAAAGATTTGTTCTCTAAGGAAAAATATTCACTTCTCGGCTTGCATTTATATGACATTAACTTTATTTATACAAAAGAAGACAGTCATCATCATGTATTGGGTAGTATATGATACATGATGTATTTCTGGGAATAGCAAAAAAATAATTTTTTTTTCTATCTATCTATCTACAGCACATGTATAACCACTAGACATTATCTATCTTTCTTTCATATATACATCGAAACAGATAACACAAAAAACTTCTATTTGATGATAGAATATCATTAAGTAGAATTGTTTTTTACTTGAAACTTTCACTCATAGTAATTATTTGTTTTATTTTTGCTAAGAATTTTTTTCTAGTTGTATTGTGTACTCTAGTTGTATATTTATTTTAACAAAAATTATATTTTGTCATCATTAAAGACGTGCGTACATACGATAATGAGAACAAATGACTTCATCTGTCATGAAAAATAGCTACTTGTTCCATAGAGTAAGTAAAATCTTTCGAATTTTATAATACTTATCTTCTATGACGATAATTAAAAGAAAAAAGATTAAACTGTCTATTATAATTATCTAGAAAAGCTTAGCTTTCTATTCCATTTTTTATTTTCACAAGCTCATAGAATTTTTATAAGTAATATTACTTCGCGATTTTTTTCCAATAGCGCATGTATTAAATATGGGATAAAACAAATGTAGTCTAAGTACCTAACAGAATTATGTCTGAACATGAAGAACAAGTAAGTGCCTATATCATCAATCAATTAATATAATATGACAATATTTCAATCTTAAAACAACCAGAAAAAACAAAAACCTATACATTTATCAATACCTCGAAAATTTTAATTGAATGCTACTTTAAAGTTTAATAAATAACTTCAGAGATAACAATTTCTAGTTTTCCGCTTACATGTATCCTTAAGTCGTTTTTTCTCGGAAGTGTATGTTAATTAATTCAAATATATAACTAGTATATATTTCCAGTTTGTGTACCTGATAGCTTGAGTTACAGATCGTTATTCAAAACTTTTGAAACGTTTATTAGCTTAATTTTTAAGACACCTCGAACTCGTATATGGCATCTTATGGTTTTAGTTTAGAAATAGGAACTATTTATATTGAAATTTCTTTTAGATATGTTAAAAAATTTATGTAAAATATTATCATGAGTAAAAATCCATGTTTATCAAATCAAAATGTAACAATCTATACTGATTTATTACATGATATTGAAATCTATGGTTATCGTTATATTATTTTAACTATATGTATATTTGGTACTGTATGTAATATATTAAATTTATGTGTTCTACTTCAACGTCGTTTAAAAGAATCACCATATACTTATTTAACTGGTTTGGCTATAGCTGATATGCTTACTCTAATATCAATATCACCATTTTCAATTGTACGTGGTGACTATATTCGCAATGAGAAAATTTTAGATATTTTAACACGTTTTGAATCGGCATATTATATGCCATTAGCAAATTATTTTGGTCAAGTAAGTATAATGATAACATTAGCATTAACAATCGAACGTTATTTATTTACAACTTATCCATTACATACACGAAGTTTTTGTAAACCACGTTATGCCCGTATCACAATAATAATTATATTATTTATTTGTGCATTACTTAGTTTTCCTCGATTTTTATTTGAAACTACAAGAAATATTATTGGTCCAATAGGTTCATTAAATACAACAATATGTTCAACTTATCCATTTATTATAAAATATTCTTCAATCAATTTAACTCATATTGGTCAATGTTTTTGTATTGTTTCATATCCACGACAAAAATTTTTACCATATAGAAATATTTATTATATAACCATGTTTATTTTAAATCAAATATTTCCTGCATTAATATTACTTTTTTTAAATTTAAAATTAATTCAACGTGTACAACAATCAAATCGTTATACATTAAATGAACTTGTTGCTCGACAACATAATCCAATAATATCAACAACACCAACAATACATCCAATAAAACAACGACGTTTACGTGATGAACATCGTTTAACAAAAACACTTGTAGCGGTTGTGGTTGTATTTCTTATATGTAATACATTTACAATTGTATCTTATCCAAATTTTGTACGAACAATAACGGAAAAAACTTATCCAAATTATATTTTTGTTGGTTTTCGTATACAAAAATTAATTACAAATATTATGTTATTATTAAATTATTCAATAAATTTCTTTTTTTATTGTGCATTTAATCAAAAATTTTTAGATACACTTAAATTAACATTTCGTCATCGATTATGTTTATATTTTCATGAACAAAATGAAAGTATGATGGCACGACGTACATTATTTAATAGTACAACATCATCGGCAACATCATCCTATCATGTACAATCAAAAATTCATCATTCAAGTAAACATTTATCGAATTATGAAGATGAATTACCACGTTCAAAACAACAACGATTATAAATAATTAGTTTATAGTTTTTAAAATGTTATCTGTAAATACTGTATTTTATAAATCAATCGAATATGCATACTTTTTTTTGTTTTTATTATTACTATTGAAGAATTTATTTCAATAAATCTTAATAATTATTTATTCTGACATATAAAATTTCTTCTCGAGATGAATCATTTGTTTTCATTGTGTAAATTTTTACAGGTGCATAACTAATTTCTTTTTTGTTGAATTTTTATGTTGTCTAATGTGAAATTAAAGGAGACTTTTGTTTTGGCTTACATATAAATTATTTCAACGATAAAATTCTCATTTCTATTTTTACAGTATTGATAAAAAAAATAGAAGAAAAAATATATCAAAGGAATTTGATTGACAGAAGTAGAAGAAAAAAAAAAGAAAATGACGTTAGTTATATTTACAACCGAGAAATGTCATAGCAACCAGGGAAGCAATGAGAGTATGTGAGCATGTAGATAAAAAATTTTCTTTCGTTCGTTCTTATAATAAAGCATTTGTCTGATTAAAAAGTTGCACAAATTGAAGAGAAAACGACGTTTAAAATATGAATCCAAATTATAATCAACAACAACAACCACCTATTTATACAACTAAACATTATATTCATGATCCTCAAGCAAATGCAGGAAATAATAATAATCAATCACATCCTCCTGCTCCAGCATATCCTTATTATTCAAATAATCAACCACGAACAACTATAACATATGTAAATGACAGACCAAATTATGGACAACAACCCCAATCTTATGCTCCACCAAATGCAAACTATAATGGACCACCAAATCAGAATTACAATGGACCACCGCATCCAAATTATAATCAACCACCGCCAAATCAAAATTATAACCAACCACCGAATCAAAACTATAATCAACCACCACATCCAAATTATAACCAACCACCAAATAATCGAAATGATTATAATAATCCGGTTAGAGGAGGTGGTGGTCCTGCTGGTGGTGGTGGAATCGAGAAAACGAATGTGATGTCGAATGAAAGTCCATTTCATGATCCAGCTCGTCGACATGAACAAGTTAATCCATCACGTAGAATAACATCTACGGCATCCTCATCAAAAGATAGTGGAGAATCCAATAAAACATTAAATCTTTCAGAAGAAAGTCCATTTCATAGTATTTATAGTGGTTATCATTATCCATCACAAATAGATCCAACAAAAAGAATTACAACTCAAAATGCAGGTGCACGTTCAACAGATAATAAATCATTAAATTTATCTGATGAAAGTCCATTTTTTTCAACATATGGACGTTATCATTATCCATCACAAATCGATCCACAAAAACGTATTACAGAAATGCCAAAATCTAGTGGATCTTTAGGACAAACAAATGAAATGTCAAATGAAAATCCATTCAGTAATTATCGACCACCGTCACCTCGAAACTATGCACCAGGTCCTGGACCAAATTCATATTCACCACCTAATAATGATTCGAATAGAAATTATAACAATAATCCAGTACCAACTCCATATCGATCGAATCAAGAACAACAACCACCACCAAATTATTATAATCATCCACAACCATCATCTATGCGACCACCAAGTCCACCAGTATCACAACCTCCAGTACGTCCACCAGCTCAAAAACCAAATCCTTCTGGTCCACAAGATAAAACATCATTAAATATGAGTCCTGATAATCCATTTGCAGCAACTTATGGTGGTTATCATTATCCGTCGGCAGAAGAAATTAAAGCTCAAAAACGATCTAATGAACGTAATGCTCGTTTTGCAGATCAACAACCAGTTAATAATAATCGACCAGGAGGACAACCATCAAATCAAATGAGTGAATATCCCGAAGCAGAAAACAAAGATGTTATTGCCGGAAAAGGAAACACGAAATTTACTCGTTTTGAAGTCAATTTTTGATACAAACAACTAATAAGAAACCATCATTTTTTTTCTAACATGATCTTTATCAAACACAATACTTGTCTATTTTCTTGTTTTCTCACAGTATATATAAGTACTACTATTGTATCGGTTTTATAGAAAAAAAACAAAATATTAAAATATATTACATTTATTTTAAAGAAAAAAAAATGCACAGAACTATTCAGTATTATGTTTAGGTAAAAGTATATATTAGTTAGTCATCATATAATGCTAGACATTCTACAGAACATTGTCGTTTCAAATAACTTTGATGTGCATATCCTTGATAAGCAAGATTATCATCAACATCTTCATCTTGAAGTTTATTCGACATATTTTCAGCTAATCGAATTAATAATGCAATCATTCCACGTTGATCATCAAATTGTTCGACATCTTTTAATATTTTTAATTGTTCCTTTACAAGCTCAGTAGCTTCTTTTCTTTTGCCGTCTTTTACTAATTGTGCAATTTTTGTATCCATATCAGCAGCTGTTTGAGTAGCAAACATTGTTTTAACACGAGGATCAACTTCCATAATAAGTGATTCATCTTCGACGAATTTTAATGATAAAGTATTTTTGATAACAGTAGGCTCTCCATTAGGATCATTTGGTTGCATAAATCGTAATTCATATGTAAGTGTTTCAACTTCTTGTCCATCATTATTACCTGAACCACCAATTGTAAACTCACAAAGAACTGATCGTAGATTATTTGCATGAAGATCACCAAGACTTGCGCCCGCAGCAAGATCATTATGACCCCAAATCTTTGTAACAATAGCTCCATTTTTGCCACGTACAATAAGACGGGTTTGTGAACCACATACACCAAATACACTTATAATAGCTTTAGTAACAAGTGGTTCAATGACTTGAGCTGATTCAAGAAAGAAGAATCTTGATCCACCAGCATCAGCAATACCTTTCATAATTTCTGCATCAAAATCAGCACCAATACCAAATGAATCTGTTATAATTCCATTATTATTAAATCCAGCAACAAGACCTGTTAATTCAGCTCGTGTTTTCATTCCAACATTTGCTTGTCCATCCGAAAAAAGAAACATACGACGTGAAAATCCCTCATAGACATATTTATTGAGAAGATTTGCACCTGCTTCAATAGCGCCGGACATATTTGTTGAACCAGCAGTTGTAAGATTTTCGACAACAGGATAAAGATGTTGACGAGTAGATGCACGTGCATTTTCAAAAACAATCGATATATCTGAATCATATGCAACAAGATGAACTACATCATCATCATGAAGAAGACTAAGAACGGAAATGACAGCTTTCTTTGCAAAGATGAATTTATTATCACTTTGCATTGAACCAGATCGATCAAGAATAAGTACTATATTAAGTGGTGTTCGTTTGTTTTTTTCGCTTTTACTTTTTGTTTCAATATCGAAACGAACTTTTTTTGTATTTAAAATACCCGAAAGAGCATATGGATTATCTGGTGTACATCGAATTTCAACAATATCTGATTCATTATAATACGCCATATTGATAGTATGCTATATTAAAATAAAAATTGTAATTATTATATTGAAGAAATATGATTGAACTTACTTTTAAATAAGCTGAAGAATGAATTGATTGTTCACACGTTAAAAAGAATAAGAAATATTACTTCAAATGAAAATCCTTACGCCTTTTATACTACGACAGAAAGCGACATCGTTGTGCAATATATATCGTATGAATAATGTTTGTTATTTCACAACTATGATAAAAGTATGATTCATTCAAGAAAAACCGTTTACCTTGTTCCGAAGAGCAAAGACAAACTGTATGACTGAATATTATGCATTTTTTTTATAATTTTATTGACCTAATTCGCAACGAATTCAAATGTTAAATACAAAATAGTTGTTATTACTTGTTTGAGATCCACCAAATGCATGAAAAAATATTGCTAGTTAATTTTTTCTCTCTATGACTTTATATACTATCTATTTTATGGTGATCAAAACAATATTGTTATCATTTTCTTTTTGTTTTACGAGTCGCTAAAGATAGATTATAACCTTTGTATTTTACGTCACTATATATACATCCCGAGAGTCTAATACACCTACATCTTCAAAACCTTTATTACTTAGTATCGATAAAAACATTTATGTTTCAAGTGATATATCATAATCTATGCAACATCTAAATTTTTAATCCTATTTATTAATATTAGATTTAATTTATACTTTACAACAGAATCCGAATCAACAATTCTTTAATAAGAGTCGTTATAAATTTATTTATTAAATAATTTTTATTGGTAATTATGAAATACTCTTGATTTTTATTAACAAAATAATAGAAAAACTATCTCTCAGCACTTGATACACTTCGTTCATAGAACATCAGGATTTACAACTTGAGACCGTACGTTTTTCTTCTTAAATATTTATGTAAATAAAATAAACTCTTAAAACCAATGTTTACGTTTAAAACATGACAGCATAAAAATTGCCAATGAAGCCATAACAGCAAGTACAATGTAATAGGAATATTTATACGTCAATTCTGGCATATTTTCAAAGTTCTAATATCAAAAACAGAAAATATATATATATATATATATTAATAAAGAAATAAAATATGTTTTACCATGCCATAAATACCACTAATAAATGTTAATGGTATAAAAATAGTTGATATAATTGTTAATGTTTTAACAACTTCGTTCATAGCATTAGAATTTAACATCATATAAAAATCAATAAATGATGCTAACATTTCTCTATATGTATCAATTGAATCATTAACTTGTATAATATGATCAAATAAATCTTTTAAATAAATATTTGTACTTTCTTGCATAATTTGTGTTTCTTCTTCTTTTTGTAATTTAATTAATATTTCTTTTAATGGTGAAATAACTGAACGTAAATATAACATATTACGTTTCATATCATAAATATGTTCTAATGTATCACGTTTAAGTGTTTTCATTAATTGATTATCAATTGCTTCAACTTTTGTACCCATTGTATCAAGTACATCCATATAATGATCAACAACAACATCCACAAGTGAATAGAATAGATAATCAATTTTAGATTTTCTTATACGACCTTTACCTTGTCGAATACGATCTAATATAAATAAAAAAAATATATAATTTTCAGAAAAAAAAAGAAATTTTTTTATTACTCTTAATTGAATCAAATAAATCTTTAGGTGTTTCTTGAAATGTAATAAGAATATTAGTTTTCAAATAAAAACTCATTTGTTCAATGACCGTATGACCTGAATGTGCCACATCACGATATATTAATTTACATATAAGAAATAATGCATCATCAAGAACATCTAATTTTGTTCGTTGTTCAGTTGTTTTTATATCCGTTTGAACTAATGAATGAATATCAAAACGATCAGCTAATTGAGTTACAACATCTTGATAATGAACTCCATCTACATCAATCCCTTTAGAGAAAAAAAAAGAACAAGTAGAAAATTGAACGAGTATATATTTTTTAAACTTATGCATACATGTCATATGTGTTGGTGATGCTATCAATGCATTTGGAATGTCATCCACTTTTTTGTATGTATTTTCCGTAAAACCATCATCATCATATGTAAAAACATTTAATGTAACTGGTGATCTATGAATATCAGAAAAAAGATAAATAATATTTATTTCAACTCAATAAACTTACGATGGATCAGTGAAATGTACCAATGTATGAGATGAAGATCCACCGAATCCAAATTGTGTTAAACGTCTGTTATCCACTGTAGCTCTTCCAATAGCTGAACGATTTTCAGCTCCAAAGCCTGGCTTTGTACGTCGAAACGGCATAAGATTTGCTGTACGTGATGAGAAAATTTTTGTCATTTTTATAAATAACGAACTAAAAATTGATGTTAAACTAGAAAATAAATGCCATTTATAAATACTTATAACTTACTAGTTTACATTGAGATTCGTTTATTTTTGTAGAAGAACAAAGAAAACTATTCGACAAATTTGAATTTGTAATGAATAGCTATCTTGGCAATGGTTATGACGTGAGAAACAGATACTTGTCATGCGTTTATATGATCGGTATTATTTAGGCATGATTAAGTATAAAGAGAAATAAAACATATTTTTTCGTTGATTTTTTTTCTTCTCTTATCTTTAGTACAAAATAGGTGGGCGATATAGAAAAGAAGCTTACCTATTTTTCTTCAATCAACCGTATCAAAAAAGAATAGAAAGATTGAATGAAAAAAATATTCACCTGATTCAATATGTTTATTTGTACATAAAACATGCCTAGTGAAAATAATGTATATGTACTTTTTCCACTTGTACACCTCTCATTTGTAACTTTTTACATCCTTATCAATACCAATCTGTTACGTCATGAAAAGATTGGTAGGTACTTAATCTTTTAAATATTTGAATAGTTTTAATATGAATCTTAATTAGAATGAATAATGATCGTAGTAACTTATGTTTCTGTGATTAATAATGACATACATGTTAAGTCAAGAGCACAATAATACCTCTCAAATGCAATATCATATCTTTAGTCCGAGCAGGACAAAGTACTCGTACTCGCTCTCGAGAAAGTCCGTACTTGCCTAGCTCTGTTTTTAGTCTTAAAAATTAAAACTTATCAAAATAGATTTAGTCATGTTCAACTATTTCTGATGATTTAACAACTCATCAGATGCTGACTGTCATTTTCCCCTAGCAAAACTTACACTAGTGTCTGAGTGAGACATATCGAATGCAGTTACTAAACGAAAAGAAGAAGGTTTGGCGATTAAGTACGAAAGACCTCAATACAATTCAAAAATCAGTTGAAAACTAAAGAATAAGAATACTTTAACAGAGGATCGAATACATTTTGAAATGCGTGATATTTTCAATTCAAGGTCAAATCACTTAATAACTGTCATAGTTACATTCATAATGAATAACATTTGCATAATGTTATCTTTATATTCGACAAGAAACAATATATTAGAGTTATAATCTATTAGAATAATATAGATACATTATTTCATTTTACAATACCAAAAAAAAACAATATTTTACACAACATAATTAAAATATTTTCGAAAAAACAAGCACCCATACAAAGTATAAATAACTGTAAACAAACACACACAAAAAAAGATTTTATTCGTTTTTCTCATCATTCTCTTGTTCGATAGGATAAATAGCTGCTGATTTAGATTTGATCATAAATGGTAATATTGTATGTGTTTGTATCAATGTCTTATTATCAATCATTGAAGATACATTCGTATTATTTGTTGAATCAAATAAAGGTTCATAATGTTTATAAAATTCTTCATACTCAATACTATTCTCTTCTTTTTCATTATCTGTTGAAATTGACGTTTGTTCATTCATATGTGATTTAAGTGCATCAGGTTGACATGGACATTCAAAATGAACACAATGAAATACTTCATTAGCAGTATTATGTGTACCACATATTCGTATAAAAGTAACAATACGAGGTGCAAATGTTAAGATTTGCCATGATCTATTACAGAAAGGGAGAGAAAAGATTCATTATATCTAATAAAATAAGAATTTATTACCGGCAAGCACTTGTTCTTTTATCGACAACTTTTGTCCATGTTACATTATCATATGATGTCTCAATATAATAGGAATACGAACGATTATCACAATCCCATAATAATAATCTAAATAGATATTTAAAATTCTTATTAAATTTCGTTGTAAGAAAATTTTACCTCATCGAACTGACAATATATGGTTGACATAATTGAATAATAATTCCACCTGAACCAATTTGATGACATGTATAACCTAAGAGAATGAAATAAAAGTCTTTGCCTATTCTTTAATTTAAATTTACCTGAATCCCAATCATATGATTGATAATCTCCATTAATAAGTGCATTTCTCATACGACTAACTCCTTCAGATACAACAGCACTACCTTCTATTGTAGCCATATTTTCAATTGGAACTAAATATAACAAGAAACAGTTCGAAATAAATATTGTTACTATTGTAAAACAAACCATGAATATCTCCAATAAGTGCAAATTGTTTTTGCATATAAAAAACTTCCATTGAAACAAGATGAAAGACCTTATTTACAGTATTATATGTACCAACAACACGAATATATCTAAAATAAATCAAATCAAATCGATAAAATTTTTCTTTTACTTTTGTCTAAACTTACGTAGCTACAATTGGAGGAAAGTATAATTTTTGCCATGATCGACATAAATATGGACGATAGTCAATAACTTTCGTCCAATTTATATTATCTACTGATACTTCGATATAATACGAATAGGCACTAGAAGAAAAATGATAGAAATTAAATTAGTTAATTAAAAGTTTTTCTGATAGTCAAATATGTACATCTTACAGTTTTCAAGGAAGTTCTCTTGATTTTAGGAAATATGCAGAATAGAGGTCAGAAAAAGTGAGCTGGAAATTTGGAGTTTACGGATGTCTAGTTTTCAACGAAAATCTCAGCTCAGAACTTGAACTGTCTGTTTCTTATTGCTCACATAAATACTCTTGGTTACTCTGAATCGACTGATGTTATTCAAGAAAAAAAACATGGAGTTAAACTTTGCAATTTGTTGAAATACCAAAGTCGTAAACTCCAAATTTCGAGCTCACTTTTTTTGATCCAGAATAGACTAGTTATCAAGATCAATTATCAAAAAAAGTCTGTCATCTTCGTCACACTTATTGAAAGAAGTAATCAGATCTAATTCGAAAATTTCAGAAACTCATGAGTTTTTACTTTTCTTTATGATCTGTCTTCGATAAAATTATTATCTACTGCAATATTTTAAACTGATTTAAAGTAACATGTTAATAAATAGTGTAAACTCATATTTTTATCAATCTCTAAATTTTACCGAGTATCCTTGTCCCAAAGAAGTAATTTAATATGATTGATTATTGATGGTCCATCTAATTTAATACAAATATTATGTGTATCATCGATTAAATGTCTTGTATAACCACGATCCTAAATCAAACATACAAAGATAGAATCTTTTTTTATAATAAATTAACAAACTAGATCGTAATTGATAGCATCACCATCCAATAAAGTATGTTTCATTTCTCCTAAAAAATTGAATAATAGACATAAAACTAAAAAACTATTTTTATTACCTGTGATTACTTGAGCAAGATATGCTTTTGTAGCAACATTTTCATTCAATCCTTAATAAAATAATTCAAAAATTAAATTTAAATAAACTTCTTTTTCTTACTTAATCGCCCTCGATAATTTTTATTTCGATTATCATTATTTATATCAGATGCTGTATTTGTTTCAAGATGAATAGCATCAATAGCATCCATAATATGATTTAAATCAAATAAATTCGAATAACGTACAATCTTTAATAATTCACTCATTGACATTAATGTTAATCGAACTTTGGATACAATATTATCAAATGGTGGACAATTTTCATTTTGATCACGATAATGATATTCATGCCAATTTTTAACAGCATGAAATATTTCAATTTCAGGACAATGAAATGAATCACGAGAAATAATTGATGAAAAGGCTTCCTATTAAATGATATAAGAATTTTTTATTAGAACAATATAATATAACTTACAGATGATAATGCTAGAAATTCACTTGTTTTTATTATTTCTGTTGCATAATTATCAATAAATTGAGCACAATGTATTTTAAGAGCATTTAATTCAAAAAGACAAGCTGTATCATAGATAAGGCAAACATTATTTAATGATAAAATTGATTTTAAATATATTGATAAACTATTTTCAAGTTGTTCAAATCCATATTGATGTACAAGACTAAGTAAATCAATTAAAACATCTTCCTACAAAATAAAGAATTCAATTTATTTTACGAATGAAATCTATGAAAATTTTACTTTTTCTTGTTTTAAACTAATTTGTCCGGTGTAAATATAAAGTAAAAGAATTTTAAATGCACCTGCTTTACATTCTTTTATTTCTATTGTATTATTATCATGTTGAGATTCACGTAAACCACCGTAAAGTAATGCTCGAAAATATTCCGAACGTGCAGCAAGAATAATACGATGAGCATAAAAATGTTCGGATTCAATAACTAATTCGATATCACTATAATCAGATTGATTATATAATTTACCTAAAACAATAAAATAGAATTAGAGGTCATACTAAATGTACCGATCTTAAATGAGTATAACGTCATTTATATTGATAACATTCTTTATAAAATTGTTATTGACTCGAATTTTTTCGTATCCAGTATAAGATATTTTGATATGTATGACTACGAGAATGTGATCCTACGTGATAATATTCAAGTTATAAAAGAATTTTGAAGTAAACGAGGTAATATAGACGTATCGATTCTTTTTTAGAGAGTTCTAATTGAATCTATTTTAGCATCAACGCTATTATTAAGGAGTTCTTTAATGGATGAATAAAGTTAGGAATATATAGAAGATCGCATACGAAAAAAAATGGTACCAATGTGTTTTATAATATATGGAATAAATAGATTAGAAACACAAATGATAGATGTATTAGGGATGATTATTTAAAATTATCTAATTTTTCCATTAGATAATACAAAATCATGTCTATATATTACGTACCAAAATCACCCGAAAGTACTGTTGTATGGTTGATTTCTCCCAATTCCTCTAATGTTTCAACCGATTTCGCTCCATTATTTGTATTGTAATTAACTCCAGATTGATTCGTATTATTTGTTGTTGTAGTAGATTGTGCATGTTGCTGCCAAGTTGACATGACTATCTGTAATAATTGTATTTATTATCCTTTTTTAGGTTTAAATATATAGCAAAAAAAACGAAGAATAAGTAGATCAATGTTAGATAGGTTACAATTAATAACCAAACAGATAATGAAATAGTAGATGTCACTGTATATAATATCCCGTTTAACATACAAGTAACGCTCGTCCGAGAACTCGCTTAGCTCTTTCTCGTAGAAATACATCCTCTTCGCATTTACTGGGAACACAATTGAAAACCGTGGAAAATAGGTTTTTGATGTTTTTTTACCTATACACCTTCCCCCTTTATTATAATCATCCAACAGGCCTCAGATTCGAACTCCCTGCATCGAAATACCTCCAGAAATCTCTTTTCCGAAAAATGGTCTTCGATGTTTTTTTGACCCGGCGGACACACAATCAAGCAAACAGTTTATATTTACTGGACTCTTTTCTACGAGAAAGAGAATAATCACCCAGTTCATATAATTTTATTTTTTTACTAAATTCAGAATAAACTAAAGAAATTAATCGATTATTTTTTTTTAAATATAAAAATTACCAATATAAAATAGTTCTGTCGAACCCTTGATTATTTCAAATCTTTTTCTTATTAAATTAATTAAATTTTTAATGTAACAACAATTGAAAGAAAAAACTAATTTCCTAGAAAATAAGTATTTTTGCACTTCTTATGTTAATCCATGTATAAAACTATTTCATGTTGGCTTCAGAGTTTGCTTATATAATTTTGAAATTAGGTCATCCATACAAATGAATTCAGCATATATATGTATTCTGATGACATTCATCAACGAGTTTTAATCTGATTCTTTCAATAGAGAACAGACTATTTTGCTTCTCTACTAGGTCGACAATATATATTATTTTAATAAGAAAAAAAATAATGAAAAACGTTAATGATTCTATCAGATAGAATCCGACAAAACAAAAGATAAGTATACTTGACAACTTTCTCTTTTTGCAATAATATATTTCTTACAAATTCATTCTTCCATTACTCTGCTAGACATTTAGTTAATTTAAAATATATAAAATATTAAACAATATAAATAACTATTTGCGTATACAAATGACTAAAGAAATCAATAATCGATTAAAATATAAATAACTTCTCTCAAAGTAATATACTATTCTATTTGATATAAATCAAATTCTTCGAACTTATATATATCAAAGCAATGTTTTCATATTTCTTCTTTGTCATATTATTAAAAATATTTATCCACATGACAGAGAGAGCAAGTATACGTTTGGAAAAAAAAAGGAGAAACAATGCGGTCACAATTTGCATGATTCAAGTCTACCATATTTTGATAAGCAATAGTAATGCATTGTTGTACTCTCTCTTATTCCCTTATGTATGTGCCTTTTCTCTCGAAGAACTTGCCTTGAGAGATGTGAAGTACGTTGAAGGAAAGAGTGATATAAGTTAAGGAATTAGAAGCAGAAGAACACAAAAAAAACCGACATGAGAACATATGGAATTTATAATTAAACTGACAGAACCTAACAACATAATTTTTTTTATTGTACTAATATAATCTAGTTAAGTTTACATTCATAACTATTCATATTTTTTCTTAATTAAAATCATTAACAAAGAGTATAGAACGAACCGAAAAAAAAATGTTATTTTACGATATTTATATTGTATTATACTATTCTATTAATGTCAATTAATATATTAGAATTCAAGTGAGTGTGTACCATTAATCCTTCTGCATCTGTTTAACTTTTAACATGCTACATCAGAATTATTAAAATAAACTAGACATGCACACACACAAGAAAATACTGAGGGAATATTTAGATTTTCTTCTTGAATAACTTGTCTTTTTCTTTTATTATTTTAGACATTAATCTTCCAAAATGAATGATACATTTAATTTACGTTCATTTGTTGAAAATCAAGTAGAAAAATTATCAACACCAAAAAATCTTATTGTAGATAAATTTCGACAAACAGTTGATACGATAAAATCACCATTTTCATCTAGTAATAATAATACCGAACAAGATGCAACAATACCATTAACAATAAATAATATGTCATATACTCTATGTCCATTAGAATCTCTATCAAGTTCATCGACATCATCAATATCTAGTAATGGTCGTTTATTGAATTCACATTTAATATCAACAAATATTCAAGATTCAATAACAAATATAAAAAATTTATCGAATAAAATATCATATCGATGTTCACCATTAAAACGTCATGTATCCGAATCAAATAAATCCGATGTTACAAATCTTTTACGACCAATTTATCATGATAATCCACCAATTAATGTTGATATTTTATTTAATCAAAATAATCTTGAGAAATTAAAACATGGCGAACGATCACGATCACTTATTCGACAATCAACAGAAGCAACATGTACATTTCCAATTCGACATGCTATTCGTCGTTTAGAATCAGTTGAAATTCCAGGATTAAACGGAGTTAAATCTATACGTTATATTAATGATGATCTTGGTAAATTACAACCTGATCTATATAAAAAACAAACATCAGAAAACGATCCATCTTATAATACTGGTAAAATAACATTTACACTTTTCTATAATCAATCATTAACATCATTAATAATAACAATACTTTCTATTGATCAATTACCATATCGTAATTTTAATTCGAAAGCATTACCAAATCCATTTATTAAACTTACGTTATTACCTGATCGTCGTAAAAAATTTCAAACAAAATTATATAAACATACACAATCAACACAATTTAATGAAACATTTCATTATCCAATATCTTATGAACAATTACATAAACGTATTTTATTATTATCGATTTATGATTTTCGTCGATCAACAAAAAGAAATTTAATTGGTACTGTTAAGATTGATGATATTTGTTCTATACCAGATATTACTTTATATGATATTATATTTACAAAAAATATCATGCCTAGTACAGAGGTCAGTTTCTATTAATGTTTTTAAAAAATAATCTATAAATGACATTTGAGTTGTTACATTGTAAATATATTCTATATTTATAATTATATGAATACAGGAAGTAGTACTTCGATGTAACATAAAAATTTAATTATGAAATATTTAAGGAAAAAAGTCTAGGTCTAATATATTGATATTATATGGAGATTTTTAAAAAGTATTAGTAACGAAAAGAAAAAGAAAATTTTATAGACGACATGATGTTTAAGCGCGCGCTTGATAATACTAAGAAAACAATCAACATATTTGTTCATACATAATAACGGAATGATGTACATTAGGGATTTATTTCGAGAGAGACAATAATGAAAAAACATGCTATATTAACCTCAAGACAATAAGAAAAAATTAAGTTAGAAAAATGCATTATATTATTGCTCAGGGATGAGAATTAAAATATATTCAATACTTTTATCCCAAATAGGATAAGCCGAAGATTTTAAATTTCGATTTTAACTAATAGAAATTCGTTAGAATAAGAAATAATGAGTATTGCTAATTCTTTTGATATATAATATTTTGTTAGTTATGGAATTGTACTTTTCGAGATTCTTTTCTATCGTCAAAAATAATTTTGAATTAATAAACAAGATTATAGAGCCTTTCGGGATAAAAATATTTATTATGAAGATATTCAAGGCCGGATATGAATAAAAACAAAGTTCTCGATATATATATAAACATCTCCATTATAAGTACGTCTAGAAATATGAAAAGTTCAAGTTAAATATATCTCGGTACTATAGGTCAGACCTCAAACCTCGAGTGTACTTGGATTTTTAATAAAAGAAAAACATAACATTTACTTTCCAATCATCCTCTTTTAGAAACATCAACACAAAAGTTTATAGTCTAAGTACACGAATAGATACAGATTGTTTAGTTTACTTTTTACATACAATTAGAAGTGTAAGGCGTCAGCCGATTTTTGCTGAAGCTGACGACTGGTAGCTGACATTTTTGCTAGAGACGACGGCTTACATCTCTACATACAATCATACTTAAAATATTTGTCTATTGAATATTAATAAGCTTTCGATGAAAATACATAAGAATGTTATCTATATCAATGATCATTAGGGACCTGCGGAGTCCACTTTTTTTGACTCCGACTCCGAAAAACTTCGAAATTTTGTTAACAAAAAAGCGACTTCTGGAGTCAACTTTTCTGACCCGAAATCCGACTCCGCCGGAGTCATAATCGGATTTCGAAGTACTCCGCAGCTCCCTAATGACCATTGTTCAGAAATAGAATCAATATCGATTGAAACGTTACGTTTATCTCATTTCTGAATTTTAGAGTGATCCTGATCTTGGTGAATTAACAATATCATTATGTTATTTACCTAATGCTAAACGTGTTACTGTAACTATTGTTAAAGCAACTTCATTGAAACCAATGGATATAACTGGAAAATCTGATCCATATGTCAAAGTTCTTCTATTAATAAATGGAAAAAGAATTCGAAAGAAAAAAACATCTGTTATATCAAATACACTTAATCCAATGTATAATGAAAGTTTAGAATTTGATTTATCAAATGAAGATCTTCAACATGCTGATTTAATATTTAAAGTTATTGATTATGATCGTGTTGGTTTAAATGAATTAATTGGTTGTACTGGTATTGGTATTCATTTTCATGGTATTAATCGTAATCATTGGTATCAAATGTTAGAATATCCACATGTACCCATAACTCAAAATTATAATTTATGTGAAACAATACCCATTATAACATGTACAGATTCCAAAGTAAATAACAAACAAAATAATTTGTAAAAAGAAAAATATTTTTATTTGTTGATCTTCATTTTTTTTGTGTTTTTTTAAAAAAATAAAAGATGTATATTTTGAAAAAAAAGAAAAGATTATTTTCGCTTGTTAATATTAATTAAATTGATTGCTATTCATTAGAATCAGATGTTGATGGTTTAGTTCGTTTTGTTTGATCTAATGTAAATGATGGTACTTGACTTTCATCTTCAGGTATGGATCGTTTTCGTGATTCATCTTTCTTCAAATTTGAAGAAAACATAAAATAGTTTTAAAAGAAAATCAATAACTTACTGGTATTAGAGATAAACGATGGATAAGCATAGGTACTGGATCATTGATTATTTCTAGTTAATACAACAATAAAATAAATGGACTATGCTATGACAAGATTGATCTTTTCAAGCATATTTACAAAAATAAAAATGATTGATAGACAGTTTTCTTTAATTAAAAATGTTATATATTTTTTATTAAGATTACAGAGATGATGGAATGTTTAATAAGTGAAAATCTTGTTTTCTATTCATCTATATTAATACCTTTTGCATTGGAATCAAGTATTGCAGCATATGTTGGTTGAACAGACTAGAATAGATCATTCATATATCGTATTTTATTAGAAAAAATATTATACACATACTAACTGACGAGTAGCACCAATTGTATGAAGTCTAGTAAAATTATCTGGATTTCGACAAGGTAAATCTTTTAAAAATAATGACTAAAAATATCAAAACCTTGAAAATAAGAAATATAAGTAAACAATAATATTACCATAATACAAATATGGATAAATTTAGATGGAAATGATTGATCATGTTTAGCATAGGTATTGATAGTCGAAATTTTTTTTTTGAAGGCCTGTCGTTAACCAATAGAATGTTATGATAAATAAGATGTCGGTGATAAACAGTTGATAACTATATAGATCAATCAGTATGAAGAAAAAAAGAGCGAGAATCATCGCATTTTAGTATTCTTAATTCGATATAACATTGAAATCAAATGTTAATACTTCTGAACATATATTCGATTGTTACAGAATTTCATCTAGGAAAGAAGAGAGTCAAATGTTTTGATTCATTCATTCTTAACTGCTTTACTATTAAATTCGAAATCAATTGCATATAAGCTTTAATCTTTATCAATAGTCATTTTTTATTATTGTAGTATTCATGCAATTCCATCGCGTTCTTACAGCATTTCAAATATATCAGTGCAATAGAATAACTAATAATAAAACAATTTGCACTTATATATTTTATCAACATATAAATATTATTTTAAATAGATAAGATTGATCTGAAAAATTTATTCCGAAGTTTATAATCTATAATTTGTATTGATTTCATTCAGAGACGTTACATAATGCTTGCGATTTTTGAGATATATTTTCTATACGTTCGCATGTGATGCATATCAAACGAAGGATTCAGTTTTGATAGTTAATCATATCGGAACTGTTACAGATAAAACGATTGGTCATTATATAATTTTTCATTTAATTTCATCTTTTACGGAAACGACATATGAATTGATAATTCGATGGATTTTATTTCTTTTTGCAATTAATGTATGTTTTGTTATCATGCACTTATTTATTCTCATGTTCTACTTATTATTTTTATTTTAAGAAAAAAATCACCTGTTTTATTTTCACATCTTTCTTTATCTTACAAAATAAAACTAATAATCAAGCAGATTTATTTTTCTTGAAGAAATAAAAGTCGTAAAAGATGTTCGATCAGAATCGTTTATTTTATGTTCTCTTTGGATTAGTTGTTATTTTTCAGACGAGTTCTTGTCATAAAACAATACAAAATTATGGTGCATATTGTGCTAATGATACAGCACGTGGTGATCCAAATTTAATTCCAGTTGATGAAAGTCAACCTCGATTTGTGAATAAAGTTGAAAATGGTACACTTTATCAAATCGGTGCAGGTGAAGATCAAGTTTGGTTAATTCATGTTTATGGTAATACAGGTTATGATTTCGGTTATGCTTATGGCACATTATTACGTGATCAAATTAATAAAGTTCTACCTCGTGCTTGGGCACATTTTGAAGAAGAAATACTCAAAGAATTAAAAAATTTAAAATTACCAAAATGGTTTGAAGACTTTGTTGTAGACAAAGGTCTTTCATTTGCATTAGATATACAAAATGATCTTGTTAAAAAATATATGGATGAAGAAGTTTATAATGAAATGCGTGGAATTGCTGATGCAGCTCAAGTTGATTATAAAACTGTTATTCGATTACATATGCTTGGAGAAATTACACGAGGTAAACTATTCTACTAAGAACGTCTCAAAGTATAATCAAACTTATAAATTAGTTATATCACTAGTGTGTTTATTATTAATAGATTCATTAACGAATAATAGTAAAATAAGTTCATATAAATACTAATTTAATAGTAATATATTTAAACAAAAAATGTAATTCATCTAGGGAATGAACTTGTATGATTTAGTAAAAAGAATATTATTTCATTTTTTTATAGGTCGATGTTCATTGTATGGTCTTTGGGGTAATGCAACACTCGGAGGAAAAACATTGCAATTACGAGCATTAGATTGGGATGTAGATGGTGGTTTACAAGATTATCCTGTTATTACTATTTATCATCCTCTCACATCAAAACTTGGTCATCCATTTGCTAATGTTGCTTGGGCAGGTAACTAATAAATAAAGTTTTGTTTTTCTCTTTTATTTCATGTTTCTACATATATTATGAAGGATATATTGGAACATTAACTGGTATGTCATCATTACGTCTTGGAATTTCTGAAATAGGTGTTTCATTTCCTGATGATACATTTGGTGATGAAAGTATGGCTGGTCTACCATTTATCTTTGTTGAACGTCATATATTACAATATAGTGAAACACTTGATGATGCTCTTTCATTTATTGCTAATGTTAGACGTACATGTCATTTAATTCTTGGTGTCGCTGATGGAAAATTAGGTACAGCTCGTATGGTTCAATATTCACATTCAATCGTTAACTTTTTTGATGATCAAAATTTACAACCATTAGCTGATTGGCATCCACGTATTCCACATGCTATTTATTCTGGTATGGATTGGTTATGTCCATCACGACAATATAAATTATATAAAGCAATTACTGATCAATATGGACAAATAACACCTGAATTATCAATTAAAAATATAACATCGGTTGTTAAAACAGGTGATCTTCATGTTGGTGTCTATGATTTAACAGATAATATAATGTATGTTGCTAATGCACGTGGTACTAATGAACAAGGACCTATGGAAGCTTATAAACGACAATTTGTTAAAGTTGATCTTAATGTTGAATTTGTTCGTACACGATAAAATAAAATATTTTGAATAGAGAAAAAGAAAATTGATGATTAAATTTTAAGAAGCAATTATTCGTTACGAAAGTTTAAAATTTTAGTTTATCTTTATGTAGTTTCTATAAGAAAGTATTATTTAATATCATAGATAGTAAGGGATTTATTGAATTTCTTTTTAATAAAGTATACATTTAGAAAAAAAACCTTTTTCTACTGCGTATCTAGCAGAATTAATCTATTATACCAATTGATACTCTTTTCTTGTTATATAAAATTAGAACATTTAATTGTATTTTCTCAAGTACCATCGTTAAATAGTTGCTGAAAAGAAACACTCGACTTAGACTTATTTTAAGATTATAAGAACTTGTAGTACAGAAAAAAGTTATTACGCTATGAAACACGATGACTGACATGTTTGAAGTACAATTATTAGATGTTTTATACTAAAGTCTCTGTAGAATTGCAACTGACAACTGGTAAGCGCTTGATATCAAGTTATATTACAGATATAAAATCTAGATATGCGGCACTTCAGTACGTTCCAGCCGAGCCTGTTCGATCGTTCAGCATCTGTCTTCATTAAATTTTTCATATCGTAACCATAGTGAAAATGTGAATACTTTCTTATAGTAATATACATTGACACATTTATCTCTATTTCATTTGAATAAAAAAATATATTTTTATTAAATACAGTATGTCGCCTGAATATATAACTCACTTGTTTATTATTAATACAAATAAATAATTATCAACACTTATTTATACAAAAAAGAAAAACGGACAAAACAATTACATTAAATCACACATATGATTGGAAAGTAAATTTGTTTTCATAGGTTAAAAAATCTTGAAGTCGTTCATTAATTGATGGAAATAATGGTAATTGTTTAATATCATTTGGATATTGTTTAATATGCATTTTAATACATACACGACAAATAGATTTTAATGATCGACAAGAATTTTTTTGTTGATAAGTTATATTTCGTTCAAAGAAATTAATAAAATCAATTTTTTTATTTTCTAATTTTTTATTGATAAATTGATATGCATCAGTTTGTAAAAGATGTTTTATTTGACTTATATCAAAATAAATTTCACCGTTAATATGAAGTGCATGAAGAAATTTACGAAATGTTTCTTGTTCATTATTTTTAGTAAACTGATTAATGTCGGATAATGCGGGATAAAGTGCTGGAGAAGGAAATATCATATCAATTGAACGTGAATGTATAAAATAATCATGATGATGAGATGAGAGATAATATATTACAATTATTTCAAGAAAATAACCAACCATTTTTTGTCGAATTAAATTATTATTATATGTTTTAGTATTTACAATATTAACAGTAAATTTATCACGTAAACGATATTTGAGCAGGAAACAACCTAGAATAAATAGAAAGTATTTGAATGAGAATTATAGGAATCTATCTAAAACGCATATAATGTCAGATAGAAACTTTTATGAATAATATCTCAGGTCTTTATAAACTGCTGATTCGATCTTAGAACATAATCAGTCGTAAGTACATTTAAAAAATCTTAATACTATTCGTGTTTTTTCAAGATATAACCAACATCTACATGAATAACATAGACTTTTTAGATTAGTTTTGAAATATTATTTGTCTACCTTTGTCAGAGCTGGATTAAGAAGCACGAATGGTTCGATAGGAAAACAATTGTTTTTAAACGCTTTTTTTCTATAATCATAACGAGTCTTATACTTTCCATCTACGTTTATTCATATTCAATGAAGAAAAAACCACAGATACCAATATTTTTAAAATCTTCTTAATTTCATCAAAAAAATGTACTTTCTTAATTAAATCTCAATCATGCTAGAGGGCCAACGCAATCTATTTTTTTGACATAATCAGCTTTTAAATAGAATATCCTATGTGGTACGATAAGTTCGTTTAAAACAAAATTTTCTACTAACCAAGTTCAAGTAAAACATTAACATTAAATTCATTCCAAATAAAATTAGCATAACTATTAAAAATAGTATGATAAATTGCACGATTATTATTTGGAGGTGAATATTCAAAAAAACTTTTCGAAATTTTTCCATTTAAAACTACTAATTGATGTAATAATTGATATAAATCATATGTTAAATGATCAGATCTATTTGGATGAATTTTTTGACATAATAAATAAAGTAAATATTGATCAAGAATTGTATTACCAAAATGATCATATCCATTCGATATAGTTTGTGTTAAAGCTACATTTAATGAAAATGATTCATTTAATGTTGTATCAATATATTCAAGGAGATTCGGTTGATGATCCGAACGACATAAACGTGGCCGATCAACGGCATGAATACCTGCTGATATTATATTTGTCATGAATCTAGAAAATAGATGAAACAATAAAATAAATCAACAAGAAAAATAGTCATTATCTGAAAAGGCAAAAGAATAATATATAAATAGACTTGATAGAATTCTTTTCTTTTTCTTTCCAGAACATAATGTGCAGGAACAAAAAAAAAGAGTGATTTCTATGGTATTAATTCATTCATAATATCCTCGGGGACATTTCATTGATTACTATGAGTTAGTCGTATTTTCTCGATTGTTCTAACGGATGTTATTTTTATTTTTATCTGAAAATACATATATTTATTTATTTATCAATAATCTATATAAATTTATGGTTATTAATTTGTTCGATATCATCTTGATCAAGATGAATATCTAACGCTTTAATTGAATCTTCAATCGATGTTATTTTACTAGCACCAGGTATAGGAACAATACATTTTGATTTTGATAAAATCCATGCAAGAACAATACAATAAGTTGAACAATGATATTTTTCTCCTAAATGAATAAGTAATTTATCTTTATTTAATTTTTTATGTTTTCTTCTTCCACCCATTGGTGAATATGCTAGAAATGTTAAATTATTATTTTCACAATAGTTTAAAACTCCATCTGTTTCGGCTTGACGTTTAAATAAATTAAAAACATTTTGTACAGATTGTATATCAATATATGTTTGTACTTCTTTTATTTGTTCAACATTAAAATTTGACACACCAACATATTGAATTAATTTTAATTCCACAGCTTCACATATTGGTTGAAAGATTTCTTTCAATGTATATTTATTATCTTGTGGACAATTATGTATTTGCCATAATGGAATAGGTTTTTGTCCACCAAGACTTTCGTAACTTTTTTGTATTGCTTGACGTATACGAGATGGATTTAAATCAGTTTCCCATGCACCGCCTGGACGAATAAGACCACCTGAAGAGTAGACTATTAGATGATAAAATTACAGAAAATGGTTATTTAAAACCTTTAGTGGCAATAATAATATTATTAATATGGGCTGAACTTGGATATGTTTGTAGTGCTTGATAGATTAATATTTCACTATAATTTTTATCATTTTCATCTAAACAGTAAGCATCAGCTGTATCGATTAATGTTATTCCAAGGTCAAGTGTACGATGAATAACTTTAATTGCATCTTCTTGTGTTGGTCGACCATAAATCGATAATGGCATAGAACCTAAACCAATTCTAGTCATTTTCACATTAGTATGACCCAAATAAATAGTTGATATTTCCATAATTTATTCTTATCTTTCTAGAACATGATACAATTTCAATACTCGAGAAAAAGAAAACAAATATATTATAGATTAAAGCAAGCACCAACAGACAAAAGAATAAGGGTCATTATATTCATCACTGTTTCTCATATATAAGATATAGATAAAAAAAAATTGTATTTTGTTAGGCTTATACATCTCTTCGAGAACGATAATAAAGAAGAATATTATCACTTGAGATAAACAAAAAAAAAAGAAAATGGGAAATAAAGGGAAAAAAGAAAAAATTGAAAATTGACATTCGACTACAAATTAGAAAAAAAAACTGTACGATAAGAAAAATTCTAATAAGAAAACACTCAGACAAATAAAATGAAAGAGAAAATAATGTTCATTTTTAAAAATACTTCTTCTTCTTCTTCCTCTTAGTTTGTTTTTCTCTTTCGTTTTAAACAGGTACACTTCCAATCATAACTTTTGATACAAAATTAACAATAGCTGTTGATGGTTGTGATATATCAAGTTCAGCAAATATGTGACATTCATTTTCTGGTTGAGAAGTTTTTGCACCATTGATTTTCTTTGATACAAAACCAAAACATCTGCAAAAAAAACAAGAAATATATATAAATGATTATTTTCTAATTCATCTACTTTGCTCGTGGTAACATTTCAAGATCATTATATTGACATGTCCAAAAGCGATCTGTTTCATAATCAGCACCACAATATGTTACATATTCTTTTGGAAAATGACGTCGTGAAAATATTCTATGGATAAAAAATCGAAGATGTCTTATTAATTTATTTATATGTGAATAAATACTTTTTCTTTGTATCGGTTAATGTAATACCCGTATTTGAAACTTTAAAATTAACAATAGTAGCTTGTAAACGTTCAGCATTATCAAATGTGCTACGTAATGCTTTAGCTACAGCCATTTGACCGGATAGTGATTCAACATCAACATTATTTAAATAAACAACATTACAAGCTGTAAATGAGAAGGAAGAAAAAAGAGAACGAGTTGATTATTTTTCATTCAATTGTTTATGTTTAATTATACCAGCTCCTTTTTCAAGTAAATCTTTCACAGACATTTTTTTTGTTTCTTGTTGTTGTTGATTTGTTATCGGACGATAATCTTCCGCAATATCAACAGTTGGTAAAACAAGTTTTATTGGTAAGGCAAGTGAGGCTAATGTGTGTTGATATACTAATGCTGATAGATTTGCTTGAAGGAAAAAAAAACAGATAATTTCATATTTTAATTAGAAATATTTTCTTTTCGAACATACCAAAATCAGGTTCATTAGGACAACCTTTCAATCGAACATGTCCAGTTTGTGTTCGTTCAATGAGATAATGTCGAACAAGTTCAGCATTTGGATCAGCACCTATGATAGAAATATTATTCTTCTTTTTTAATTAATTTTTCTTTGTAAATTAGCAAACCTGGTTTAGGTTGAATACCCGATGGTAATTTATCAACTTTAACAGCTAGACCATAAGAACCTGGAAAACCTTGACTATCACGAATAAGAAATGTCCCTGGCGTTTTTGTTTTAAGTAAATTAATCGCTATTGATAAATAAATAGAAAACAAAAACTTAATCATTTTTATAATTAATTCAATATACCATCTTCACGCGACAGTTTTTCTTTATACCAAAATTGACTAACATTATGCGCTTGATAAGCACCATTACGAAGTACATCAGATTCTATGAAGAAAAAATAAATGAAATTATTTTTCTTGTCATTTGATATGTTAAAGTAAACAAGACATTTGGAAAGATAGAAATATCATCTTTACACACACACACACTTATAGAAGAAAGAAATTCAGTACGTTATGCAAAACTTTATTGGATAATTAAAATAATGTTTGTTTTCTTAATAATAGATAAAAAAATTATAAATACCTGCAGGTGAAGAAACACTTGATCGTTGTGAATTTTCATCTGTATTCCGAATTGAACTAGAACAAAAAAAAGCGAAATCAATATATGAGAAAATTGTTATTCATTGAATAATTTCTTTTACCTATTTCCTACACGTGATTGAACATTGGCGTTAACTGAATAATAATAACAAAGAGAACAATTAATATAAAGGATAGATTTGTGTAATATACATACAAGATTGATTAATTACTGGAAAAGTAGGTGTTGGTGATGAGATTTTTGGTGTTTGACTATTTACATTTGCATTTGCAATCTGTAAAAAATAAGGTAATTTAATAAAAACTATTTGAATATTTTTGATGTAATTCAAACGAGAAAAAAAATGCGAGCATGGGGAGGGATTATTCACAGCAAATTATGCGTTTCTTACAGCTTCTGATGTAGTCGAAACTATTTCTGTATTTGCTACAACAGAATCGACAGATGGTGGTATTACAGTACTTTCGAGAACAACACCATGTGGTCTAGCTGATCGATTCGTAACATTATCATTTGAAATTTTACGTGCTACTTCAGACTCAGATATTTGTTGTTGTTGCTGTTGTTGTTGTTGTGGTGGTGGTTGTTGCTGTGGTTGAGGTTTATGACCACCACTCAATGGATTTGATAAACCAACTGAGCCTGGAAATAAAGCTGGTAGTATTGATATATCTTTTTTAGATGTATCAATCGTAGATAATGATGGCGATGATGTTACACTGGTTTTCTAGATTAGACATAGATTAATGGAATGCTTGTTTTTTTTTCTCTTTCTTTCAACATTCCATGCATATATACATGCTGATATATGAATTTAGAAGACAATCGAAAATAGATATTTCAAAGATTTATTTTTTTTTCTTCTATTCTTACTCTCTTTTGTTGTTGATGATGTTGTTGTTCAGAATGCTGAGTGTAAACAGGTATTGATGCACCACGATAATGATCTTGTGCTTGACGATAACTTTGATTATAATCATTAAATCTTTGTTGTTGTGAATTTGATCTTGACATTGTTTGATTTCCTACCCATCCACTATCACCAAATTGCACATCAACAGGTATTTGTCGATATTCATTTATATATTGTCGTGTATTCACACTAGAATCTGTTTCATAACCAGTTAAATTTTGTGAACGATGTGCTTGATTTAAAAATGCACTACCACGTAAATCAGCTGGTACTTGATTTAGATTTGTTGCTGATGACATTCGATTATTAACAACAACAGTTTCAGGTATAACAGCCATACGTGGTGATAATGTACGTGTCATACGTAATCGACCACTACTGATTAAACCACTATCTGTATCATAACCATCTGGACGAAACGTCGGACGATGATTTTCCTGATGATGTTGTTGATAATAATAAGGATAGATCGATTGTGGTTGTGGTGGTGGAGGTGGTGGAACACGATAATATCGTGGACCATAAGCACGAGATGTCATCAGACCTGTATCAGTATCATAACCAGTATAATCATGACCACGTACACGGATACTACTTGATGGTAATGTTGAACGTGGATAATGATAATATTCATTTGGTGTATGTGAATTAATATATGTACGTGAAGGAGAACGAATTAAATCCATACGACGTAATTCAATGGGTCCATCAGGTGGTGGTTCTGATGTTGCACGAAAATGTGTCGGAAGTGTACTAGTTGATCCTGATATATAACCATCTTAATATAATAATTTTTATTTGATTTTTTAAAGAAAATTCTTTTATTTTACCTCGAGAATCATGTCGATTATAATTTTTCCTTGATGATAATGTACTTGTTGGACTATCAGTTCGATTAAGTTTTATTGGAAATCGACCTCGATTTAGATCCATCTAAATATAAATAATTTTCTATTTATAAAAACGAAGATACTTCTATAAAATATTCATGATATATATACGTATAGTCAATTTACCTTGAATTTGACTGATATCAGTTAAGTCTTAAATTATATATTTAAAAATCATAAAAAAAAGGTGACAAGTACCATTCAATGAAGTGGTTATATATATGTATTTTTTTAAAATTGATGAAACTTATATTAAGGTAAAATATTTGTTATGCAATTTATATATATTTCTCATTTTCTAATCGAAATGATAAAAAACATTATTGTATCATTTTCTACATGATATCTTTCCTTGAATAAGTGAATGAACATTTTCTATTCTCTCTTTTTTTTTCTTTTCTATTAAATATAAAAATGCTCTGATTAGTCAAGCGAATCTTTAGATAATTAAAGAAAGAATAAAGTTACCCGATGAACCGAGTCGGTATTGTAAGAAGCACTTGAACTATAAGTTCGTCGATTATTAATAGGTATATCTGTTGACCAATTTGATTGATTTCGTTGTGCACGTTTTTTTAAAGTATTTTGAACACTTTCTAATAATGAATCAATAAGATGTTCATCAATTGATGATGTTGCTGCTGTTGTTGTTGCTTGTGGTTTTGCCGCCGTTGTTGTAGTTTTTGTTTCCATTGATGATGATGTTGTTGTTATAGGAATTTCATTATTAGCAGGTCCACGTTTAATACGTATACGTTCTTCACGAACTGTTTTTGAGCTATGTGGATTATCAAAATCATAACGTTGTTGATTAGCTAATGTTGATGATGATGATACTCTTGAATTTGACAAATCATTATTTGAATGACGTTGATACATATATCGATGATTATTAGTATCACTAATTGGACGATTTACTTCAGTAAGTAAATCTTTAACTAAATCATCAAGTTGATCAACATCGGATTTTAATTTTGTTGAAGTCATGGTTTTATTGAAAGATTTCTATAAAGACAGGCAGCAAAATGCTGCTGTCACTAATATTGCTACTATCTAGAGGAGGAGAAAAAGTACTAGTTAGTTGTACAGTCAAGCTAGTAGTCTTTGGTTTGTATGTAATGCGAAGGAAGAAGAAGAAAAAGAAGAAGAAGAAGAAGAAGAAGAAGTAGTTGTACTAACAGCGTTGTTATAATGATTGACTTGCACGTTTTTGTACATAGCCTATAACAAAAGAGAAAAAGAAAAATCAAAGAACAATATTAATAATGTGCTGGTGCCACAGAAAAAATAGAGAAAGAAAAAGAACGAAAAAAAGATGCTCGCTTCTATTAAATCAGGAAAAAGGGCAGTTGGAATAATCGTAGGATCTGTTTTTCTATCTCTATACAGTGGTACCATTCAGTTTTTTCTCTCTCTCTTTCTTTCTTTCTTTTTCTTTCTCTACTATTTATGTGCGTGTGTGCACAATTTTTACGTAACCCCTTTCCTCATCCCTCATTTTAGTATTGAGACGAGAGCACCCGTCGTCCCTACTATTGCCTACATAATGGCATCAACGACTTGCACTCTGTTCGTTCGTTTCCTATCATGCCGTATTACTTTATCTGATACATGCATACTGTGACGAACGAGAGAGAGAAAAAAAACCACCACTATCGTTTGTGTATGTATATATATATATATATGCAATAAATCGATTTAGGAAATTTTTGATAAAAGGCACAGCATATATGTGCATATAATTAATACAATTATCGGCTAAAAAGGACAATTTTATCGAAGACTAAATGATTTTCATATTAAAAGAATTTGTTTCATAAGGATAAGGAATAGTTTTTAGTGAAAGCATTACAATAAACATGAATGTTTGTTGACAAAATGATTTTCTATATAATACATACCAATCAAATAATGTTCAAGTCGTTGTTGACTATTGGGATTATTATGCTCTTTACAAGTAGTAGCAGTAAACGTACTAGTCATCAAAATCTATTCATCTAAAAAAAAAGAAATAAAACCGGAAGAAAGACATAAAGAAAGAGAAAAAAAGACTTGAACGAAAAGAATCACCAAAGGCAAATGACAGACATATATACAAAGAAATATTCTCTTCTTTTATGGGTATTCCTTGAAGACAAGAAAGCAGCTGTGTATAAGCAAACTGTACAATAAATGTAAATGATCTTACAATAGAAAAGTAGAATATAATATATATGATGTCATTTTTAATATGCATTAAAAATATAATTTCTTTTAAAAAAAGAGAAAAAAAAAGAGTGAGAGAATTGAATGAAGAAAAAAAGTAAGACAATTAGCGTCGCTTGTCCATCTTCTTCAGTATCTCATTTTCTCACATTATTTTTACTCATTGCTTTTCCTTTTGTCTATACATGGGACACAAACTTATTCAAGTTCATATTCACACACGCTTTATACAGTGATCATCATCATCACACCTGTTGTCTCATCTTTCGATCACGAATCGATTTCATTTCTTTTTTTCTCTCTCTCTCTCTTATTCTCTCATATGTATAAATCTACATCAAACAAACGATCGATGATGGTGTTCACTTGAGCAGTAAAGAACTAACACAAAAAAATGTATGTGTGATGGGACAATGTATCGCCTACTGCCAAGATGTACATATATACGATTCACCCATTTTTTTTTCTTCCCTTCTCGTTCTATATGAATATATATATATATATGTACATATAAGATCAATTCATTCAATAAGGGACAGAATACTGCATTCTAACTGAGTTGTATGCTCTCGTTCTCCGTTGATGTAGTAGTAGTAGTAGTAGATGATGATGATGATGGTATTAGTTAAATAAAAATGAATGCTTCTCAGTTAGCTCGACATCAATGCTTCACTGTTTACATTTACATTTGGTCCTCCAAGAATGAATCAATAAGACCTTCGAAAGGCATCTCAATAATGCTAAAGAAGAAAAAAAAGAGCGAGCGAGAGCGAGAAAGAGAGAGCAGATTTGTATTATCGACAGCTATACTAGTAGATCTCAAATAAATCAAGGTTTACATACAAATAAATATCTCATCTGAACATTGTTACGGTCAATCAGAAACAGCAAAGCTTATTTTGTATACACTTGTGGACGATTAACATCATGACATAGGATATCATCAATACAGTGTTTGCACGTGTTTATAGAAATCGATATACTATTATTCAAGGATAAACTATTGTAGACAATGACAATAGGATACTAATATAAATTTGATAAGAACTCTTTGTCAAGATCAAAAAAGATGAGAAAAAAAAATGAATGAGATTTTTTTCAATATCCTTAATTTCTTTATCCTATGTTACATCTTTATTATCCTTCGGACATGTAAAACACCACGGTAACTAGAGATAAAAGGGCAAATATATGATGAGCTTGCGTAAGCATGTATAGGAGCACTCATTGATCAAGGCAATATTGTTGTTACAACAAGCGACGTGGACAGAAAGCGATTATCATTCGCTTGATTAGAGTAAGAAGTCAACCAACATATATATGTGATCAACTTCTAGCAATATATATATATATATACATATCCAACTGACCAAATTCTTTTTGTATTTATTAGAAAGCAGGAATAATACAAAGAGATTGAACGTATGAATTCTTCTATACGAAACAAGAAGAAGCCGTTGAAATGTCTGTTGACCGAATATCAAATGACATTCATATGTAAATATGTATATGTATATATATATATATAAAAATGGACATAAAGTAAAAGAAGAAGAAAAAAGTATCAATGATCATCTACAACAAAATTATTCATCAATAGATAAAAAAAAAGTAATTTTATTCAATTATTATGAATCAATATACACTAAATATCAAATAATAATCTCTTTTTTAAAAGTTTTCTAAAATATTTAATAAATTAAACTATGAGTTAGTTTTTGTCAATATGCATTGCATGTAATCAATAACATATCAATATTTGAACAATTTTTTATTAAATATACAGTTTATTTCATAAGTAAATATCAGACAAAGTATAGGAAAATTGAAGAAATTAATTTTTATTTGATATAAAAAATATGATAATTAGCGTAGAAAAACAACGTCAATGATTCATTTAAATAGCAAGCGTTTTTATTGGATAGACCTCAACGAATTAGATTGATTCATATATATTTTCTTTGAAATAATTAACATAATTTATGGAATAAAATAAATTATTCAATTATATAAAAAATTATTGTGCGATCAAGGTATTTTTTTGTTTATATGAATTTTTTTCTAAACTACTTGTTACTAGGACACGTGATTTCTAAGTCGGTTGCTAAATAACACCATACCGAGCTATGAGATGTTGTAAAGAACAAATCTTTCTTCCGAATTTTTTCAATTTCTCAAGGTACATCTATATTTTTAGAAATATTAAAAATCATTATTTCTCTTCTTATCATGCAACATTCACATTACTGATCATTATTAAAGCTAATAGAATCAAGCAGAAGAATATTACCTATCAGTAGTACTTCCAGCTAAACGAACCATAATGGCTAATTTCAATCGCATGACATTTTTAATGGCAATCTCAGAAATAACACCACAAATTTTTATATCAGGTTTTCTTTATTTTTTAACTATTAATTCTTACCTTAATTTTATTTTACAGGTCAAATAGCAGCTACTCTTGAGCAAGTACAAAGATTGGGTATCACATATATTGTGGTATGTTCTATTTTTATATTTTTTTGCTTTCAAATAAATTATATTTAAAAAATTAAAGAATGTTGCACTTGAATCATCTGCAATTGTTTATCCAAAAAGTGTTAAATTAGAAAAATATGATATACTTGATTTTCCAAATGCACCCATAAGTAATTATTTTAATACAATAACCGATAAAATTCATGATCATCTTACTGCTAACAAACAACATAAAGTACTTGTACATTGTATGGCAGGAATAAGTCGAAGTAACTGAATATATAATTTAATATTTTCTTTTTTGTTATTTTGTTCTTTTTTTAATAAAGGTACAACAATTGTTCTTGCTTATTTAATACGTTATATGAATTTATCATTACGAGAAGCATATTTATTATGTAAAAAACATCGTCCAATTTGTTTTCCTAATTTAGGATTTTGGAATCAACTTATTGCATATGAAAGTCAATTAAGACGAGAAAATAGTGTTAAAAGTAAGAATACATAAATTAGTTTGTTTCCTGTTTAATACAATAGAATTTCTTAAATAAATATCTTTTAGAAAAACATATAGTATGATTTTTTTTGTTTTGCCATTATTTAGTGATACCAACACAATACGGTAATGTACCTGATGTAGCATTTGAAGAAATCAAACAATACACTACTCAACAACAACAACAGCAACCTGGATCGATACCTATACCTACTTCATCTTATGCGTCAACAATAAGTAATCCAGCAAGTGGTATTACTATATCTAATGATACAGCATCCAGTCAAACTCGATCAGTTAGTCGCGATGTATACGCAAATCATTCATCTGGTCTCACACGATCTCGATCTTTAGCAGGACCACCAAATAGTCGACCATCGGTTGCTGCTGCTTCAACATATATTAGTAATCCAGCTTATCAAACACCAATGTTTACAACGAATAGACAAACATTTCTTGCTCCAACTCGATTTGGTGTAAGTCGTTTACTAAATAATAACGCACCGGCTCATCATAATTCTTTCTCATCCGGATCAACTATTTATGCTAGTAATCGACATGTACCAATAGGTGTTCCAGCAAATGTTAAACATCGTTTTACTCCTCATCATCCACATCATCATACACATTATCATCATTATCATACACCAAGTGTTGCTACGAATTCCGTACCAGAAACATTAAATAATGATCAACAACGTTCACGTTATGATACAACATATCGTTCAAGTTTTATTAAGCCATTAGCACCCTAACAAGATAACATTTCCTTTTTATCTGAATGATTTTATGTCTTATTTAAAATGATACGCATTTGTGGTTTTTTGAATGTCAGATGCGTGTCGTCCGGTTTGTTTTTGTTTTAATTGTTGATAAAGAAAGAAAAAACGTATTTTTCTCGGTGTGTTTTAACAGAAAGTATTTCTAAAATCAATTCTCCTTTTATTTGTTTTAGAAAGTTGTAGAACCAAATATTACTCATGTCGGGTATAACAGAAGTCATAGATAATTTATATATATCTGGTTTTGAATCTCCTGCAGCGATATTAAGTAAAGGTATTCGTTCTATTTTTAACATATCATCGGAATGTCCACGACAAGATCTTGGTCCAGGAGTTGAATATGAAAAAGTTCATGTACAAGACATACCATCAGCATCTATACGAATTTATTTTGATCGATTAGCAGATCGTATAGAACAGAATTTACAAGATGGAAGAAAAACACTTGTTCATTGTTATGTTGGCCGATCAAGATCAGCAACAATTATTTTAGGTTAGTTAAAAAAATTTAATTGATTCATGACGTTAGAAATTATTGTATTATATTGATTTTCAATATATATGTTTATTACATCTTCTAGCCTATCTAATGAAATACCAACAAATGTCATTACGTGATGCTTTTTATTATTTACGTTCACGTCGACCCATAGTTGGACCAAATTTCGGTTTTATTAGACAAGTAAGAGAGAAATCTATGGATATTCTAATTCGTACTTTCTCATTCTTTAGTTAATGGCATATGAAAAATCTTTATTTGGTTCTACATCTGTCTCATTTATTGATTCATCATATGATTCTATACCTGACATTTATCTATCATCAGGAAGATCAAGTTCTCGTCGGCAAACACCAAGAGTTCCTATTCAAATAACTAATAAAACATTTTCAACATTACCAAAACCGAGCTCATTTATTCAGCGTTCACCAAGCTATACTTTACCAACACTAGGCTCAAGAAGTTACTCGAGTTATACGGATCTTCGTCCATTAAGTTCAAACAGTTATAGAAATTCATCATTTTTACATGATCCACCTGAATTAACTCATTACAATTCAACATACGATTCATTACGTGAACCATTTTATACGCCAAGAGTGAATGCCTTACGAACAGGCAGATATATTGCACCATTCTTCAATCGTTTTTATCTCCCGTGAAAAGTTTTTATACGTTTATTTATCATTTATTTTGCCAGATAATATTATTTTTCTCAATGAAGCTTTTCATTCTCGGGGTGATTCTATCAAATTATATTTATTTCGCTTGTTTTTTTTCAATACATATATATCCGGTGTGAGCTTTGTTTTTTTTATTGCTATACAAGTTGTTATTCAACTGAGAATGCTATCTACTGTGACAAATGCTATTATTTTTTTTTAATGTTTTATCATAATATTCATAAAATAAAGAAATTTTAATAAAATATATTATCGAAATGCTTCCAAATAAAATCTTGTCTATTTATTTCAATATTAAACATGAATAAGAAACAGTCGGTGCTGCAGGATAATCGTCAAGTGTATTACGAGAGAAATATAAAGAATATATTAGCTATTGACATACATGAGTAATAACTTCGTTTGATTTTTTTCAAATAAGAGTTAATCTGAAATCACTTTTAGAATGTTTTTTTTCAACTTTATTCTTTTTTTGGCCTAATTAACCATTGAATATACACGTTATTGAATTGCATTGAAAAATATATTCAAATCTATAATCAAATAATAAAACAATAATTACCCAGGAAGTTCTTTATATATATTTGTCCTTTAGTAATATGAAAAACTAGTGATTACATCTGACATTTACTTATTCTAGTTGAAAAACATTTCTATGAAAATAAAAATAGAATCAAAATATCCTATAATCAAAGTTTATATATTTGATTAACTTTGCTAAATATTTTCTCTTGTCTATTGTATTCATGAAAAAGAAAAAAGAATTATGTAGGATTTCATCATGTTTATTTCATTTTTATTTATTTGGGACATTTCAAAGCTTTATTGAATGTATGAGCATTTTTTCTATAACATTCAGTAACAATACGATCACATTCACAAACACGATGTGCGCATGAGCCTGGTGTATCTTTGCAATATGGAAGAGAAGTTGTTGGATTTAAGTCCCAACCATAATAGGCAAGATAAGGTGAACAAGCGAGAAAACTTGTGCGATTATCGATAATATCATCATAACATAGATCATGAGCTTTACAACAAGCATCTGTTCCATCAACTGGGTTACCTTTACCACCCATTCCACACCTAAAAGAAAAATTTTAATTAAAATTCGATATTCTTTTGCTTTTTTTATATAAATTAACTAACCAACAGCCATAACCATTATAGCTCAGTGCAGAAGTGCCTAATGCTGCACTAATCATATTGCCAAATTGAATTAAATTACGTCCTTGACTGTCAGCACCAGGTGCAGGTGTAGCATTTATTTGGAATAGTGAGATCACAAGAAGAAAAGCAAGGGCGAACATGGATGAAGACATGAGGAATACTTATTCAAGGTTATTTCTAGAGAAAAAAAATGAATAAGAAGAAACGGATTAACTTATATAAATATAATTCGTAGTTTAAGTCAAGTTACAAGGACAAACACATATACAAAAATAACAAAATAGTAGTTGTTTTTGGGCTTTTTAAATAGATTATTATATCAAAAATCGATTACCCACGATTACTGATAAAAGAAATAGATAGAAATAAAATAATCTAAATCGTGAGAACTATTATAGTATTTATTGCAGGTGACAAAATTTGCTATTTACTACCGCCTACACATTCGATTTATCGCAGAAAGGAACTACATAAAAACATACTTTAATTTTGTTTTACTACGATGTATGATCAATATGCAAACAGTATTAAATATTGATTATACTTTCAATACAATTATAGTTCAACTATAAGTTAAATAAACATATAGACGTTATCTTTATTTATAAATATTAACTATATTTTTCCAAAACAACGTCATCATTCGACATATTCTTTTTTTTTAATACAATCTGTTTAAAAATATATATATTGAATGCTCATTGATTCATACGTTATTGATCTTTGTGAAAAATGGTCATGACTAGTAATTTTCAATCCATTAATTTTCGTACTACAAATGTATATATGAATTTATAGTATTTTAATGTTTCTAATAAAAATTATTTGTCTTTCCCTTGAACTTTTGCCTTAATTAATTGATCCAACAAAATTTAGTATAATTATTGTTTTTATCTCTTTTGTTGTCAAGAAAAGTCTGTATAACCGTGTAAGGATAACCTTTAACGACAATCACTTTCTTGTAACAATACTGTCTGGTCTGTTTACCCTCATAAAATACTTCAGTGTACCTGTTATCATTGTACTTTTACACGGACAAATTTTGTTTACATTACTGTAAGCAAATCATAATACATCGCATGTACATCAGTTATGATTAGATTGTTTTTTTTGATATTATCAATTTTATTTAATTCAGCAGTAGACAGACGACTGTTTCATATTATAAAATGACTACGAACGAGTCTACAAGCACGTTTGATATTTACTTCGTCATGTTTATTTATTTACTTTTTAATAGAAAATGAAAATTATGACACATCCACGTATCATATTAAAGATAATAAAAAAATAATTAATACAAATAATAATGATAGACTATATTTTTTAAAACGATCTCTTATCGAGTGGCTTTACGACTAGCAAATACTCGTACAACGAACATTTTATGTTAATTTTTTACAAAATGTCTGGACGTATATGATCACGCCATTTCTATAGCATCATGTGCATGGGTGTGGCAAGGATCATTATTCATGCACATTGATATATACATGCATACATATATTTATTCGTTCTCTACAGGTGTAATGGGAGTAGCGTCTTTAATTATTGTGCAAAGAAAAAAAAGCCATGCTTGACTTCCTTGCATGTATTGTCCTTATTGCTCGCTATCATCAGTCAAAATATATGTGAACAGAAAAAAAGAATATTACATGTGTAAAACAAACCAATAGAGACGGTAAATATGGAGAGAATATCAAATAGAACTAATAATGAAAATAGCGATCGTTCGGAATTACCACCACCTCCACCATATACAAGTGTTATTTATAAAACAGACAATCATAATTTTGATTCAAACTTACCACCCAATTATTCAGATGCCATTGGTCAATCAGTTGTCTATATTAATAACTATCCAGGCCCACCAATAACAGATGGTTATGTACAAACTACTCAAGACAATATATCGACACATCAAGAGAACTTCATGTCAAAAACAACTCGTATTTATTTAATTGTAAATGCACTTATAATGATATTATTTGGTCTTATTTGTGTTGGTATACAAATAGGTATATTAACATCACATTCAATTATCTATTATTATTATGGATTTTGGGGTGGTGGATTTCTTGTTGGTATCGGTATAACTATTCTTATATTGTTTAAACGTCGTAATCAAATAGATTATACAAATATTTTTTATTCATTTTTTTGGCATACGATATTTGTAGGCATTGTATTTGCTGTTGGCCTGGTTATTGTATTTACTGATAAATGTGATGATAACGCAACAGAAAATGTTGGTAATAGTCAAATGTGTAGACACTCATATAAATTACTGAATGGAATTTTACTTGGGAGTTTTGCGTTGGCTCTTGTACAATCAATTACTAATACATTTGTTTTTGGGTGTCTCAAAAGGCGACATTCGATAATTCCAAACTCAATATCTTAAAACATTTACTTGTATTTTATTATTGTTTTTAAATATAAAGGAAAAAATATTTTAATTGAAACTAGTATAAAACTATTGTCATATGTTCTACTAAGTTCTATACATCATAACAATTAATAGAAACTATCAACATAATCGATTTTCCTAGTTCTTTCTATCTCGAGTTATATTTAGAGACTGAAATTACTTTCGATTCATTGAATCAAATTGCAAAATTTATCGGATAAAGGTTATAGTTAGGATAAACAGTACAATAAAATATTAGTCCAATTATAATATTAACTATTGAATGTTACATACATCAGAGTTTTAGTAAGTTTTGTTCATGTGGAAGAGTACTAGAAGAACAATATCATTATCAACTAACTGATATTCTATATAAATATTAAAAGTTCTACTAGATGCATACATATAAAAATGGTTGATGAGCATCTTTTACTTGAACAAATCTGTAAAAATGATAATAATATCTTGACAGCTTGATACAATGATGTCATTTTTAGTAGCTCAACAAATAATTCAAATTCATAGTGCTTCATTGAATTTCATGGTCACATATGAAAACTATTTATATATGTTATAATTATAGAAGTATCTGCTATGATTTAACGACATTATTTTTTGGTTGATGCTCTTCTTTATTGTAACACTCGGAAGTGCTTACAGGACTTAATTATTCTAATTATAAACACTTGTCAAAACGAAAATATGTTATATAGAGAAAAAGAATGTTTTATATCAATCAGTATTATCGGTTTATTCAAAATTCAGACGTAGAAAGTACAGTTTATATTGTTATCAATTTGATATGCTAATAAATGAGATACAACAGGATTATGATTTTTTATTTTTAAATAAAATTAGATTTGAAGAAAGTTGAGTAAAAAAGGCAGGATATGTTACTTCTTGTCTGAGAACACTAAGTAAACTTTTTTTCTAGCTGTTTCAGACATGTTATCTACTGTTATTTTGAATTTGTTTAACTGATATACTCTATACTATTATGCGTCTGGAGATGAGAAGTACAATAATACATTTTTGTTTCATTTTCATAAAAATTTTTTTGTAATATCTCAGTGATTTTACGCTGTTGTGTCAATTTCTTGTACTTAATATGGAATTGACATGCAGTCTATGCGTCATTATTAAATTATCCTCGCTTTCTTGTCAAAAAATAATCATGTCAGATGTCGATGTGATGACGTCATATTAATGTTAAAAGAGGTAAAATTAAACTGTAGATATCATTAGTTCAACATAGTTATTATGCAAAGTCATGCTTTAAATCTTCTCCATACTATTGTGTTATTTTAATACAATCAAGAAGTATTCAATTTAGAAATAATTACAATAATCTTAATTTCAAAACGAATATAAATAGAAAACTATATACTGTAATTTATTGTTCTCATTTTTCGTAAATGATATAAAGTATAGTAAATATTTCATTCTTTTCTTTTCTCATTCAAGTGTGAGAACGTTTAATTTAGCACTTGGTATATACTTTACCGTCCGAACCTTCAAGTAAATGACAATGCCATTCCTTTTTTTTTTATTATTATTTTCATATTTTCTTCCGTCGTCAAACATTTTCTCGTTGTCAAATATATATTTTTTTTCTACATCTCTCATTAACAGTAACATCATTCACTCATTGCATTTTTCATATGAAGATTTTTTTCTCTCTGACATAATCACATTAGAACACTTTTAGGTGTACATCTTACACATAATAAAATACAATGTCTGAAGAATCGTAAGTATAAATGTTAGATTTGAAATGGTAATATAAGTAGCATTTTATTAGTGTTAAAGTGGCTGTACGAGTTCGACCCTTTAACCAACGGTAAGATACGTCGAGAAATAGTTGTAAAAAAATAATTTGTATTAAATAGAGAGAAAGATCGAAATGCAAAACTTATTATTCAAATGAATGGAAAATCAACATTCATTACAGATCCACGATTATCAAGTAAATTTTATGATTAATAATTATTAATGTATGTTCTTAAATATTATAGTAGACGAACAAAAACAAGTAAGTATCATCAACAAAATAATTGAAATTCTAAAAGTATTTATATAATTTACTTTCCAGTTTTCTTTTGATTATTCATATTGGTAAGTTTAATTAATTATACACTAAATTCAAAGTAAATCTCCTTTCTAGGTCACATGATGGTTTTGTCGAACATCCTTCAGGAATATATCAAGCCAAAGATTCTGTCTCATGTTATGCTTCTCAACAAAAAGTTTTCGATGATCTTGGTCGTGATGTTCTAAAAAATGCATTTGATGGTTTATATACTTTTAAAAGACGTTCTTATACTTAATTTTCTTTTAGGTTTCAATTGTTCATTGTTTGCATATGGTCAAACAGGATCTGGTAAAAGTTATTCTATGATTGGTTATGGTGTCAATCGGTATGTCCTAATTTTGTTTTTTATAATGAATAATGTTGAATATTTGTTTTTTTCTAACTAGTGGAATAGTACCAATTGCATGTGACGAATTATTTCAACAAATTCAACATAAAAAGGATTCAACTATTGTATGTAAACGATATTCTTATCTGATATAGTAGAATTTAGAACTGAAAGTTCATTTATTTGAAGTGAATGCAAAAAAGTGCATACTGTTCTTTTACCATAAACATGATATATAACTTGAGAATATAAATATTGATCCTTTTCTTTTTTTATTTTTAAAAAACATTTGTATAGAAATAAATAGTAAAATGAATCTACAACCTCATTAGAAGTTAAACTAATCTGATAAATATATAGTTCAAAAGTATTTATTTTAGTTTTAGCGGATAAGAATGTTCAGAGAAAATTGATGCTTTTTACTAATTACTATTCAAAAAAAATATTTCTTAAAAGAAAAACGTCATTCTTTACTCATGCTGATAAGATATTCTAAGTGTTGGCAAGAAACAAACACTTTTTCTTATTGTCGAACGTCAGGATTCCATCTGTCACAATAACAACTAATATTTAACATGAAAAAAAAAAAGATTAATGTATGAAAAAGCTATAATTTATTTCAACAAAATATATCAGTATTATAGTTTGATTAAATGCTTTTTAAATTAAGGATGTATTATACATTGTTTCATGTATGCTTGAATTTAATTGACAATTTCAAAAGCAATTAAACGTTGAAATCAGCATTTATTTCTATTTTTCTTCATAATTATCGTTCTTTATATAGAATTAGGATATATTATTACCAGATGTAGGTCAATTTACTATAAGATATAAAAACTTAATATAAGACTTCAATAAAATGTGACATAATTCATTTGAAATTATTGTAATAATGTAAAATAAATGTTTTAAAATTTCTCCAGAATTTTGAAGTTGCTTTATCTATGCTGGAAGTTTACAATGAACAAGTACGTGATCTATTAACAAAAGAATTTCCTAAAGGAGGTAAATAAAACAAAGGACTTCATATTTTCAACATGAAAGTAAATTATATTTAAAAACTCTTCAAGGTCTTGCTGTACGACAACATCCAACTTCGGGTCATTTCTATCCACAAGGTCTTCGTATTGTACCTGTCGGTAGTTATGTCGATATTGAACATCGTATAAATGAAGGAACAGAAAATCGAACCATAGCTGCAACAAATATGAACATAACAAGTAGTCGAGCACATACAATTGTTACAATTTATTTTAATCAAATAATTAAAAATGATCTTGGAGAAACAAAAAAAACAAGTGTAATTAATCTTGTTGATTTAGCTGGTAAAGAAAAAGACTAATAATCTCTTAAGAGAATGAAATCTTTAATTTTTATCTAAAGGATCAGAAAGAATATCAAATACAGGTGTAACCGGTGATCGATTAAAAGAAAGTACAAATATTAATCGATCATTATCAGCATTAGGAAATGTTATATCTGCATTAGTTGATATATCATCAGGAGTAAAACGAAAAATAGTTGTACCATATAGAGATTCAATATTAACAAAATTACTACAGAATGCATTGGGAGGAAATAGTAAAACAATTATGATTGCTGCTTTATCACCTGCTGATATTAATTATGATGAAACATTAAGTACACTTCGTTTTGCTGATCGTGTTAAACGTATTAAAAATGTTGCTGTTATTAATGAAAATCCAACTGAAAAATTAATTCGTCAATTAAAAGTAACATAAATAATCCAAAAAAAAAGAAATTGTTTTTTTTCGTATTAGGAAGAGAATCAACGATTAAAATTATTGATTGAAACCGGAAATTATAATTTACAATTAGATGTTAAACCTGGTATGACAGATCAAGATATTGAAATCGTAAGAAAACAAATGGAAGAAGAAATCAATTTACAAATACAAAATAATCAAAAGACGTTACAAGATTCAAATATATCGTGGGATACTAAGGTATTCAAAGAAATATTAATTTATCTATTAATAGTTATCAAATAAAAAAATAAGGTTTAAAAACTAAAACTCATGTAACTATAGCACTTCTCAGTTTTGAAATGACATGTTAGAAATTTTCTCGTTTGTTTTAAACTTATTAATAGTCGAGAGATAGTTAAAATAAGTGTTTATCAATCATTGAGATACTGCAATATAATTTATTTCAATGATTGATACGTATTAGTTATCAAAGTAAATATATTCCAGTTAAAATTTTTTCTAATTATTTCTACTATTAAATTTGCATGAACAATTAATTGATTCATTATTCATTTTTCTCTCTATCTAGCTTAAAAATGCTCAACTGGATGATAGGAACAGTTCAACATCATTGAAATCAACACAATCAGATCAAATTGTTCCATATCTTGCTAATTTAAATGAAGATCCAATGTTATCATATATTATATGTCATTATTTACATACAGATGAAATAACTATTGGTAGTCGAGATTGTACAATATATTTAAATGGTTTAAGTATCCTTGAACGTCATGCTATAATTCGACATTCAAATACAAATGTATATCAATTAATTCCAGCTGAAGCTACGGCAAAAATTAAAGTCAATGGCTATAATTTAACTGGGTAGATAAATTCATTTGTAAAGATTTATTAATGAAATTTTTATATTATATAGAGATATTTTTCTTCATGATAAAGATCGTATTTTATTTGGTGCAAATCATTTATATGTTTTCCTAAATCCTAAAGAACAAAAAGAATCTCCAGCCGATTTACCAAATATTATAACATGGGAATTTGCACAAAAAGAAATAGCAAAAATAAAAGGTTATTCATTTGGAAATAATTTAAGTATTGAACAAGAAGTCGTTCAAGAAAAAATCTTGAATTTACTACCATTACTTTCGGAAGTTAATGCAATTAGTGAAGAACTTAATAAATATCGGACATTTGAAATAATTCTTATGCCAATTTCATCATGGGATGGAATATCAATTAAAGGATCAAAGTATAAACAAAAGATAATCATTTTTCAGTGTTTTTTTTCTAATTCATATTTTTGTAGAGTTATGATAAGAATGAAAAATCTTATTAGTCATAATATTTGGTATTGGGATGATATGAAATTTTTCAATCGAAGTTATATTATTAAAGTAAAAAAAATTTGTTTTGAAGAATTCTTTTCTAGAAAAATTCTTTTTAGGAACACTATCAAAAGTATTTAGATGGCGAAGAAGAAATTTTATATATTGCGAAAGAAGATGATCCGTATGAACGATTTCTTTTAGTACCATTTTTTTATGATTAATTATTTAGATTTTGGGAACCAGCAGAAGATATTTTACTTGGCACAGCTAATCTCTTTGTTCAAAGTTTGGCATATCTACTAGATTTTAACGATGAAATTACTATTACTGACTATAAAGCAAGTATTTTTTAGTGATTTCTAAAATTTGAAGATAAATACAAAACTTAAGATTTCGTTAATTCTATGTAACTTTATTTCTACTATTAATCGGACAAAACATTACATTTTAAGAAGTCTAAGACTATTATATTCATTTCTCGCTCATACTTATATCTGCCTGTAGTCTTACCCTCAACGTTTTGTCCATGTGACTATTTGCTCACAACGATATGTCCTACTTGGCTTTGAGATCGAAGATATCTCTTATGACAGAGAAATGGGAACATTGACAATCCATACTACAACTTGACATTTAATTCGAAGCAGCGTGTGGGATTTCTGATAGCTTTTTTTTGTTCAGTTACATTAAAATTACAATATGTTCTTTTGTTAAGTATAGAATATATGAACGCCTCTTAATTTAATCTTTAGGGTTTAGAACAAGGACGTATTAGTGTTCATTTAAGTCCATGTTTATCAAATGGTCAGATTTTAACCGAAGAACATTTTATTGATCAACCTGATGAACTTCTGGATAAACCATATTATTTTAAAGTAATTTATATTTATATTTTAATTCAATCTACACTATAAGATCAACCTATTTCAAGTCTTTTTTAATATAATACTGAGTATATAAATACTCAATGAATTTATCTATGCATCGTACTTAGATTTCATAGATGGTTTACCAGAGAAAGTTTTCTTTAAAAAACCCGAACAGAATGATCTTTAGGTTCTAGAAAGAATTTTTCGGTCACATTATCTTACAAAGCCTTAAACTATGAAATAGTGAAGAATCAGTATGATAGAAATTCCGATCGAATCGGATATAACTCTCCGAATGATTATTCTTTATAGGTAACACTAAATCATATTGAAGTTCATGATGAACGTTATGATAAAGGTCTTCGTATACGTTACAAAATCTTTAATGAATTAGAATTTAGTGAAACAAATATTGTATGTCGTCATGCAACATGTGCTCGTTTAAAACAATCACGTACTGTAACAATACCTAATGTTGATGATGTAAGTTTTTTAAAACAAAATTTCTTCGTAAAAAATAATTAATGATTTTCTTTTTCAATAGGATTGGTTAACTTTTTTTGAGAATGGTTGTATTATATTTCAAATATTTGCTGTACAAGAAGAAAGTAAATCTTCAGCAAATTTATTTAAAATGACAACTCGAGTAAAAAATTCTTTTTGTTCCATGATTAAAAACAACAAAAAATTATTTTAGGATTTAAAACTTCAAGAACAAAAACAAGAGGATGCTAATTTAACACCTGTTAATCATCAAAATACAACTTTACCTAGTGATTCCAAACTTAAAGCAGAATTAACATTACTTCATAAGAAATATATTCGACTTGAACAAAAAGAAAAGCGTATTCAAGTAGAAACAAAAATAATTATTATTTCAGTTTTTATTAAATTATTTTTGTTTTCGATTAGCAATTATGTCGAGATTGGGAAAATCATAATGATTATGCTAAATTTTATAAATTAGTATCATCAATTGTGTTTAGTTCAGGAACTAAGTTAAAACCAGGGCCTAGTGCTGTAAGTTAAAAAAATTGAAATGATAAGTATTGAATGATTTTGTTTAGGAAAAAACAGAAAATAATATGGAAATTTATTTATTTGGCGTAGAAGAACAAGAATATTTGGATGATGCTGGACGCGCTGATTCAGAGAAACAAAAATATGTAAGTTAAGAATTATTTTCTTTTTGAAAAGTATTCAACTAGAATAATTTTTGCAAGTTTAATTCGGAATTTTTGTATTCCAATATGCAAAATATAGTATCCGAATTTCTAATAAGTTACCCAAAAATCACTTTGAAAAAATGTACGTTTGTTTCTTGAATTGAAAGAGATAATATGATGTAGTTTTATCACTAATCCATCAACTTATAAGAACGATACAACATAGACTATACGTTGTTTAAGTGTTTGTCTAAATCGAATTAATTTCAGACGATAATTTTTGATTTATTTAGTGGGATGAATATTACACAAAAATGGCAACAAAACAAAGACGTGTTTCCTTATCATATCGTGTTAGTACAAGACGACCAACATTAATTCAACGATCCAGTAATTCTGGTTCTAATTTATTGTCGATAGTTCATGAATCAGATGGAAATGAACAATCACATGAAGGTAGAATATCAGCAGCACATGTAGACAACGTTTATCTTCATGAACGACCAAATACACCATTATGGAAAAGAACAGTTAAATCTGGTACTGCTTCTAAGACGAATGATGCAAAAAGACTATCAACAAATCATGAAAAAAATTCAACAACATGTGTAATACAATAAAAATTTTGAAATAGATTGCAATTTTATTTAAACTTTTACCTACTTAACCGTTTTCAAAGATTCTTCCAAATAAAAATCTGAATAAAGATATCGATCTGAATTCTAAATCTTTTTTCTTTTCTAATTAATAACTACCATATGAAGATGAATTAAGTTGAATGAATATTATCAATTAATTTTTACATGTATCGAGAATTATTATTCAATACTATATAGATATGAGGATGTGATCTGGCTGGGTTTGGATATATAATCATAACTAGAATCATATTGATTAATTGTCTTAACTTTAATTCAATAGTCAAGATAATCTTAATGGGAGACAACGATATTACTTTGTTTTTTAGTCATATTCAATGTTAATAACAATACAAAAACTCGATTTTTAACAAGTTTCTTATTAGGATAACTAATTATCGCATACATAACAAAACTATTAAAGTCTGCTTCTGATCATAATTCATTTGTATCGAACTCAATGTTCCAATTGACAATATATCAAAAGACTAATTGAAGACTAAGATCATCCATCTTCGAGGAGTTATTGACGTCGTCAATCTTATTATCGTTATTTTTATTAGTTCTACGTGTGACATGATTGTCAGAAATAGGTCTAAGTCAGATACGAACGGAAAAATTATCGATGAAAAAGTATTGTCTACAGATGGATGTAGGAGGTGTACAATAAATTTTATCGTTCTCTTATTATTATACTGCACTGTTTTCTAGAGATACATGATATATTCTCTGCAGGGATGATCAAAGAATATTCAATAACGAGAGATACACTGATGATGGTGTAGTTTTTATTATTATTATTATTGTTGTTGTTGTTGTTGGGATAGAAAAATAGAACGAGAGAAAAGTTCAAATAGAGATATACAAGGAAAAATCGTTCTCTATTCTCTGATAAATAGATATAGAAGAAAAGAAAGATGTAAGGCATTAATCGGTACGGCTATCATTTGATGGCAACAACACAATCAATCAAGGTTACTCTTCAACGAGATAGTTTGCAGACTTCATGGGGATTTCGTCTACAAGGTGGCACAGATTTTCGAACGCCATTCATTGTCAATAAAGTATAATCAAAATTTTATTTTATATAAAAAGTTTTACAATTAATTTATAGGTTAATCCTGGTAGTCCAGCTGATGGTAATCTACAACGTGGTGATGTTATTCTTATCATAGATCAAATACCAGTTAGTTCAATGCTTCATAATGAAGCACTTGAATTAATACAACGAGCTGGTGGTCAAATAACATTTCTAGTACAAAGGTTTGATTGATTATTATACTTTATATGTCTATATCTTTCGTTTCAGAGGATCTAACCTATATTCTCAGGCACCATCATTTCCACAACCTCAACGTCCAATGTCAGCTACGCCATGGTCATATGCAAATTCAAATCCATCTTGGTCTTCACCAACTCATCAACTTACTCCCATGGTAACAATATTTTCTTGAATTTTAATTTTATTATTTGATTTTCTTTTCTTAGTCATTTTTTCGAAATCGACCATTAGAAAGAATACCTGAACCGAAACCATTGCTTAGGTATAAATCATTTAATATCCTGTTTATATCTATACTAGTTTCTATTATTTGAAGTCAAACAGGTAGTCCAATGATGCCAGGTCCAGTTCCATCTGTATCGACAAAAACACGAGGTTATATGCAGCCACCTTCTTTTTATGCAGAAAGAAGTAATCCGTTAAATAATATTGCATATTCTCCTGGTCGGCTTGTCTATCCCGGGCCAACATATAATAATCGAAGTCGACCAATGTCAACAATAAATTATCCGAATTCTTATGATGATTCATCATATGGGAATTCATTAAATAATGGATCGGAGTCATATATACCGTCTTATCAAAAAAAAGTTCAAATAAATCCTAATGTTCAAAAACAATATTATAATCCAATACCACCTCAACCTCAACCTCAACCATCAAATCTCGTTCATCGTCAATTTAATTCACCAATATCACTTTATTCAAATGATAATGTTCAAGAAGTTATGAATCATCATATTACTCGTGTTAAGTAAGTATTAAAAATCTTTCAAAACGAATCTAATCTCCTTTTTACAGTCATACGAATCAGGACGAATTTGTAACTGATTTTTAATGTATGTCTGCTTTGTTTAGTTTTTACTATATAGAGAAAAGAAGAAAAACTATATGTGCATGTGTGCTTTCATTCTTGTCATTAAATTAGATTGAAAAACGTTTTTTTTTGTTTTAAATTTTAGTGTCATCCCATCAATACCTGAACAATCACAATATGCCTATAATGTTACTTTATTACCATCAAATCCTACACATACCTCAACAAGTTTACCTGTTCATTATGTTCCATCAAATAAAACGAATTATGCAACAGATTATTGAAATGAATATTTGAAATAATTTAGAATTAGTTTACTCTTTTGAATTAAATTTTATTTTTTTGTATCTATGTTGTATTTGTTACTTATAAAATACAAGTAGATTCATGAACGCAATATAGAATTGATAGATAAATATAATATGATTTAACTTTATGTTAAAAAGTAAAATAACGTTTGATAGAATCAATACGGTCTCAAAGAATGGGTGAATCCATCCTCTGGATTTAGAGAAATGCTATATGAAGTTTCGTAGCGCAAGCTATTACAGGGATCGAATGCATAAAGAACAGACATTCTTATTTATATACATATAGATTGAAAGTATTTTTTTACTTTACTTGTCAAAGCAAAATAAAAATAAAGATAAAGTACTACCCCTGAGCACAATATATCAAATAAATCTTTTTATATGATTGCTTGCAGTTGAATTTGACAATCAGATTAAAAACAAAGGATTAAAATTATCATATTTACTCAACCATGACATTTGCTTACACTCATGATAGAGAGTGCAAGAACAAAACTACACACATTGTGTAGAGAGAAAGAGAACAAAAAAGAAAATGTTAATATTAAAGGTGATACGTGATAATGGATGTAGGTGAAAGTGTAATAAACCGATATTAACACCCACACCATCAAGTCGTCTATCGTACTTCAGAATTAAAACTTCAAAAACTCTAAACGACTTTTGAATAAAAGATCTACAAATAAAGACTAAATTTTTTTATGATAAATCATTTAAATATGATATCTTATTCGGAAGAGAACCAATGTTAAATAAAATCATAATGGCTTTAATAAATTTTTATTCAATCTCTTATCAGTCGAATCTATTTTTCATGGTTTCATATTTTGCGTAAGCTCGCTATGGATGTCTGTTCAATATGCTAGATATTGTCAATCGCATTCAAGCATCTTGTAAATTATTATTTACCCATATTATCATTTTTTTTCGTTGAAGTTGTGTTCACTGAAAAATCAAACTAAACTCAATAGTTGTAATAGTCTTTCTAACATAATAAATATCAATTTCTTTGTTTCATTGATGTTATTGAATACTACCGACATCTACATTTCAGATGTCGTTAATTAAATTAAATAGACTATCGAAAGAGATGTTATTTTTCATCTGAATAATTAGAAAAAGAACAATTTTATTATTTATTCAATTATGAATTATAAAAAAAATCAGCCATTAATTATATGAAAAAACATCAGTATCGAGTCAAATGAAAGAATTTTATCATGGCAATATTACACACGAACAACATATGACTATAAGAAAAAAAAAATTCCTGGCTCATTTATATTGACATCTTTTTCAACATCAATCATCTATAAAAATTTCAATGATAGAGCAACGTAACCTTTCGAGACAAATTATCAACTAAATAGAACATAATAAACAATAGTTTTCTATAGTTTTTTTTAAATAGATTTATTTCAACTGTTTGTGTTTTCGTGTGCTGTTATTTTCTTATTTCAGACATTAGTATTTGTGCTTGTTCAATTGTACTTCTCGTTTCAACCTCCCTTTTTACATTAAACGAATAAACTCATTTCATATATTATGTAAGTATTTATTTTTCGAAATGAATATTTTTCCATGTATATATGAGACGGAAGAAAAAAAACAAATAAAATATTTTCATATGCAATATCGGATTATTTTTTGTATATCTAGCTTTTCAAATGACAACAATAAATTCAAATAATGGTGATGGCCAAACATCACCTATTCCTGATGGTCATGGTCAGAAAGCTGAAGATGATAGAAAATTATTTGTTGGTAATAAAATTTTACGCTTTATAATAATAATTATTATTATTATCTATTTTCTTTTTGAGGTGGTTTAACATGGGATACAACACAAGACGATTTACGTGAATATTTTTCTAACTTTGGTAATATTCTTGATTGTTCAATTAAACACGATCCAACAACTGGACGTAGTCGTGGTTTTGCTTTTCTTATCTTCGATAGAAAAGATATTGTTGACAAAATTCTTTCACAAAATGAACATTTTGTTAAAGGTCGAAAAGTTGACCCAAAACCAGCACATCGTCGTTTGGCTATGAACAATAATAATCAAATGTCATCGTTGTCATCATCATCATTAAGTTCACTATCGAATAATAATCGAAAAGTTTTTATTGGTGGTCTTGATCCAAATTTTCCTGATACACAATTAAGAGAGTATTTTTCACAATTTGGAACAATTGATGGTAAATCGAAAGAAAGGAAGAGGGAAATTTTTTTTAAACTAATTTTTTTATAGAAATTGATTTACCATATGATAAAGAAAAAAATGAACGACGTCCATTTTGTTTTATTTCATTTCAAAATGAACAATCAGCACAAGAAGTACTTCGATTACAAAGACATACTATTGGTGATATAACTGTTGATGTTAAAAGAGCTAAACCAAAAACTTTAAATAATCAACAACAACAACAACAACAAATGTATGATCCATATGGACAACAAAGTATTTATGCAAATTATGGAAGTGGGGTTCCATCGTATGGTGTTAATACATATTCAGCTGCTGATCCGTAAGTATTTATTAGTGAAAATTATTATGAAATATAGATGAATAATCTCGCAATGTTTTTATAGCCGATGATTCATAACCCGAATATTTTGTAACTCATTAGTTTGAGACCGTTATCTAACGCGTAGATAGCAATATAAAAATTAAAAAATCTATGCTTGAATAATGATGAGTAACTGTAATCTCATAATATATTTTATTGTATTTCATTAATATAAGTGTATACGCATATATTTTTAGTTATGCAGCATGGAATAATTATCCATACAATCAACAAGGTAATGCTTCGGCTTATTCATATGGTGGTTCTGATGCAACAGGTGCTCAGAATTCAGCTACATCAACTTATCCTCAATATTCCCAACATCAGACAAATTCTCAATATTCATACGGACCATCAAGTGGTGCAGCCAATGCTAATGAATATTATTCTCATTATGGTTACGGTGCTCCTCATCCAGCATCTAATGTCTATCCAGACCAAAATGGTTTGTTATTGAATTTCCTTTTTTTTTTATTATTTTTTTAAAATATCCGTAGTCTATGCTGGTGGCAATGCTGGTGGTGCTTATGATTATAATTATTATACATCAGGTGGTGCAGGAGGTGTTGGTGGTTCAATCGTTGATAATGGTGCAGGGCAACAAGAAAGTAATTCACCGAATGATACAAATAATTATGATCATGATACTCATTTCGGAAAAGCTAAAACATCTATTATTGCCAGTCCTACGTATCATCAATATCCCATCAGTTAGACAAGTTTTTTTTTAACATCATAAGTTTTTTTTTTCTTTTTTTTTATACTCGTTATTACTAATTTGACATAGGCGCAGGATAAATTCATACACACAGATATTAGATAAATCCGTATTGTTGTTGTTATTTTTCTTCATAAAAACTAAACACCCGGTGTATATAGGCAAACGTTTATTTGTTGTTTTTTTTCTCTTTTATATCTTGCGCGATAATGTCACACCGTCTATGAAGTTTTACTGTGTGTGTGAAGATTTTTTTCCAAGAACCGTGATAGATAAAAAAAAAAAAATTAATGCCAAAGAAGAAAAAAAAAGTATGATAGTAAAAAAAAAAAGAAATAAAACGAAATCAGCAACAACATTTGTTTTATCTTTGATTTTGCGTTTAAAAATGCTTGATGTTTTATTTTCAGATAAAGTTGATATTAGCCGTTTTATATTACATATTGACATTCAATAGTTTTTTGTTTTCTTTACAATTATGTCTTCTGTTACTTATGGAAATGAAGGTGTACCTTCAAATGATGAAATAGCAAATTCATCCGGCGCTATTCTTCAACATACATATCTTAATCCAAATGCGAATGCTGCTTATGCTGCCGTTGCTGTTGCAGCTGCTGCTGTTTCATCAGCGTCATCAACATCAGTTGTAGGTCCATATCAACATTATTATGGTCACCCATTACCGCCACAACAACTTCTGCATGTTCAACAATCTGCAGGATTCTATCCCGCACCGGCAACATTAAATCATCATCAACATCATGCAGATTTTAGTACTTCATCACCATCTGTTGCATCATCATCGAGTTCAATTGAATCATCACGTAAACCACCTCATCGAAAACGAAATGCGACGGGTTCTGAAAAAATATCTGGAGCACTGGCAACAACTAAAGCAGGTGCAAAAAGAAAAATGGTATGTAGTTTGCGCTTTAATTACCTTTATATCGGATAAATCCGGGACACTTCTAAGATGGCATACTGAAAATGAATATCGAGCCCATATATGTAGATAGATCTCATATAGCTGAATACTGATGAGATTATATAAGATTCAGCTTTCGCATCTTTATCTTTAGAGATTCTTCCGTGTAAATCTAGTCATTTAAATCAAAAACAATAAATAAAATGTTGTTATATTTAATTTTTTTTTCTAGCCAAATGATGATGATCTTGACGATGACGATGATGACGATGAAGAAAATAAATGTTATTTACGTGGTGCTCCTGTATCAAATGTTATGATGTCGAATAATCAACCACATGGTGGTGTAGGTGGCGATGAAGATAAAGAAAAACAAGCACGCGAAAATCATTGTGAAATTGAACGTCGACGTCGTATTAAAATGGCAACATATTTTGCTGAATTATGCGATATGGTTCCAGCATGTTCAAATTTAGCTCGTAAACCCGATAAATTAACAATTTTACGTATGGCTGCACAATTTATGAAAAATCTACGTACAAGTAATAATTCATTATCATTAAATTCTTCACAAATGACTCAACAAGTTGATTTACACAAACCATCCTTTTTAAACGATCAAGAATTAAAATATTTAATGGTTGAATCATGTGATGCTTTTCTATTTGCATTAAATTGTGACAATTTACGTATTATATATATAAGTGATGCAATTCAACATATACTTTCTTATACATGTCAAGATTGGTATTCACGATATTTTTATGGTAAATAAGAAGAGTTAATAAATTGAAAAAAAAATATAATTATTTGTATTTTATCTAGATTTTGTTCATCCTGATGATGTAGAAAAAGTTCGTGAACAATTAAATTTACAACCACAAGATGGAAGTCCAAATGGTAGTGGAAATGGAAGAGTCTTAGATCTTAAAACTGGCACAGTTAAAAAAGACGGACATGCTTCAGGTGCTCGATTAGGCAAGTTTTTTAGACATCATAGGTTACTCTAAAAAGACAATAGTTCTCTTTTATTTCGGTTATAAGTTTGCTTAATATAGACTTGTCGTGCTAAGGCTTGAATGATAAAAAAGTTAACACTTATGATTAGTTTCTATATCTTATAAATTTATACTGTACACATAGGCATTTTTTTCTTATATGTATTCACATTTAATGTCCTATAGAAGTTAAGATATTTTCAAAGAATTGAATAATAGTTAATGAAATATCTTTTCTTTGTTATTTTAGTTAGTTCAAAACGTTCATTTATCTGTCGTTTGCGTGTTGGTTCAGCCAATGCACTTGATCATACAACACATCAACATCCATTTATAAATCCATGTATATTACGTCGTCGTCATCGTACATCATTAGGTCCATCAATAGACGGTCATCTTTATGAAGTAGTACATATTAGTGGGTATATACGTAATTTAAATACTCATCATCATCCATCATCACATCATGATAATCCATCATCATCATCAAATGCAAGTAGTCAAATGGCCTTTATAGCCATAGCTCGTATACAAAATTCTTGTACACCAAATGTAAATGATTTAACAAATAGTTCAATATCTTCATTAAATTCCATGACAACAGAATTTACTTGTCGTTGTCATAGTGATACAGGTGAAATATTATTTATTGATCAACGTTGTACACCAATAATTGGTTATAAAACACATGAATTATTACATAAAATAATTTATGATCAAATACATCCTGATGATCAAATTAAATTTCAAGATTTATATAAACGAACAGTTACACAAAAAAATTTATCAAATACATCATCAAATTTAACAAATATTATTGTACGTTTTCGTACAAATATTGATAATGAATATGTATCATTAAAAACTTCTACATATGCTTTTTGTAATCCATGTACAGATGAAATTGAATTTCTTATTGTTACATTTCTATCAAATCAAACAACAAATAAAACATCAGTTATTGCAAATTCAAATGATTATAATCAACAAACATATGAAACATATGGAAGAAATACAAGTGCAATTGTTTCAAATCCAATTGCACGTTATTCAACACAATCACCAGCAACATATAATAATCAAGAAGGACAAGATTATACAACAGGAAATGGAACTAATGATGGAAGAACATATGCAAGTAATAATGGTGGATCAACATGGGCACCAGCTAATGAAAATTGGACAACTGCAAATACAGCAACATCTACAAATACTGATTATGGTGATACAGCTGCAACACTTGCACTTTATCATCAATATCATCAGTAGAATCAGTTTCTTTTTCTCTTGTTTCTATTGTACATTTTATATTCAGATAGTGTTCGTTTCTTTTTTTTCTTTGTTTTGTTCTTTATTTTTCTTTGTCTCGCTTAGATTTGAATCTCTTTATCTTCAATATTTCTATTATTTGTTTTATCTTCGTGCATTTTTTCTTGCCGCATTGCGACAAACTATTCAATATTTACATTTCATTTCTCATTGCAATATCTTCTTTGTTTGCATGCTTTATATCTCTCTATTTTATATTTCGCATATAAAACCCAAAAAGTCAGTAGTTTTCAGTCATCGAAATAAGAGAACGATTTTTTGTTTTTTGTTTTGGTGTCATTATTTGTTCTTGTCATTTTAGTAGATGTGGTTTATTCTTCTTTTTTTTTTGTTTTGTATAAACATATATACATCTGTATATTCAATCAATAATAAATAATGAATGAGATAAAAAAAATATACGATAAATTCAATGAATACAAGTGGATAGTAAAACTGATCATTCGATACAATGCAATAATTAAATTCTTTTTCTCAGATATTTCATAGTTTGTGGGTTCTCTTCTTTATTTGAATTCTAGAAATATATGAGCAATTGGAAATGTATAGTTACTAGCACAAAAAGTTTAAGTTTAATTGGTCGCGAAGCCAGAGATTTTTTTTGTTATGGGATGCTTTCAATAGAAACTACTGAAGTTTATTTTTTTAGAGGATCTAGAAATCCTAGTATCTCCGATTTCTGACTTTCATAATTACTACGACTACCACTCCTTATTCTAGATCTTAGTTTCGACGTCATCTGTGTGACCGATAAATTAAATATGACCACAACAACACCAAAAATTGATAGTAAGAAGTCCGCACTAATCTTAATGGACTTACAGGCTGGCATAATTGGCATGCTCCCAAACTCAGAGGAACTCCTCACTCAAGTAGCTACTGCAATCTCTATCGCTCGGGAGCGAGATGTACAGGTCGGCCATGTTCGTGTAGCTTTTGAAGATTCCGACTATGCTGCCATTCCAAATACCAACAAAACTTTTAGTGCAGTAGCAGGTAGTCGTCGTATGCAGATTGACACTCCGGATGCCGCCTTTCACAAAAATGTAGCACCACAAGCTGGAGACATCGTCGTTCGCAAAACTCGTGTCGGAGCGTTCTCTACCACTGATCTCGACCAGCAATTACGCCAACGAGGTATCACAAATCTGATTCTTGCAGGTGTCTCCACCAGCGGTGCTGTCCTATCTACCGTTCGGGATGCTGCTGATCGCGACTATCAATTGTATATCCTCGTCGATGGAACTGCCGATCTTGATCCTGAAGTTCACGACATTCTCATAAAGAAGGTTTTTCCACGACAAGCATATACTATCACTACTGCCGAACTTGGTGACTTAATTTCTGGTGCTTAATATTCATTTTCAATCATTCCAATTTTCTATTTATCGTTATTTATAAAAGACTATGTTTCATATCACGGATTATTGAGCTTCACTTTGATCACTCTCCTTTTTTTATCCAGTTATTTCGTAAATAAAATGAATTTGGTTTTGCTCCGATTATTTTTTTTGATTGTCTTTGTATTTAAAATAGAACATGCATTATTTCTTCTCGGTCAACTAATAGTCATTGTTTGAAAAGCAAAATCATGATTTTTAATTTGATATGTCAAATCGATAGAGGAGACCATTTTAAGGATATCAGGAGAGAGTGACGGCGTCATTATGAATGTAAAAATCACGCCTGATGATGCAGCAAATAGTATTAGATATTGAACCATTTTAGGGATCATCAAAAACAGGAATAAAGTCAGAAAAAACAATACTTTTCTTTCTTTCGCAATATGTTATCAAAAAATTTTTTTCTAAAATTTAGTGACAACCCAACACTATTTATTATTCAATATCTCGAGAATGATTCTTAATCGAAATGGTATTATCTATATTTTTCAATAGGATGAAAAAATAGATGTGATTGTAGTACAATATATTCGTATCATATTAAAGCTCATTTCAATTTTTATTTTTGTATTTCTTGAGAAAAAATATATTCATATAAAATAGATGTACATTGAAGAATTCGATATATTTAGATTTTTGTTTACTCAATAAATAAATGTAAATAATTCGTATGCTGTTTTGAGTTCTTTTAGACATATTTGTCTAGTATCAATGAGAAAATATTGTTTTTATTAGTCAAGAAATTTTTCTTTCTTCTCATTCATGCCATGTATTCAAACAATGGAGAATTCTTTCAAATTATTCATGTTAAGATATATCTATACATGATAATCTGTATTTTCTCTAACATCAATAATGAATAGATTGATATACTTCAAAATCTGTCCGTGAAGAACTACTTCAAACAAACTTCATGTATTGATAATTTCATTTTAAATTAGTACAAAAACATGACATTCTCAATGGCATTGCTTATAATTAATAAAAATAGTTAAATGTTGCTTTTTTGTTATAGAATTTATTAGAGATATAGGGCGGATTGGATTGTCAAGACCTTCTCGTACAGTTCCCGCTGCAAAATATTTAAATTTCAAGTACCTTCCATATCTGACTCCCTCTCCACTTTTCCGTGTATATACAGAAGTTTCATAGACAGTTTGGTGACTATAGCTATTACAAAACAACCTGGGTGGAATTCTACTCACTGACCCCCCCCCTCCCGGATGGCCATGCAAAACTCCTGTCGACTTTCTCTGAGATATAGGGAAGCATCGTAGAAAGTTTGGTGATCGTAGCTATTACAGGGACTGGATGCAGAACGAACAAACAGACAGACATTCTTCTTTATATATATAGATTACCTTAAAAATATACATTAGTCCATATATTTACTTATGTGAATATTATTGAATGACATTTGACATGTTGAGATATTCGTTATCGTTTAATTCCATTTCAGCAAAAAGGTATACATGTCTTTTAACATGTTGTTTATTTTTTCGAAAGAAATTTTAGCAGCTTCAAAACACATCGAGAAAAAGAATGTTTTTAGTTAGTCGTTGATATTTATTCTAACCAATACCATTGAAAATATTAACAATATACGAATATTTTTTTCATAATCATTATTATAATAATTCTTTAGCAAATATATTTAGATAATCTCATCCAATATGAGTATTATCTTATCTTTCAATAAATCAAATAGAATAAAGTCATTCTTTTATTTCAGATGCTTATATACTTGATTAGCATCCATATCGTACACGTCCTTTTTCTATTTATCATTCTTAAAGTTATTTACTAGGTTATTTAAGACATTTTTGTATTTGCAATAGGAACATGCCAATCTAATCATTCTACAATAGCGAAATTATTTTGATTATCAGGTAATAGACATATATTCTTCTTTAAAATGAATGAAACAAATAAAAAGTCAAGTTATTTGTTAACGTCATGTGACTTAACATCAAACACAATTACTAAATGTTCGTTTATTAGCTGAAGCCTTAATAGCAACGTCTTGTTCAAATACAGAATAAATACAATGGGAGCAATCGAAAATATTTTATTATTATTTCTTTTTCGACTAATGCACTTCAATCATAAAAAGGTAAAATGCATCATTGCTTATTTAAATATTTCGCTGTAAGGTAATTAAATTTCAAAAAGAACAGTGATATATTCGGCTACCATTTGACATTTTTTATTCAAAATTCAATTAGACAAAAAATAATATTCAGCAAAGCATTTACCAGTGAATACTTTTTTTTGCGGTTTGACTTGCTTTAATACTCTTTTGGTTTCTTCCGATTCTTTATCATTTTATGTTTTATATACTACGATGGAGTACATTACATATATACTTCAATCATTGTAACGAGATCGTTTTATGACTTGATTTTATAAAAACGATTTACATTGAGTCATATATATTTTTGTCTAAAAATAACAAGATAAACAATATGATATTTGTATTGCACTTGGAAAATCGATTCATATGAAAATAAATAAAATCTTTTATCAAAAATTGAACTGAAAGTAGACGTTTTGAAATTATCCTTTTTTATTCTTATAGTCATAGCAAACCATAAAACTACTTACTATAGTGATTATATTTAAATAGTGTTCAAAATGGTAAAGTTTTATCTATGTTTTTCTTTTGTTTCATAGTTCAAGAACAATTCTTTTTTGGAAAAGCTCTCTTTTTATTATTTCATCTATTAATTGAGTTTATTATAAAACAAAAATAATATACTGCTCAATATTTGAATATTACCATTGAAGCAAAATAAATGTAAACTATTATGTTAAATTATAATTACATATGTAAATCTACGCCATCTATGTTAGCTGAAGGCACAGTATATACTTAACATTAGTAACTAATCACATTTCTTTTCAATACAAAATATAGAATAATATTATATTTAATGATTTAACCTATTGAAAGCTTTTTATTTGCATTGCCTATGCACTCGGTACAAAGTTCTTTGAGACAGACATATTTTGCTTTTTTCATAAAGAGCACATTTAAAAACAATGATTTAAAGCCTTTTGCAAATATAATTTTTTTTTGTTTTTGTAGATTTCATTATGGCTTCACCTTCAGCTTCATCGACAAAAACAAAGACTGAAAGTAATGAACAATATCAGGCTTCATTAAAAAATATTGGAGTTAAACCTCAATCTGGTACTGGCGCTAATATTGTTCTTGTTGGACCACCAGGCAGTGGTAAGATTAATTTTTTATATAGAAAAGAAAAAATGTAATCGAATGATTTCTCTTTTCAGGTAAAGGAACTCAAAGTAATCGACTAAGTGAACATTATAAAATATGTCAATTATCAACAGGTGATTTACTTCGTCAAGCTGCTCAAGATAAATCATCAGATGAAGGCAAAAGAATTCGACAAACAATGGAAGCTGGTGGTCTTGTTGATGATCATATTGTTATGTCATTAATTGATAAAAATCTCACTAAACCTGAATGTAGTAATGGATTTTTATTTGATGGATTTCCTCGTACAATAAATCAAGGTGAACAACTTGAACGATTACTTGAATCAAAACAAAAACGACTTGATGCTGTATTAGAATATGCTGTATGTATTTTTCGTTTAATAAGTCAATTATTAATTTTAGATTTATATCTCATGTTAGACTAGACGATCAAAGCGTTTATTTTTTCGTTTTAAAGGATGAAAATCACTCATGTGATCAAGGTGAATTAATAACACTCTCATGGAGCACTTTGAAAAAAGAATGCACACAAAGACAATTCTCATTCTGTATAATAGTATTGGTTTACATATAGTAGTACACGTTATCGTTGTTTAGCTTTACTAGACTATTTGGTTGATGATTATTATCACTAAATAAGTTCATTATTACAATGAAAGTTATTTATATATATATATATAGATTTATGCACCGAAAAAAAAATCACTATAAACTATTCTATCTCAATATATAAATATGTAATTACCTTAACCAACTAAATAATCTCTATTAAATGCATGTTGTCATTAAAAAGAATGCTTATCTTCAATATCATTCTTGATTCAAAGTTTTCAATGTATCTCATATGAAAACTTCTATCACATTCGAAATTCATCTGGCATTAATCACACTCTCAATGATTCAAAGCTTATAAAAAAATATCATATTTAAATTTAGATTCCTGATGAGTTATTAAAAAGACGTATTCTTGGTCGACTTATACATAAACAATCTGGTCGAACTTATCATGAAGAATTTAATCCACCTAAAGAATCAATGAAAGATGATGTAACAGGTGAAACACTTGAACGTCGTTCTGATGACACAACTGAAACACTTAATGCTCGATTAAACACATATCATAAACAAACAACACCATTGGTAAAAGATTTTTAATGAAAAATTCTTTTCTTTATTTGGAATGTTTTTAGATTGATTTTTATCGTAAACGAAATCTTCATAAATCTATTGATGCATCTCAAAAAGTAAATGATGTTTATCAACAATCACTTGAAATAGTTGATGATTTTCGTAAACAACCAAGTTATAAACCATTATCCGTTGATGAAGAACAAGGTTCAGTTCGACAAATGGAAACAAGTGTAGAAAGAAATGATTTTGATGAGACATTAACTATAAAAACAAAACCAATTAATAATCAAATTGAAGTTGATACAAGTAGTTTAAGTAAGAATTTTCTATTTGTTTACAATTCGGTGACTGCTGTATTACGTGATCGTGGTATTATTTAAAAGAAATTATTCCAATTCAAGAAAAATTATTCATCATATATATCTAGACTAGCTCCTACTTCTATCGTTTACTTTTTCTCCTAGATTTTTAGTCTGTGAAACATTTGATCGATTTTCTTTTGGTGATGTTATATCGTTCTTTCAAAAAAAAAAAGATTAAACCTTGAAGGTTCCATTGTTTTGTCCATGAAAAGACATTAATGGATAAAATAAATATGTTGTTATTTTAGTGTTTGTTTTTTAGATTAAATAAAAGAAATTAAAATATAATACATTATATTAAGATTTTTTCATCATGTGTTTCTTTTTTAAAAGATAATATCAGGCATAATTTGTTAGTTCTTTCAAATAGAAAAAAAAATAGGACATAGGAGTTATTCTGTTCAATTCGCATACAAAAGAAAAAGGACTGTAGTATGTCGATAGAATCTCATCTTCAAACTTTATTTGTATATCTTTTTACAAAGCAATTGGAATGATTCTACTCAAGATCGAATCCCAACCGAAACGTTTGAATTTGATGCTACACGGACTGATTTTGCATTTCGTCTTATCTTATCAAAAATATTCTCTGTCATTCTAAAATTCATACTTGAACTACAAGAGACTTGTTGAAATTGCTGAATAATTTTCTAATGTGAAGATTATTTCTTCAATTCGATCTATAATAATATTTCATGTCTAATTACAACCAAGAAACGTATTGGTATTGAATCGGTGATGATATGAAGGTGAAGTACATTTTCGACTAGCCATATAATTGTCAAGTGCGCAGTACTTTGGAGATGTGAAGTAGTATCAAGCAGAGTTTTTTCTTCTTTGTTTACGAAATAATTAACAAGTTCTCTTTTCTCTCTCTCTCTAAGTCATATATTGTTAATAATTGCTGTTATATTCTACGGAAAGTTTAATCTTACTACCTCATTTTTAAAATTTTCTTTCGAAATAAACATAAGATATTGAATCGATCACTTTGTTTATTACTGTTATGAAATTAGCATGGGTGAAACAACAAAAACTAATCATAAAGTATTTGGAACTAGAAAAGAAAAAAAACGAATTGAATACATCTCGAGTATTCAATTCACTTGCAAAATCATTGTAAAATTAGTTTTAAATGTCAAATATATTTGTTCACTATTAAGCAAGTATTTTTTCATTTTAGAAATAAATTAATAATTCAAACGAAGTCAAAAATTTTTCACCTCGCTTTATTCTTTGATGACTACGGCTTTCTTATCTCTTTGTTGATAATTTATTTACCTTTATCTTTTTCTAGCTCTTATTACCTTCACACTCTCACCAGTTATTTTTTGTGATAAAACACATTGAATATATTTATCTAATTCACATATTTCGTTGTGCTACACATTTCTTTTTGGAATATTTCTGTGTTTTTTTTATAAAAATCGCTTTAATTCTTTGATCATGAATATATCACGAGTATCGATAATGACATTTAATATGTGTAAAACAGAAGGTTTTCCTATTAACTGGCCACAACGGCGTTTACCTATTATTGAATGTATGACAGCATTTACTCCTGATATTCTCTGTATACAAGAATTACATCCATTATTACATGATGCTCTTGTTGAAGCATTACCTAAACATATATTTGTACAAGACGATTTTGAGGGTTGGCAACAAGAAGGTAATATTTATTGGAATTCTGACATGTTTAATATGTTAGATTATGGAATCGTTGATATTGGTATAATGGAACCATTGCGACGTTTATTTTGGGTACGATTAGCGATTAAATTGTCCTCAAATGAAACGAAAGAGCAAAGTCAATTGAATACAAAAGAAATACTCGTAACAACAGCACATTATACCTGGGAAGGCCATGAAGAAGAACGCAAAACAGATATCAATCTACGTAAACAACAAACACGCCGTACTGTAGCTGCATTAGAAGATTTAACAGCTAAAATTAATAATCCTCAATTAGCTGTTTTATTTATGGGTGATTTAAATGAAAATTATCATCCAAGACGAATCTTACGTGAAGCTGGATATGTTGATTGTTTTGCTGAATTACGATTACCGACACCAATTACTCATCCTCAACGTCCTGCTGAACCTAAAGAAGATATTCAAGTGGGTACAACATTAGATTGGATAATGCAAAATAAATATGCTCGTCCTATCTTAGCAAATGCACTACTTAATATATTTACTACTGGAGGATATTCTGTATCAGATCATTGTCCAGTCATGTGTATCTACGAAATTGGTGCAGGTCCATACATTTCAAATGCAAAGCAAGATTTTTGTGGAAAAAATCTTATCAAATGGAATTAATTATTATCTAGAGATATAATATATGTTTTGTACTATGTTGATTTTTTCATTTATACTAATTTGATAACGAAAATATATTATGATTTAGTTTTTAAAGGATTATATAATTTTAATCCTTTTCCGAAAGAAAAAACATACAATACTGTAAATATCGTTGAAAATATATCTTCATTCGAATTCTATTTAAATTATAAAATCGTTTTCAGTTAGTTCCTAATAATAATTAGGTTTTTAAGTGTAATATTAACCATTTTATGACATCTATCGTATAATAATATAATTAGAACATTGTTTTAAACCAATATTTAAAAAACTCGTGTCGTTTTCGCTTCATCTCATTTCCATTTAACTTTTATTACTATACATCATTAACCATCTGTTCATTTCTTTTCTCGCAAGCTTAACATGTTTGTCAAGACTCTTCTTCTTGCGCTATTTTTTCCTTGTCTTATCTCAACAGAACCTATTGAATTAACAGATCAAACATGGAAAAAAATGTTAGATGGTCAATGGATGGTCGAATTGTAATGTTCATCTAGTTATTTCTATTCATTTTATATATATTTCTTTTAGTTATGCACCATGGTGTTCAGCTTGTCAAAAATTTAAACCAATATGGAATGATTTTTCTAAAGCTATGTCATCTAGACATGTTAAAGTAGCTGCTATAGATACTGATAAATATCCTTCACTTTCCAATCGTTTTCGTATTGCTGGATTACCTACTATTTTTTAGTAAGAATAACTATGAACGCTTAAAATTTTTCTCATATTAGTCTTCATCTCGATATTCATTATAGTATGAGATGAAATTATGATTAATCTAAAGATGTACATAAAATTGAACTGTTCATCGTTGAGATATTGACTATTCTAATAATTACCTAACCCTTTTTTGTCATCATCAGTCAATAAACTCATTGATATGCAAATATTTGTCAAACATAGTGCATGTTTTTTTTGTTAGGATTCCATAAGACTTCTATACAACGTGTTTGTTGTAATTCTAATAAAAATAAACCGAATAGTATTGCAAATATAGCAACAAACACGTACTTCTACGTTTTCAAAGATAATTAAAGAGGTTAAATAATTTGTTTTATTATATATAACCTATTTAACGAATGTAAAGCCTTCAGAATTATAATGAGACGATAGTAATAGACTCCTTTTGCTTTCGACGGTATTCAACTAATACTAGCCTATAGTTTCAATCGTTAGCATGCTCAGTCAATAGATCATTATTGTTTGTGAAAAACTAGAAGAATTCAACTACATATAAATAAAAACACATGAAAGATAGAGGCATTATTATTTTCATTTTATCTAGTGTTCGTAATGGTGTTTTTCGTCAATTTGAAGGAGGTGATCGCTCATTAAATTCATTAAAAAAATATATTACAAATGAAGATTGGCTAAAAACAGAACCCATTCCATCATATATTGCTCCAGATAGTATTATGTATGTAAATTATTTCATTCGATTTTCTATTTTCTATTTTTTTTCATTTTAAAGAATGTCATTTGTTAGTTCAAATTTTAATATACATCAACTTTTTACAGTTTGTTCATCATAAGTATATATATACGAATTAAACTATCTTAATCATATTTAGGATGTTTTTACAATATTACAAGATGAATATAAATTCCCAGCATGGACGGTTTATATTATTATTGCTATTGCATCTATTCTTGTAGCATTCACAGCTGCATATGTATGTAGATTTGTATTCTTTTATGAAAATATTCTCGATTTTTTTATAGAGTATTGCATCTATTACACATACTTTTGTAGATGGTTTATTTAAAATTTATACAAAATTTACACGATCAGTAAGAGAAAAAGGAAAGAGATGATTTGTTTGATTTAAAATGAAAATTTAGAATGAAAATGAAACTGAAAAATTATTGGAACCAACAGAACAAACGACTGCAACAAATGTAACTACATCAGTAGTTGAAGATCAAAACGGTATTTTAGATGAAGAAGTAAATGTTGAAGAGGAAGAACAAACAGAAAGCAATTAAACGATGTGTAGACATCCACCGATTAGAAAAAACAATTTTGTGATCATAGACTTTCGTTTGTTTATGTATACTCTAGATTACAAATTATTTATCAAATTATTCTCTTACATTAATGTAAAAAAAAACCAAAACGCTATATTTTTTTCAGTTATCTGCTTTAATTGTTTATATTTATATTTTTTCGTTGTATAACTAGCAAAATTAAAAAAGCTTATGAAATAAAATATGTCAATTGAAGATTTTATGCATTGTCAGTGATGTTAGAATTTTATTTAAAGAATCTACGAATTCAAGTATTGTTCTATATGAATCCTTTCCTGGAATAGACGGCCATTTGCCGTATAAGGCCTTGTTCGAGAAAAAGTTCAAGCTTCATATGAAAAGGTCATGTACTAGTTAATAATTCAGAAGAACCCCTTCCTATAGACTGTATCAAGGCATGGCCTTTTATTCTGAAATGGGATTTACTTGATGAGATCGAATATTTTAATAGAGATAAATAATAACGAAATCGACAATCTTATTTCTAAGCAATGAAATAATTAGAACAGAATTATCATAGTGTCGATTCTTTAGCAAATCGTTTTTTTCTTTCTTCTTGAAAATCAGCCAGATAGAAATTTATGGTGCTTTTATAAATCAAAATATTTTTTGTTATTATAAAGAAAAAAAAGAAAGCAAAATTGAAGAATATTTTTGATGTATATTCTTACATGAAAAAAGACTAAAAATAATATAGTTAAATAAGCAGCAATAATTACTGTTAGTTTCTTTTAAATTTTTTTTGTATATTCAATCCAATCAATCAATCACTTAATCGGCTTCATATGTCGACGACACTTCTTTTTTTTTCCATTTCTAAAAAGAAAAACTGTATGTTTGAGTAACTATGCTTTATATGACGTGCAACAATAATAATTTTCTTTTTTTTTTTCTTCTTTTCTCAGTTGCATGTTTGCTCTTTTTCGTTATAAATTTCAAACAGAGTTGCCACTTTTTTTTGTTGTATATTCTACTGTGTCATACACTATTTTATCTCCTAGAAAATGATAGCAAGTGCAAGAGCTAATTCATCAAGAAATAAAACAGGAGTCTATGGAGCTCCTTCTCGAACACAATCGAAATCACCAGAAAATAAATCAACTGTTGTATCAAAATCACCATCACAAAATCGTACGATTCATTCAGCAAAATTATTATTAGCTTTATCTGAACAAAAACATCATTATTTACAACAAGCTCGTTCATCAAATCAAGAACTTTCACAATATCAAACAGTCGATGGAAATAATCATAGCATTACCGATTCTCATTCAAATATAGATGTAATGCGAAATGGTTTTCGACCATCGATTGTACGTCGTCAGAAACAACATATAATAAATACTTTAAATCATCGAGATAATCAATATCAAAATTTACAAGATCTTTCAATAAAACAATCATTTACTCCATCAGTTGGTTCAGCTAGATTAAAATCCGAAATTGAACATCTTAGTAGTAAAATCAAATTACAAGATACTCCACACAACAAATCACCACGATCTCACCGCAATCGGGTAAAAACATCTTATTTAACTGACTAACAAATATTGACAATTATAATAAGAAGCCATAATAACAGCTAGAAGGTAATCTATAGTATATATATACAAAATATATAGCTAGATTAAAACCTTATATAATAATTCTTAAAATCATCGTAAGACTTTATTAACTGAAATAAGTTTTGACAATTTCTTTTGGCGTAGACTTCTATAAGAATAGAAATATTATTGAAGTAAACAAGTTAATTAGCCTAATCAGTCTTAAAAAAAGCAATCTTATAGAGTTGTCAAATACTTATTCTTCATTAATCGTGAATAGGACAAGCAAAAAAAAGCAAGTATATGTTATTATATTACTTAAAAAAAAGAAATATTTTCTCTGGAGAATTTTAAGACATATCGAATCTTATTTCAGGATATGTCTGGTACACCCCGAAGTATTCTATCAAATTTCACATCAAATCGTCCTTCATCTGCATCTACAAATATAGTAGCTACGCGTAATCATGAACGTATTTCAACAACAACAAGACTTGGTACTGCAAATACAGCAGCATCAATTTCAGGAGTAGATAATAATTCTTGTAAATCTCCACAAACTTTAGTAACTATACCAACAGCAGCATCAACAACAACGGGTAACGAAGACTACAGTCGACATTATATAAATCATCATATTGCTCATGCTTATCAAGTTCCACAACAATCTAATATTGGAAATGAAAGTGCACTTCCATCGACATCATTAACAACAACAATAAAACAACGTGCAACAAAAATGGGTACTCGTAATAATGAAAAGAATACAGTTGCATGCCCATTCTATGTTATGTATTTTACGAATTTAAGTTTGCAACAAACTTCTAATGATAATGAAAATGATAAAAGATCGTCAGCAACACCATTACCAACGACACGTAAAGGCACAGCTAATTCTCGTATAGGTACATCTCATTCACGTCATTCATCAACTAGAAAACATGTAAGCAGTCCATTAAGTATGAATAGTCGTTCAGCTATTGATGAAGATGATGAAAATTCGTTGTTAAGTATAGCACCATATTATAATAAGAAACGTTTCTCAGCTAGAATAGCTGCATTTGAACATGAAAATTCTCATTTATTAAAAGATGTTCTACGGACTACAGCATGGAATCATGTACAAATGTAAACATTTTCTTTTCTTTTCTTTATGACATATTTTTTTATTTCAAAAAAAAAACGTTTTTTTTTATATAACAAAAAATAGAACTATTAATTATCTATGATACATATATCATCATAAAAAGAAATTCTATTTTTATCAAAGATCAATTTTTGTTGTGGCAGATTTTGTTATTATTGCATGATAGATATATAATGGTTTGGCTTGATTTTGTATATGACGTGAACCTTGTATAATATTTGACATGCCACAGACACTTGAACGTGATGACATATTATATTGACTTTTATCAAATTTTTGATTTGAATATCGTATTTCATGTATTTTACGTTGACATGAACATGTTAATAATGTTGGTAAGATTTCTATTATTGTTATACATATATTAATAACAGATCGACGAAATTTATCACTAGTTAATAGATATAAGAAAAAATTCGCTGCATGTTGTAAATCACTTAATTGAAACATAATTACAGTTAATATTGTTAATCGACGATAACGTAACCATTGATTATAATCATTAACTTTTGGTGATTTACTAAAACCATATCTAATATCAAGTACAAAATAAATACTATTTGGTAATGTAAGTAGAAGAAAAACACCAGCAACAGAAAGTAACATCAATGTTATATGACGATGTCGTGAACGTATAACTTCTGTTTTTTGATTACTACGCATTTCCATATCATGATTACCTAATATTAATACACTTGAACGTTTTCTTTGATCAGCTATAAATAGGAAATTTTTAGTATGGTAAATATTGATTATATTTGTTTTACCTTCTCGAAATTTAATATTTGTATTAATAATTTGTCGAATATTTTCTTGTGAATTATTTCGTTTTTGATGTAATTTATAAATAATTAATATACTTAATGATAATAAAAGAATAAATGGTAAAAAACACCAAAAAACAAAATCTGTATAACGCCATAGACTATGTAATGAATCATAACGTCTCATATCATAATAACAAAACTGTTTATCAATATTTTGTGGATGTGTTAAACTATCAATTGTCCAGAAATGATGAAATGATATAATACTTGTTAGAATAAGAAGAAATATACATATATATTTAGCTCGTGTTATTGTACAAAAATACGAAGCTTTAAGTGGAAACCATACAGCAAAAAATTTATCAGCTGTCATAATAACAAGTATCCAAACATTCGTATAACCAAGAACGTATATAAGAAAATATAAGATTTTACATGAAATTGAATTAGCTGGAAAAAATGTTGGAAAATAAACGAAATTTTTTGTTAATAAAACAAGTGGATCAAGAAAACTAAGTGCAAGCATAAAAAATGCTGTTGATGTTCCACGCATTTGACGACTTCGTAAAGCAAGAAATGATAATGTATTACTTATCAATGATATTGGTAAAATAATTAATGGTAAACATACACGTAAAAAATCGGCAATACGTTTTTCAGTCCAACATTCTGATAGAGTTTCATATGTTGTATTTGTTATTAAAGTAGTATTACGACAAAAATCTGGTACATTACCCATCTGAAATATAATATAAAGATCTTGATAGATAAAGGAGGAGTTCTTATCGTCAATAATAGAACTTTTGAACTATTTTCTAGAAAAGATTAATTTATTTTGATGACACCGAAAAAGAAAAAAAGAATGAACAACTGTCCTCCTCCTAAATCCGCGTCGAACGACAAATAATGATTTATGAACTCGAAGTTCAAAGCGAGAATAAATGTCATGAATCTTTCTACGAACTACTAAAGAATTCTTTTCATCACTATAGAATAAAACATATAAATGTTGTTCTTTTTTTTTTGGAATATCCATGTCACTATAAATATGTTTTAATTGAATTATGTCTGTCTACCACATATCCGTAGTAATTTAATAGGCTTTCTATTCTCGTTATATTGTTTCAGATCGATTGTTTTGATTAATAGAATAAAACTATTGATGAAACTTACTTTGCATTCTTTTATCGTTCAAACTAGAGAAAATGACAGTTTTTAACATCATTACTGTTGTTTTTCTAGTATATTGATAATTAATATTCTAATCTCATGAGAGAGAAAAATCATGATTAATTTTCTTTAGATCTCAAGAAATAGAAAAAATTTATATGATTTGACTGTTTATAAATATGCTAAGCCATCATTGATTAAGATAGTTTTATGTACACTTACGATTTTATGTATCAATGCAAAGAATCTTACTGATTGTATTTGTTATTGAAGAGAATCGAGAAAAGCGAAAAGAAATAATATAGACATTACTCTAATAAAAACAAAAAAAATATGTCAAGTAATAGATGCGAGGAAAAAAAAAGGAAATTAGTATATGACAATGCTCGACTTACGAAAAATCAAATTATATATTTCGTGTTCGTTCGTCTGTAACCATTGAGATTAATCATAATATCGACAAAAATAAAGATATTCTTTATATTTTTCTGTTATAAAATTTTTTTTTTATTTTAACACATTAAATAAAATGTGTGAAAAGGCATGGAAAATTCAATTATTTATTCATGTCTCAATTCTTTTCTTTTTTATTTTTGTAGAAAAACAAAAAATAATTTATACTTAAACTAAAAATGTTGATTTTATACAGATGAAATATGTAAAAAAAATAGTTTTAGATAATTAAGGATCATATTTCTTATATATCGCTTTTTTAGTATCAAATTACCCGTCATAATAAGAAGATTTATACTTATTATACGTGTGTATATATATATCAAACATTATTTATGTAAGACTATTAAAAAAAATAACATCGCAAAAAGATACTCGTTTTTTTTTGTACTTTTTCGTTATTTCTTCTGCTCAATTGAAATGAGAGAGAATAATCGTGATATATTCTAGTCTGTTAATATAGATTGTCTTTTACACATCAACTTATGTTATTGACATTTGAAGAAGTGCAACGTCAATAAATGACTAACAACCGTCAAAAATATCAAGAAGTATTGCTTATATAAGTGGCATAATGAATTGATTGAAGTAGCCTGGAATTTTCTTGTTATTTCTCCATCTGATTTATTAAGATTAATCATATATTACACGATTTTATTGATCTGATTAATAAAAAAACACGTATAAATGAAAGTATTTTATATATTTATTTATGTATAAGATAGTTCGTAAAAGAACATTTTGGTATATCAGAATAAATCTGCTTGATTTCGAGATGATAAATACAAGATTTAAGAAAAGAAAAAAAAAGTAAATAATACTTCAGACAAAATCTGACAAAAACATGTTTTGTTAAATATAAATATAAATAGAATTAACTGTTTCCGCAGACTTTTTCATAAGGTGGTGGACGTTCCATATGAAAATCATCCATAGGTTGTGGTGGTGCACTTGGTTGTGGTAACATTGGATGATTTTCAAGACCCCATGTTTGTTGCATCGGTGGTTGTGGCGAAGGTACTTGTTGTTGCTGTTGTTGTTGTTGAAATTGTGGTTGATAATTTGGTGAACCTGTATGAATAATTATCGGTTGTGGCATTGTAGTAAAACCTAAATAATATATTTAATTTCAACTAAAATATTTTCAAAATTTACCTTGTTGTCGTTTTCGATTATTATCCCTACCACCACCACAACAACATTTAACACAAACATAAATTGTCGTGACAATACAGCAAACAATGCATACTGATACAATAATAAATACAGATATAGCAACCTAAAAATATTAGATTTTATCTTCCAGATATTTAAAGGATGTTCAAAGAAATTTTCAATTAATTAATGCGTATTGAGTTTGGAATGTATACATATGATAGATCTCGATAAGATATATAGATCTTTTTGTCTAGAATAACAAGCATTTTTGCCCTTAAGATACTATTATTCGATTTGTTAACAAATATCATATTACAGAATTTTATTATACCTTAGAGGTTTCGGAAATGTAAAGTTCTATCATTCTCTGTTAAACTCGTTTCCGTATTTTCGATAGAGTAAATATTTAAAATGAAAGTTTTATATTACCTTTTTCGCCATGCCCAAAATTTCATCAGGACTAAAAGAAAATGAAGTTAATCTTTAAAATTCAATAAAAATATTTAACTTACTCAACGAAATCACGACGATAGCGAGGAATTATTGTCGGTTTTTCAGAAACAGTATCCAAACGAGGTATTCTATAACAAAAATATTTAGTTTAATTTGCTATTTTTAAGCTATTTTATTATACCGTATTAAAGTTTTTTCTGTTGTTGTTTCCCACGATTGATTAAATGAAACATTAGCCATAATATCATTTGATCCATGTTCAACAACTGCAACATCTAAAGAAAAAAGTAAATAAAATCTCATTATATGAAGAATATTTTTGTACATACATTTAGCCTTGTTGATATTAATATTTGTAATAATTAGTAAAAGAGTAAATGAGAATGTTAGATAATATATAATCATTTTAGAATTTTTCTCATCAATGTAATGTACAATATTTTGATTTGGAGATAAATAGAGATAAAAGAAAGGTCATTTCCTCTATTTATTTATACCACTATGGAATTGTTATTGAACAGCCAATAGATCATATTAATTGAAAAGATGTCAGTAGTTTAGCATTTTATACTTGTGGGAAAAAATTCCGAAACGAAATACCAATAATAGTTGGCATTTTACCATCGAATTCATTCTTATATGTTATACATACATATATTGATGAAACAATGAGAAATTGTTAGATAACCTTTTGTTCAACACTCAGTTTTTATTTAATATTTCTAGAATAAATTCCTTTTTTTTCTGTTCAATAAAATTCAATCAACACAATAAATTTTAATTCAATTTAATCTCAAATCTAAATGATATTTTTTTATTCAAATTCGGCACCCGCTGTGAGAATATGAAATTTGTTTTTTACAGATGTCAATGACGAACGTACTTTACATATTTTTCTGATAATCCTCTCAATAATCCTATAATACACAAGTTATACTTTAGATAAAGATTTAGTACATTTAAAAAATTCAATCCATCACATACTTAAAACTCGACTCGAAAATCCCATGCCTACTAAATGGGTTTTATAAGAGTGTATGGACTTCTTCACCTCATGCTGAATTATGTTCTATTTTTCTTATGAAAGAATAATTCATTGATGAAACATAATAGAAATTGATTTTACAAAGATTTTTTTTGTAACAGATGTTGCAATGTTCATTAAATGATGACTTTTTTATATGTATATATAAACAAGTGAAAGTTATTTCATTACTTGTATATGATATTCTCATAATCTACATTTATTTATTGAATAAAAAAAAAAAAGTTTTAATTAATCTTTCATTTATGAATCAATAAATGGTTGTTTTTCTTCAATATCTGTACGTGATAATTTTCGATGTACGAAATTGACGACTTGATGTAAAGTATTCGAAAATGAATTTGATCGTTGTTTAGATTGTGTTGGCAATAGATGATCGGTTGTTAATGATGAATCTATTGTCATTGCACGTTGACGTTCATTAGTCAAAGTTTTTGATTGTTTATTAATCATATTTTTTGTATGAAACATTGCTTGTGCCATGTTTTCGTGTCGTACTTTTCTACTCAATGAAACACGTTCTGTTTTGTGTCTTTTCTATCTTATCTCATACTTAAACCATATAAAAATAGAAATAAATATGACGATTTACGTTTCTTGAAATTGCGCAAATCAAAAAAAAGAAGAAACATTTGATGAGAATAACACATAACTTTCTTAAAAAATTATTAGTATAATTTGAGAATTTTATTTTATAAAACACGGGTATATTATACAGTTCTACAAACAATATTTATATATAGATCAACTTATAAAATACATTGAAAAGAAGGTGAATCATTAGTTTTATGTAATTGAAAAAGCCATTTAATAATTCTTGCATTACGTTCAATAATAGTTACTGGTGTTGGAACAAGATTTCTGATTACATGTGTTGGACTATTCATACTATCTAATGTTGTTTGATCAGAAAGAGATAATATACTAACACTTTCAAATGCACAATCAGTATTATGTCTTGTTATAGATGGAGATGAAAGATCTAATCGTAATTTATTTTGTTCATATTGATATTCTTGATAAGGCGAACGACGTGGTTGTCTAGAAAAGAATATAAAATAAGAGATAAGAATCTTTTTCTATTATCAAATGATACTTACAAAATACGACACGTTGATGTTATTCGATGATTATTTGAAAGTGTCTGCTGATTATACAAAACATGTTGACTTTTAACAAAATATCTTTTTGATTCATCAAGTAATTCTCTTGCTGTACGTCGTGGATAGTGTTCTAATAGAAGAAAAAGAAAACTTATTAATCATAATTTTATTTCATTAGAAAACTGACAATTTCTAATATAAATGAAGTTAAGTGACATTCTATAGATAAAAAATTTATCTTGTAGAATAAAAAAAAAAGAAAAAAGATTTAATGAGATATTATTACATCATATGAGTGTCAAATATATTAATCGGATTTCTTTTATATATTTACTCTTAACAATCGAATAGTATATTGTATAACAGATGAATATATGTATTTTTATTCATAATTCTCATATAGATATTAACGATGTAATTATTATTGCTACTTACTTGAAGAAGAAGCAGCTGCAGATGAACGAATACGTTCTAATTTCGTATAGAAATCATCATGTTTTGTTTTATTAGTAATATTTATAAGTCTTGCTCGTCGTTTATCCATATATAGTGGATGTTGTTCCATCCTATGTCTTTTATATATATATATATATGTTTATATTCTATCAATCGTCACTTGTACTTATTATTTTTTTTGTCTGTCTTCACCAAATGTTTGAGTAATGAGAAATTTTGATGATGAATGAACGATGAGAGACAGAGAAAGAGAAAGAGAATATAAGAGTAAAGAAAAAGTCAGTCTCGCGTCTACCTTGAATTCTTGAAGATGTAGGAAAAAAAAAGAAAGAAAAGATAGCCTTGACAATAGCAGTAGGATACGAAGAATGTGAGTTGTCTTTTTTTATGGTTACATCATTGTTCATTATGCATTTTGACCTGTTAGACATGTTACGGGTCGACACCTGATATTTATCGAACCATCTGTTCCAAATGTTCATATCTGATTGACTATTCATCAATATTATATTGTATGTTAATTTAATATATGACATATGTCTGACTATCGACGAGTGAAACATGGAGATCAGTTGTAGACAGCGATTTTCATTAACTTTTTTCTTTTCAATAAATTCAAAGCAAAGTAAATGGAATCAACAATCTCTATTATGAACAACAGATAAACACCAGTATTAAAGTATTAAAAGTACTTTCTTTTTTAAATTCTGTGTTCAACTAATCCGTTATTCAAAATCAAAATGTATTGATGTGTTGATGTCATCATCAGTAAATGGTATATTGCTCTTAGGGAATAGTCGGTAGACATTATTTGATGTCAATGAAGACTAACAACTTTCTATTCAAACGATTAATCCAAGTTGAAGACTTGTTATTAAACACAGCCAAGTGTTTTAAATACAAATGAAAAGAAAGCTAAGCAGAGAATTGTTGAAGAGAGAGAGTCGAAGATATTGTGTGTGTGTATATATCAAATTACCTCTTGACATTTTCAGGCATCATTCGTTAAGATAAACTAATTGTAACAAGTGTCCACTAAACAAAACAAATAGATTGAATGATGTATGTAGAAATTGAATAAAACTTTATAGTAGGTAAACATGACTATTGATATATATATAGTACTCTACCAAAGTGGAAGCTTTTTTTTTGAAATCAAAATCGGACAAATATATTCAAATCATGCTTAACTTGATTTGCCAATTCCTCTCTTAGATACTTCAAGAAGTTATTATGTTAAATAAAACTCTATTTCATCCAGTGCGAAGTAATATATATAATACAATAATTTGTATTCGTCTTGTTTCAAGCTGTTTCTTTTTTTTGCATGTTAAATCGTTCATAGTGATTAAATGAAGACTAAGATAATCTTTCGATTATTGTATAATTACATAAAACAAATGAAGTGTCATGAAAAGCTTTATAGAAGCTGTGCGAATATATTTCCAACAAAGAAAAGTGTATTATAAACAGTGTGATGCAGTCAATCTGGAAGAACTATTCTTTAGATCAATGACCAATATTTTACAGACAAAATAGTAACATGTCAACTGGAAACGGAAACATTTTACTAAAAGGAAATAAATAAAGTAGTCGCACCGTTTATCTTATCGAATATATTAGTTTTATGTTAACATGTCGATAAATTGATAATATCCTGTTAGATCGTATTAATGCTTAAACAGCCATTAAAAATCACGAAGCTTCCATATAGATTATTCTTCTACAAAAGTAACTTCTTATACCACTACACATCGATTTAATATATATTCGTGAAGTTTAGTTATCCTTCTAACTAAAACATGATACAGGTAATTCGCTATAAAAAAATTTCAATATGTTAGAGAAAGCTAACCTTGAAGAATCTCTTCCGCCGGATCTCGTAGGATTAAATGTTATTTAGAGAACTCGAAAAATTGTGACAACGAAACTTTTCTCTTATATTCAGTAGCATGTTATCATTCGTCAACTGATATCATACTGATCAAATTTCGATATAAAGCTGTTTATTAAGATATATGATGGTAATATGAATGTTTACATATAATCTTTAGATGATTTTTTATAGAAACAAGATTGAGCCTACGCATTTCATTGTTCGAAAGAAGAGATTAAAAAACATAGAATTATATATCATAAGCTCTTTTAATACGACTAGCATAGTTTCTTATCTGAAAAAGTTTCATTCTTGGAAAAATAGTTTTTTTTATTAGAAAAGAAAAAGCTTGAGAATGTTCTTCAAAATTTTGATTAGAATTTATATTAGTCATACGTAATGAAAAGGCAAAATATTTATGTCTTTTATAGTTTAAATATATTGTTCTAAGCTTACTAGATCGTATCAAAGTATTATTGTTACTATTTTTGAATTGTCCTATGAGCTTTTGACTACTATACAAAATTTGAGTTCTCTAGCTTCTACAGTTGCTGAGTTATTAGATCTATATTGTCAAAAGGTCATATTTTACATGGAGATGCACTGAGAAAAGTAGAACACAATATAATAAGTAACCAGTTAAGTACAGCTTGAAATATTCTATCAAATGATATATCTTATTGTATAGTGTCTTTTTTCTTTTCACATCCATGGACTTCAATTATTTAATTATAGGTACTTTGTCATTTTTATGTAGACCGACTTTATCGTTCAATTTACTTTATTTGTAAGAAAGAGCAAAACCGAGTCAAAATGAGTAGTATTTGCATTATAAACAGTGTGTTTTCGTTGAAATATCCTAGACCCCTGTGAATATACAGTTCACTCATATATTATCTATGAACTTTCGAATATAACTAGAATTTTATGCATATTCTACATGTAATTCAGTAATTGAATTGTTTAATGATATATTATGAAGTATAGTTTTATAATGAAGAATTCTATGTACCTACTATTACTAAGATATTTTTCTTCTTGAAGATATAATTACTTAGTATACACGCATGTATACATAATTTAATAGATAATTTGAAATAAAATATCTTTATAAGAATAATAATAGATCAAGTTACTTTTTTTTTGTTCAACTATGACGTTAATTTAACTTTGTCATAAATTACATGTAGTGTTAGAAAATGAAAAAAAAAAGAGAAACTATTTTCTATTTCTTTCTTTTTCTCTATTAGTATATATAAAATTATTGTTATTGTAATAGTAATGAAAAGTGAGAATCTCGTGATTTAGTGGCGGATTTAGGGGGTGGGTGATGAGGGCGGTCGTCCCCCTTCAAAAATTTTTTTAGTACTAGCTAACCAGTTTTTAATAAATATATAAAAGCAAAACATTAATGAGTAATTAAAATTTATGTGTTGACAATAACAACGTTAAATATTTTGATAAGTATAGAAAAAGAGAAGTTCTTTCTTTATTCTAGGATATTACTTCCGACAAAAGAAAAATGTCGTCGACAAAATCAGTTCAAATTGTTGATATAATGACAAATAATAATCATGATTCACGTATTATTATTAATGTTGGTGGAACAAGATTTGAAACTCAACGTGCAACATTAAAAAAATTACCCGCTACACGTTTATCAAAATTAACACCACAATTATCATTTTATGATCCATTATTAAATGAATATTTTTTCGATCGACATCCAGGTGTTTTTTCTCAAATACTTAATTATTATCGAACAGGAAAACTTCATTATCCAAATAATGTTTGTGGACCTTTATTTGAAGATGAACTAACATATTGGGGTATTCAAAGAGAAGAAGTTGAACCTTGTTGTTGGTAATTATTTTATATAAAAACAAAACAATATTATTAAAAATTCTCGATCTTTAGGATGACTTATACAAAATATCGATCAACACAAGAAACATTACAAGTATTAGATTCATTAGAGTTAGATACAGTACGATCAACAACTGATGATATTGTTAAAAAATTTGGTTGGGAAGATGATTTTGATTTAATTACAAGTGGTCATTTATCTAAACGTAAACGTTTAATGAGTATAATATGGCAATTATTTGAAGAACCAAGATCATCAACAATATCGAAAGTAATTTATTCATAATTTTTTTTCCGTATTACTATTTATTTTTTTAAATTTATAGATAATTGCTGTTATATCAATGTTTTTTATAATTGTTTCAATAGCTACATTTGTTCTTCGTACATTACCAGCATTTGAAATAGCTGAATATGATTTTATAACTGTTTATACGTATAATAATTTAACTGAACAAACAACTGTATATAATACTCAACAAAGAGAAATAGTTTCTAGTTTTGATACAATTGAATGGATATGTATGAATAAAATATTTGAAAGTTATGTATTAATAAATTTTTATATATTTATTTTTTTAGGTAATTCTTGGTTTATATTTGAAATAATATTAAGATTTTTAGTTGCACCATCGAAACGAACTTTTTGTACATCTATACTTAATTGGATTGGTAAAATAAGAAGATAGATTCAATTATTTTTATTTGTTTTTTTTTTATATAATTTAGATTTTCTTGGTACATTTTGGTTTTGTTTTACTTATATTCTATATAATATATTTCATTTTAATGGTTATAATGCTGCATTAGATCTTCTATCAACTATACGTGTTGCACGTATGTTTAAATTATGTAATCTTCATCCACGTTTAAAAGTTATCATAACATCAATGTCATATTCATCAAGTGTATTAAGTTTATTGATATTTTTCTTTTTTCTTGCGACAATGATAGCAGGTTCATCAATGTATTATATTGAACGTTTAAGTAATTCAACCGATAATCAATTAGTATCAATTGTTGAAGGTATATCACTTGCAATAAGTACAATAAGTACACTTGGTTCAGGTGATATTGTACCAAAATCATTTTTTGGTATGATATTTGGTGCAATAACGACTATAGTTGGAGTCTTAATTATTGATTTACCAATGCCAATTATTGTTGAAACATTTGCAAATTTTAATTCACATCTACAAACACGACAACAATTACCAAAACAGAGAAGACGCATAACACCAGCTGCTATACCAAGAAAAATCAAACCACAAATGCCACCAAATGGATATACTCATCAACATTGATTTAGAATTATGAAAAAAAGAAATTTAATTTTTTGTTGTAATTTTTTTTCTAACGTCTAATACATACATCTAACTTTTTTTTTTGAATTTTTGTTGAAATATAGATTGAATCTGTTCAATCAGTTAATTTGTCATATAATTATCATAGAGATGGTTATAAACGAATATAAATAAATAAAGATGAACATTCTTTTCAATTTATTCGCCTTATAAAACTAAAGAAGAAAAAGTAGACTCAAAATAAATTTGTAATATTATATATTACAACACATAAGAGCTTATCAATTCATCATGTCTGATCCAACTACATTAAAATTCTCTAAAATCGATCAAAATTATTTTAACATCTATCTGCACTTGTATATATATATACTTAAGGCTGCGGGTGTGAGTATGGGTGCGGATATACCTGAGTCTGGGTGTGGATTCTATAGCTACACTCTCAGCCATACACCCACCCTCAAGATTCGTTCTTCTCTATTTAAAAACATGTGGACATATATCATTTCGTTTACTAAAGAGATACATTGCAGAAAAGATACGTGCAAATCTTTACATACTATTCTAAAAAATGCATATTATTTTAAATGAAAGAGTATAATATATAATATAAATTTTTATTCTTTATCTTGTTCTTTGTTATGAATAAGTTTTTTCTTGCATCAAGCACAAAGATACATATTGAACTGTTTTTTTTGGATTTAAAATCAATGTGTAGGAATAAAAAACCTGCAGTAGCAAAAAGAAGATTTTAGAAAAAAGAAGATAAAAGAGAATTAAGAATAACAATACAAATGAAAGAAAAAGAAAAAAAACGTTCTGTAACGAAATTTGTTCATTGATATGGTTATTCCTATAGATTTTCTTTGTCTTCGTGTTCTTCTTCCAAATCGAGCTTCACTAAAAAACAGATAAATAGAATTTAATATTTCCAATTCATCCAAGATGTTATACCTATTTTTTCTTCCAACGAATTATTCTCTAAGATAAATTTAAGTTGTTCAGCAAGTAATTCAGCAATGTCACTTTCAATTTGTTGTTTTTGTTCAAGTGTAAGATTTGGATTCAATAGATTTTGTTGACCTTGTTTTAGGGTGTGAGTGTCTTAATAAGAATAACAAAGACACCTACCCACACCCTCAAGATGACTGTCTTTTGTTGTTGTTTATCAGATGTTTCTTTTCGGTTCTTTTGAATCTTGATCAATACTTCAGTAACATTAAACAATTGTTCATTTATTACTTTGTTTTTGGTAGTACAACCATCGATTAAAGTTGTAGCTCAGTTAATATTAAAACTATCCTTTTGTTTAATAGAACGTTGTAAACGCTGACTACCATGCGTAATTATAGAATTGATTTGATGAAGCTCACACCATAAATCTTTTTGTTGAATTAATAATTCCTCTTCCACTTTCAGTGCTTCTTTACATTCTTCGTATACTTGTTCACGTTCTTTATTTTTCTCTAATTTTTTTATTTCTAATTCTTTTGAATTCAGATCTTGTTTATATAATTGGTAAGATTTTTCGACTGCTTCAATCATGTCTTTATCTATTTGTACCTAAACTAAGAAATAGCATCTGTCAATCTAAATAAAATAATTATATGTATACTTTATGACTAGAACCATCACCAGAAAGTTTAATAGTATCATATGTTGATCTTAAACTACACTGTAATTTTTTTAAATTCTACTTTTTAGAAAATCGATCTTAAATAAGCTCAAGCATTTTATAAGTGTATGATTTACTCATTGACTTGCTATAAATTCGAAAATGCTTGATTTTATAGAAGATTAATTTTCTGAAAAGTAAAAAAAACAGTGATTGTGAAAAATATTCAAAAATCAACTTCGATTTAGAAAAATCATTACATTAAATACGATATGTCATAATTTCTTGAAGGGTGGGTGTCTGTATGGGTATGGATATTATATTATCATATGTTCATACCCACACCCACACCCACCCAAAACCTCAGCATAGGTTTGTACGTATCGAAGAACTAAAACTTAGTTCAGTAAAAAAGCTCCTTAACTATCCCAGCGCACCATCATCTTAATCATAACAATAGACATTCAGTTTAAGAACAAGCAATTTTATTTACGATTTCTGTGAAAATTACAATACAAGGAGCATATCCTCACAATCATCAATGAAAACTCATTCATCATTCAAATAAGTTTAATAATGTCATTCACGGTTTTTTTCTCTTTTATTACGTTCAACAAGTTCATTGATATAACACAATGTATCGTTTCCGATTTGATTCCAACAGAGATTTAGCGTGATGAGTGTCTAGATGAACAAATTGAAGTAAAGACATGGTATAAATAAAAAGAGAATCAGAGTTACTGTGTTGTATTGTAATGCATCACCCAAATATTGTGCTGCAATATCTCTGATTTCCTTAACTCCGAGATCTAGTATAGTGAGTGTCTAAAGAGAAAAGTGATGATAAAGACATGGTACAAATAAAGACAGAACGAGAGTTACCGTGTTGTGTCGTAATCCATCGCCCAAAGATTGTGCTCCAACATCTCCGATTAGATTACATCCGAGATGTAGTGTGGTGAGTGCCTAGATGAAAATTTGAAGGTAAAGACATAATATAGATTAAGACAAAATGAGAGTTACTGTATTATGTGGTAATGCATTGGCTAGATATTTTGTTCCATTATCTCTAATTAGATTATCGCTGAGATCTAGTGTAGTTAGTGCCTAGATGACAAAGTGGGAATAACGACATGTTATAGATAAAGAAAGAATGAGAGTTACCGTGTTGTACTGTAATGCATCGCCCAAAGATTGTGCTCCGATATATCCGATTCGATTAACTCCAAGGTTTAGTGTGGTGAGCGTCTAGATGAAAAAATGAAGCTAAAGATATGGTATAGATAAAAAAGAATGAGAGTTACTGTATTGTGTTGTAATACATCACTCAAATGTTTTGCTCCAAGATCTCCGATTCGATTATATTCGAGATCTAGTGTGGTTAGCGTCTAGAAGAGAAAAGTGATGATTCAGACATGGTATAGATAAAGAGAGAATGCGAGTTACTGTGTTGTGTCGCAATCCATCGCTCAAATATTGTACTCCAATCTCTCCGATTTTATTATTCGAGAGATTTAGGGTGATTAATGTCTGAAAGAGTAAAGTGATGATGAAAACATGGTATGGATAAAGACAGAACGGGAGTTACCGTGTTGTGTCGTAATCTATCACCCAAAGATTGTGCTCCAACAGCTCCAATTAGATTACATTCGAGATGTAATATGGTAAGTGTCTAGATGAAAACTTGGAGGTGAAGATATGATATAGATTAAGACAAAATGAGAGTTACTGTATTATGTGGTAATACATCACCCAAAGACTGTGCGCCACTATCTCCGATTTGATTAATTCTGAGACCTAGTGTAGTTAGTGTCTCGATAAAAAAGCGAAGGTAAAGACATAGTATAAATAAAGAAAGAACGCAAGTTACTGTGTTATATTTTAATGTATCCGCCAAAAATTGCGCTTCGACATCTCCTATTTGATTATTTTCGAGATTTAGTGTGGTGAGTGTCTAGATGAAGAAAGTGAAGATAAACCCATGGTATAAATAAAAAGAGAATGAGAATTACTGTGTTGTGTCGTAATCCATCGCCCAAAGATTGCACGCCGATCTCTCCGATTTCATTATCGTAGAGATCTAGTGTAGTTAGTATCTAGATGAAAAAGGGGAGGTAAAGACATAGTATAAATAAGGAGAGAATGAAAGTTACTGTGTTATATTTTAATGCATCAGCCAAAAATTTTGCTCCAACATCTCCGATTCGACTCTTCCAGATGATTAGCTCCGTGAGTGTCTAGATGAAAATGTAAAGGTAAAAGCATGACATGGATAGGGACAGAATGAGAACTACTGTGTTGTGTTGCAATGCATTACCCAAAGATTGTAGCCCAACATGTCCGATTTCATTGTCTTCGATGTTTAATGCTGTGAGTGTCTAAATGAAAAATAAGAGCTATAGAAACGGTGCATTCGAGTAGATAACCGTTAGCCAGTGGTGTCTGCAGTGAGAGTAGTGAAATGAATGTCCATCGAACTGCGTTCCAAGGCGTACGAATATCAATATAAATATTTCAAGGATTTTAGAGGATTTATAGTGTACGATAATGTTTTGCGAAGTTCTAAACTGAAAAAAAGTGGTCGTGATTGAAGTACGAATAGAAACTCTATTTGTGAGTTACAGTATTTTTGAATTGTATGTGAATGAGATATAGTTTGTAAGTTACTTCCGCGCAAAACAATAGTGAAACGTTGTATTATGAGCCCAAATGACAATGTATTACAGTAAATGGTTTAGACCATAGTAAAGTATAATGCAGTACTTGGAGATTCTCTGTAGGTATGACGCAATATGGCTTCTTGTGAGCAGTTAGTGAACGGTTTTCTTTGATGTTCGTTGTTTAGATTCGATATATGTTCTGTATCAAAGGTACGTGTAAGTTATCGAACTATGCGCGATTAATGCGTATGTTTTATGGAAGTGGAGATAGATATTGATTTCGGTAGTTGTTTTCGTTGCCACTATATGGTTGTATTCATGAAGCAACTTTAGGTTATGAAAAGTCAGACAATCTATTCCGTAATGCGAGACCCATTATTATTAGAAGACGAATGCATGGTTAAACGTTGTATAAAAATTAAGGCTAATCAATTATTCTGAAAATTTCATCCTTGAGAAAGTGTGTTCCAGATGAAACCCATTTCGGCGCAATTATTTTGTCGAATTTATCGCTCACAAAATAAACTAGTTTAACGAAGATTAATTTCTTTCAAAAGCTGATTTTTATTATCGAAACGGCACTTTCGGAAAAAAAGGGGCTTCGATACTGATGAAAAGCAAATAACAATGTTTTGTTTCTTTTTCTTGGTTCTTATCTAAACATTGTTTGTTGATGACATCATACCGGTTGTGAACCGTAGAATATTGAGATGATATTGAAAAGAAAGAAAAAGAAACTATTTCTCCTGATTATTAAGACACTACTTTCAAACTGTAATAATACAAAAGTTAAATTTGCGGGAAGATTTTGATAACTGATAAATTTGTTTTAGTGAGAAACAGTTTATTTCTGTATATTGTATCGAAGTCATTCTACTTAAATAGTGATTGTAAGAATGAAAAATATGTCTATCATGATGGAAAAAAGTTTACCTGATAGCGGTGATAGCTGTCTACGATCATATTGAATCGTTGACATACGTTTCTCATGGAGCATAGGATTGTGAAATCCGATTGATGGTCCAGAATTCGATAGACAAGTTCTACCGGTAATGTAAGGAAATTGGTGACTGTTTGATTTGCCATTGTAAATTGTTGATGAAATGGTTGCTGTATAGACTTATATGTTGGTTATATATATTGTTCTCTATCTTAGCATTAAATGAGTGGATATTTTTTTTATATTGTTATAGTATGATACATCTCTTGCTAAAAAGAATGCTGGCTCTCTTTCATTTTCCCACGTACTACTGATATCATTGAGTATTTAGGGAGTGAATATTATGAAGAGAGGAAGAAGAAAAAACAAAAAGGAGCGATAACATTCGTCATGGATTTCACATGATGTTGCAATTACATGTTGGAATAAAAAAACGAAAAAGAATAATATCAACTAGAAAATGACAGAATCTAGATAACAAGTGTAAACAAACGTTTTTGTTAATATTGTTTTATCGATATAAAATAGTATATAATAGACATGAATAGCGTGTTCTCGGTAGCATAATTAGCAAAATTTGAATGAATTTCTTTTTATTCAAACTCTATATTGTCATTTGATGGTAAAATGAAATATAGATATTTTATAAGATGGTCAAGCCTTTGTTCTTATAAAACAGAGTCAGATGAGTGAATCAAGAATAAAAACAAGATCATTACTTTGGATGTAGCTGTGCGTGTGGACAAAGTGTCACCTAGCACCCACACCCTAAACGAATAATAGTTTATTGGACAAAATCACAACAACAAAGGATACTTCGATTATATGATAGTTACACGCTTAAGTAAGAGAAAACAATACTATAGGTGTACGCTTTACCAGGCAATTTTAGCAATAATACTATGAGGAAATTTACGAACACAAAGTTTTCGAAGTTCATCAATGACTAACCAACCTATGCCAAATCCAATGGTTGGCATCACATATTTTGCAGGTACAGGAGCTGTATCAAATATTCCATTAAACCAAGTTACTTGTGTAAAAATTAATACAGCGCTGATTGAAACCATTATAGCTACTAATGCAAACCAATTTCGATTTTGACCCCAAAATGGATTATGTTGAAAAATTGATGCATATCTTGTTCGTGTAGCAAAGTAATTGAAAATTTGAAATATACATAATGAACAATAGTAAACTGATTGTGAAACATTGATCATCTGATTTATTTCTTCTGGATTATAAGCTGTAGGTAGATTGTTACCGAAATACTCGTAAGTAAACATAAATGAATAAAATGATATTCCATTATCAATCCAGTAGTAACAAAAACAGAAAAATGCAGTAAAACATTCTAGATTACCTATAAATAGATAAGCATGAACAAGTAATTTCATATTGAGTAGATGGTCGTTCTTTCGATTTGATGGAGGTCGAGACATAATCTCAGTTTCAGGCTTTTCTGAAGCCAATGCCAATGAAATAATTAAATCTAAATCAATCGAATAAAAACTTAACTCCAAAAACATCAATCAACAGTTACCATTTAGTACACAAAGAATTGTTGCTAAGAATGCTGAAAGTGATAAAGGAATACCAAACCACATGTTAAATATAATCGGCCAAAATTCTGACCAAGAACCTGATAAATCGATAAAAGCTCAATATCATTTACAACTATTTGTGTGAAAGAAATCTATACCTGCGGGTAATAAATAGATGACAACTTTTTTCAAGTTATCAGCTAGAAGACGACCTGTTTCAATAGCTGAAATAATCGATGAAAAATTATTATCAAGTAGAATCATATCGCTCGCTTCTTTCGATACATTTGTACCCGATTGCATGGCAATACCAATATCAGCATATTTCAATGATGGTGCATCGTTTGTTCCATCACCAATAGCTGCAACTGTTTCTCCTCGTCGTTGAAATTCCATGATGATTTGCAACTTCTGTTCTGGCGACGTTCGAGCAAAGACTAACTCTTGATGAGATAAGACCCAATTCCACATGAAATCATCCATATAACCAATCTGAGAACCAGTCATCTAATATATTCATTGAACATCATACTAAAATAAACAAAAAGCCCTACCACGAGTGCATAAGGAATCTTTTCTTTCTCTTTTTCTTTATAGAAAATTGGTTTTGATTCACTAAACTGAGCTGTACATGATGAATACCATCGTTTGTACCATGATGGTTCGTTTACAAAATCATGTTCCTTATTTTGTTTTTCTATTGTTCTCGTTGCTCTACATCCAACACGAAATGGTGTTATTATACCACGCATATGTTCTTGCAATAAGGTTTCATTACGATATAATCGAAAAACTGAATGATTGTTGTCATTTTCTTCAATTTGAAATGTATCAATGCCATTTCTTTTAGAAATTTCTTCAGAGAATATATTCACTTGTTGAGCAACAGCTGTTGCTGTAGTCGGATGATCACCAGTAATCATTGCTATACGAATGTGTGCCTGACGTATTTTGAGTACCGAACCTGGTACATCGGATCGAGGCGAATCAAATAAGGAGAAAAAACCAAGAAAACAATAGTTTTCTGGTGGAAATCCATTGAAATCTTGGTTAAAGATAATGCCAGAACGTTGTCTTTCTTCATATCGTTGTATTAATTGATCATATCGCATCTTTGTCAACTTTTGTTGACTCATGGCAATGACACGATAACCATTTTTACTTAACATTTCTCGTCGATAAAGAAGTTTCTGTTTGATTTCAGTTGTTAATGGCAAAATTTGACCATCATTACTCTTATACGATGAACAGTATTGAATAATAACTTCTGGCGCACCTTTCATTGTCAGCAAAATTGTATTTTTCTTCCATTCAAGTCGATTCGCTGTAATCATAAATTTATTTTCTGAATTAAATGGTAAACTTCTTAGACGTGGATTTAAACAGCGTATTTCATCGATTTCCATACGAAATTCATAGACACATAGATTGTAGAGAGCGATATCCACAGGATCACCTATAACATGTATTTCTAGATTTCTTTTCCTTATACCATGCTTGTGTTGTACATCTTTGGCGAGACTTGTCTTTGCATTATTGCATAAAGCAGCACCAAAAATTAAATCATCAAATACTTCCACTCGTGATCTATTATCTTGGTTAGTCAAGGCAAATGATGGTGTTTCCACAGTTGGATATACTTTTGCTGTCGAATGCTGAGAAATATGAAGAGATCCGACAGATAGTCGACGAATTGTGTGTGGTATTGTCATAGTTGTGGATGATTTGTCTTCTTCATTTTCAATTATTTTGTATTCACTGTCCGTGTCCCAAAATATCTCGTTTACAACTAATTTGTTCTTGGTCAATGTGCCTGTTTTATCTGTAGTAATCACTGAAACAGAATTAAAACTTTCAACAATTTGTAAACTTTTTCCTAATATTCGCTGTTGACTCAATCGTTTAGCCACTATTACCAATGCTAGAACAGAAAAAGCGAATGAGGTACAACATGTGTTCATTACTCTCTGTTATTTACCAAGAGTGATAGCCGATGGTAAACCTATAGGTAAGAAACTAACGATCATTCCAATTGAATTCAGGATATTTTCAGTCAAAGTAATGAAAGTTGGATGAGAGTAGTTAAGCCATCCTAACCAAGTAATCCAAAGAATAAAAATACTGATGATATCAGCCACAAGAACAAACAATACAAAACGATTCACTTCACGATGTAGATTAGTAATTTCATCACTAGAATTATCTTTTGTTGTTGTTCCTGACATTTTACCCAAAATAGTATTGTCACCAGTTGCAATAACTATTGCTTCACCCATACCTTGTTCAACAAATGAAGAATAAAATCCAATATTAGTTGATTCCATCAAAATTTGACTTGTGCAATGAACAATGACCTTGACAGGTTTTGTTTCGCCCGTTAATTCTGCTGAATTAATCTAAATATATGCGCAAAATCAAAATAAAGGTAAAATAAAGAACGTGAAATTTACTTTGAGTCCTTCGCAAGTTAAAAATCGACAATCAGCTGGTAATATATCACCCATTCGTATTAAAATAATATCACCCGGAACGAGTTCATTCGTAGGAATCTGTTGTTCGACACCATCACGTCGAACAGTAGCAACTGTTGGTAATAATTTTGAAAATGATGCTATTATCTTAATCGATTTGAGTTTTTGATATATATTGAGACATGCATTACAAATAATGATTAGGAAAAGTACAATGCCAAGAGCTAAATTTGTAATTGATGGATTCGATCCACCAAGTGGTTGGTAGGCAATAAAAGCGAGAATACCACCAAGCCAAAGAATTAAATTAAAACCCATGAATAATTGTTGAGATAACAACCAAAAATAATTCTGTGATCGAGGCGGTGTAATCTGATTGGTACCATAATGTAGTTGAGCATCATGTACAAAAGAAGTTGATAAACCAAATCGTTGATTTGAATGAAAACGTTGAAAAATACTTTCCATTGGAATAACATGAACATCTTGATCAAGTCGAGACATATCAGTATTAACCCAAAGATTAATATTTGAATGTCTTCGTGTTACCATATTAGTAATACTCTTTTGTCGTTACTTTTCAAGCTTGCATTACAATCTAAAACTGGTGAACTAAATCAGAGAGAGAAGATACATGAACCTTTTCTAGTTATTTTTTCAATAAACACTCAACATATATAATGTAGTTTAAATTGATGTTCCTTTATATATATATATCCATCTGAGGATAATCAGATATTAAAATTTCATTTTAATAGAAACCTTCAGTTAACGATGCTCCTTTTCAATAAAAGTCTTTTTCTAATGTCTAAATCGATTGTTACGTGATTTGTCTAAAAGAATATAATTTGCCGTCAATTGTCTACATACCATTTCTGATCTGTTAAAAGAAAGAATTGCAGTTAAAATTGAACAATGAACTCACCGAGTTTGATGTTTCTTAATAATCTTTGAAATTTTTTCAAATTATATTTAGAAACATAATTATTTTATAAAAAATAAAGAAACTTTCAAACATGTAGACCGGAGTAGAGGTGTAACTCGATGATTTGATCGGCGGCTTAAAATTATATAATTTTTTTCGCTTATCGACGGCGGCGGCGGTTTAATCGTTCGGCTTACATCTCTAGTCCCGAGTGAGAGCAGTTTAATTATCTTAATACCAAAATGACACGTTCTTATAAGGATAAAACATGCATGAGTTGAGATATAACTGAGGCATCAAAAGAAACTGAAAGATAATTAAAAATTAAAAATCTTTTAGTTTAAAAGTTACTTACGTCATTCAATGTACCCATTCCTTGAAGTATTTTTATTTACGAAGAAGAAAAAAAGACTAGTGCGTATTCTTCTCTTGCGTTGCGTGTTTTTTTTACTTGAATGCTAATTTGTGTATAAAGTAAAAAGATTTTAAAAATAAAATATAATTTAAATTGAGTGAAAAAAGAAAAAAAATACGATATACGCATAATACTGCAGGCCTCGCAGCGTGTTTACTTTCCTGATTTTCTAAAAATGTTACGATTTTCCTGTTTTTAACTAAACATCCTGGTTTTGTCCTAATATTTTATGAATTATATTCACAGAAGTGAACTTACCTAATTTTCATTTTTCCTGTTATTTTACTCCGTCTATTTCGAATTCTTGCAAAATATTTTTACGTATTTTCATCAAAACCAAAGATAAAATTCAAAATACATTTATTTCAATCATTCATTTTTTTTCTTAATCGATTCAAATTTTCAAAGCAGCCAATTTACTATTAGCAGCTATCATTAGTACTTCAGCTGTTCCGATATCATGAAATCTTTTATTCTTCATAGCTGCATCAAGTCTTGTAGTTCCTTCGTCTAACATATTAGTCATCCTATTTAATTTTTCTTGTAAACTTTTCGTTGATGGTGTTTATGTTTTTCAAGATCCAAGAGAAAATTTTGAATTAGTATTCAATAATTTTATATTCACTAAATGATCTGTTGTTTTCATATACTGTGAAATGGGGTCCTATTCTTGGTTAAAACAATCCAGATCATCTATTTTACATACTACACATCAAAGTGCTCATATTTTCTCACTATGTTTCAACTATAAATCCAATTTAGCACCTTCATGATCTATTTTTTCAAGCTAGCTTTGTTTAAAATTAATATTTTTTGGCATTAATATTCAAATAGTATTTAAAATCAAGTAAAACAAAGATTTATTTTTTTCCAACTAATAATGTAAAATCTAGAACTACCTAAAGATAAAATAGAAAAATATTGATTGCCGCCTCCATCGGAGATCTGTTCACTAACAACGAATTAAATAACCTAGTTTCTTTATAATCTCGATTGATTAATGAGCAACAGACTGTCTATAATCGTTACAATCTATATAATATGTTATGAATGCTGATGGTAGTATATATTCACAACTCGCGTGACAGTTTCTCAATTGCTACGTGACTTTTCTTGCAGAAATATTCGATTTTCAAAAAAATATAGGAAAATAGGAAATACAGCCCGACTACGAAGCCAGTAAATTTCATAAAATTATGCCAGTTATTTTCCTCATACATTAAACTTAACGATTTATTTCTATATCTTAGTGTTCTCTATCAAACATCTCAGTATGATGATTAAACACTGAGAAATCATTGTAAGATATCTCATAAAACAAGATCGCTCTTAGTTTGAATTCGATATCGGAGGATTAGAAATGGCTCATATACATTATAAAAAACTATAATTCGTTATAACTTCAATATGTCTAAATTCATCAACACATCATTAATAAATAACTATTCTTTTCGCTTCTTTTTTAATATCGATGAATACTAATTAATTGACTGAGTTAGACTATGTATAGCTGACATATTCATATATATATCGTAGCTTTTTAATTTTTTCTTTATCAGACGAGATCCCGTTCAACACTATTAAAATGCAATTCAGTTTCACGTAAATTATTCTTTTGTAGATTGTTTTATTCCACGATCATCCTTCAAGTTAATATTTTTATTGTTTTTTTATTACATGGAACACTCTCATAAAGAATTAAAAATATAAATATACCTTAGAAGAAAGGGTCATTAATACACATGCGTGTGCAAATGTATTATCTTATCAGTCGGCTCTGTCAATTACGTTTTTATTATTTGCAGAATTGTTCTCTGCACGCGCGCGTGAGCAACTAGAAAATATAACTAATTCAAAAATAAGTAAACAATGCATCTTTTTATTTATCAACTATTCCTTATAGTTTCTTTTTGATATTTTCAATACTGTTCTTCACGACTTTTATATCAGGATGAGTTGGAGAGAATGTACATTTTAATGTGTGGAGAGCACGTTCAGAATATGAGAGCGCTTTCGAATAGTCTTTCATATTGTAATACACCCTACTCATGGAGCTATATGAAGTGGCCAAATGAGGACGATTTGAAGGAAACGTTTTTTGTCGAATTTCAAGTGCTTTTTCGTTATATAAAAGTGCTTT